TACAACTAAGGTATACGGGGATCCAGTCTACCAGCTCGTCCTTGGTCAAACAAGGAAAAGAATTTCGGTTCACAAGGATCAAGTCTACCAACTGGTCATTGACCTACCAAACCTCTTGGCATTGATCTTTCCTAGATTATCTGTACGTATTTACAGCTGGGTTGACTGGAATAATGAGGAAATTTATTATTCAAGGTCACCAGACTTTCAACCGCCAACCAAGATTAGAACCCACGATGACAATTTGATTTAAATTAATGGAATAAATATCTATGATACAAGACTGCTATATGATACAAGACTGCTATATGATACAAGACTGCTATATGATACAAGACTGCTATATGATACAAGACTGCTATATGATAGACTGCTATGGCAGTCAAGGTATAAGACGCAGTTCGTAATAGCTTGACATTGTTAAGATGATCTTATAAGTGTTGACCAAGTCTATTAAGATATGTCCAAACTAACAAGGGTTATAGCTACACACCTCTATGTTAATTAAAAACTGATGTAATTTTTAATGAGATAGTTATTCTTATCTTTAAACGTGTTAGGTTGGTCAGAGAATAGGAGTCGTTCTTGATATTAAAGGGATATATTCGTCTATATATTCTTTAACAACAGATGATACATAGAGGGATGAAGTCATCGAAATATTTTCGTGGAACTACATCATTCCACCCACCTACACACCCTGAAAACAATTTCAGCCCAGACGTAATAAGTGTCGCCCAGGCCTATAATGCTTTGAGTAAGGGAAGGAAAATGTATGGTCCACAAGCTAAAGCATTGCGTTTTCCATTTAATTATAGACAAACACGAAGTGGGGTTTTCCTTTCCTTTTTCAGAATGACAACCCGATCTCCGATTTGTCGAGAATTGTTATACCGAATTAAAGTAACCAGACGAAAATCTCAATCAGCTAATGGGCGTTTAGTTTTTGATAACTGATTTAAAATTCAAACGGATTGGTGATAATTGGTCTAATCAGTCGACACATTCTGAACCTTCGAGTCACAGTTTGTTCGGAATTACTCGTATCCAACTGAGAAAAATCAACGATTTTGTGCAAAAAATTATGTGCTTCGAGAAATTTGTGTAAGAAATGAAGCAAAGTTTGGTATTTGGTATCTTTGTTGTGTACGAGTCATATTTTGTGAGGTAGTCGTGGAGAAATTGAAAGGCTAGGGTAGTAAGTAGACTCATCTTCCAAAAGCCAGATTTATTTCTTTAACAAGCGATCTGAACATGGTAAAAGAATGCAAGATTTCCAATACCGATCGAATGATGAAGTCCGTTGCTTTTAAACAGATATTGGCGTTGTTATCTCCCTTTAAATATTTACGACAAATAAACCGATTGCAAAATATTTCAACAAAATTATCAACAAAGTTTATTTGATAGATATAGTGAATTTCTCACGTCCACTGCATATTACAAAGGACCAGCTTTACTTGGTTGGGTCGATTTGTATGGACGATTATGTTAAATGGACATTCTGGTTTGCAGAGCTAGACATTTTCAATTTGAAGTTTTTACCTTTTTAATTTTTTTATGCAATAAAGAATATAATTTTTAAAAACAGACTGGATTTCTATCTATTCGATTTTTGAAAAGAATACTTTTCTCAGCTCTTAAAATATTTATACGAAAATAATATAGCTAGCTTTATATTTCTCAACCAATGAAATTACTGGAATTGAGTAAAATGAAAGTAAAGAAATGTAAACAAAACAGAAAACGTTTTTAGAACTCAAAATAAATGAAAATTTAAAATGACTGATAATGACAAGCCTGTCAAAGCTTTACGAGTGGCTCAGGTAATGTATGGGGACTTTGGGAATGGGGTATTTTACGTTTTTTTGGAGTTTGATGTTAAAATTTGTCAAAATTTCACTCATTGCATACCGTACTGTATGGGTATATGGCATTCAGGGACCGAAAGGAAGATGTATTTGGTCATTTAGTTTTGGCTAATTGCCCAGTGTATCGCATGAGATTCCATTATCCATGAATTAGCCTATCAAGGGAGATGAATAAAACTCCATTTGGTTTAATATCATTTATATATTTTCTAAATTAAGTTAATTAGTGGTAAATGTTGAGATGGCTAAATTTCCCTCATTGCACACAGCATGGCATTTTGTTATTCATGTAACTTATCAAGTGGGACAAGTAAGAAGTAAAACTCCATTTCATTATATGTCATTTCACATTGTTTACTATGTTATTGTTTTCAGCTAGATGCCAGTGAATTAGATAATGAAATATTTGATTTGGTTAAAACTCAGTTGAATCAAGCTTTTAAATATCTTCAGGTAGGTGGTTTTTTCATTTTCCTTACAGAATTATTTTGATTGGAATCCTCCTTTTCCAAAATTGACTAAATCTCTTCTTATTCTGCTAACCTGTGTTTAAGATACACAATCCTCATCAGGACAGCTAGTATTTGAAAGAGGAATTAACTTTCCAACAAACTTAGAGAATTCATTGAACAAAAATGAGCAAAAAAATATGCAACATTTCAACATCCTCTAAAAGACGCTTGCTCTCTAACCTGAAGGTCCAGGGTTCAATCCTGGCATGGGTCGAGATTTTCGGATTTTTCAACCCGGTTTCCCCCTGTCAGTGATGCAGGTAAGAGGGGCTGACATGGAAAAAGCGTCTAGTCGTTCGGTTGGGACAATAAACCGAGGCCCCGTGTGCTACAGATTGTGCACGTTAAAGATCCCTCGACAGTTGAAATTGAAAAAGAGCAGGCTACTGGCACTGTCCTGGCAAAATTTCCCTCATTGCACCCTGCATGGCGTTGCCCGTCTTCATTAGCTCACATAAAACTCCATTCATTTCCTTTTTTCTAAAAGATAAGCATAAAATATTTCTTGTTTGACATTTAGTGATCAAAGATTAAAATATATAATTTATATGTTCATGGATTATTTTTATTTATTTTTTTCAGTCTGGTATTTTTGTCCGATATTCTCCAGAAATTAATGCTTTATTAAAAACAGTTTTATGGAAGGTGAGTAGGCCTACCTTATTGATTTTACAGCAGTTATGGCAAACAATTCAATTCATACAAAAATACACCTTCTCATCTTACCTTGGATTTCCTATCCAAATTTCTTAACAATTTGATTGAATCGTGTTCATCACTACCAGTACTTACAAAGCTTTCTTCAATTTAGTCTCTTTTGAATTTGTATTAGGGGAGAGAGCAGTCACTGGGCAGACCCTCAAAAGCACTGGTGCAGGCATCACAATTTTTCTTACCTTGAGGAAGATTCGAACCCACAACACCTTATCACTTAGCAGGCGATAATCCTACTTGCTGCTCACTGAGCTATTTCACTTTCCGAGCAGACAACAATCCCACTCGCTATCAACTGAGCTATTTAACTGCCATTTGTGTTAAGTTTGAACAATATTAAATTTTTATGGAATAAAACACACTTTTTAATAAACTTGTTAGACTTCTTTCTACTCAGAATTTAATTAAAACCAGTTTTTGTCGCGTCTTAATGCCTCGTTAGAGATTTAATTGATTATTATGTAGTATTATTATGAAATCAGGGACAATTCCACTGATCACAGTGTTTCATGCATTGATTATTTTAGTGTTCCTGGAAATTCTCAGATGGTAAATTGAATATTAAGTCAATAACTATAAAATAACATGATATTTTACTTTTAACTTGAATTTCATTAACACACTTTCCGAGCACTTTTAAACTTGTTGATTTTTTGATTACCTCAGAATAAGTTAGTTTGGAAATTCTTTTAACACAAATTCCGAGAAATTTTAAACTTGTTGATTTTTTGTTTACCTCAGAATAAGTTAGTTTAGTTTGGAAATTCTTTTAAGACATTTTCCGAGCACTTTTAAACTTGTTGATTTTTTGTGAAAGCTAATTATTAGAAAGCTTGATTTGGAAATTGTTTTCTTGTGTTTGTTTATGACTGAGAATGACACAATTCAGAATTCGTTTTTATGAAAGCTGGGTGTGAAAGTTGGGTGTGTGTTTTGGCATATTTTAGGCTGGGAAGGGGTGGGGCAGGGGCTGCTTCTCTTATTGAATAAATCTATATTTACCTGTGTACTTGACGAACTGTAATGCTGTGAAACTGAGTCTTTATGGTGTGGATAAAATTGATGGTATGATGACACCAGACCTGATGGACTTCGTGAAGCTGGTCTTTGGTAGTTGTAATAGATATTTGGTTTACTGTATAAGCAGTCCTCCTTCTCAGAAACAGGCTCAGTTAAAGTGGTAGCTATGGTCAACACTGTCGAAGTTGGCATTGACCCTTTTTCCAGATTTTTGTCAATATTTGAAACTCTGTTTTTGTTGTAATTAAAGTTCAGTTGTTCCTGCAATTCCGATTTTCGAGGTATGGTTGGAAAATTCTGATCTGTTTCTTCCAGAGTTGGAATAGGAGTTGGAATTCGATCACTGTGATTATCAATTTTAAACTGAAATTTTTTCCGCTGATGGTCATTATCGTCAAAATTGTCGGTTCGTAAAGGATATTCATTTTTAAATTGCACATTTCCTTTGGTTGGGTATGTCCAATTATTTACCTTCGTAATATGTCCAGAAATATTAGCAGACGTCTCGAAAGGAACAACAGTTTTCAAATTCTGGTACTGAGATGGAATGGTGCCATTGTGGCTGATTCTTGTATCGGGAATTTGTAAGTAGTCTATGTTATTATTGTCCTCCAGGTCTGGTATTCCATCTTCTGTCAAACTAGAATGATCTTCAGGATCAAAATTACTGCCATTATCTATCAATAGGTCTGGAACTTCAGTGAAAGGGTTTTTTTCAGAATAGTCAAAATGTAGCCCATTACCAGTCTGTTGAGAAGTTTCACTGCAGGATCCAGATTTAGTATTTGATGCATGATTTTTGGACGTAATCGTCACTGATCTTCCTGATGACACATTTTCCAAAACATCGCTAACAATGCTTGATGGAGCATCATCATCTTCACTGGACTCGTAGTATGTTGAGTACTCGTTACTATATTTAGAAACAATTTCTGCAGGACTCATTTTGGTGGTGATAGCAACATTTTCATCACTATAGCAACTCCCTGTGCTGGAATCATCATAGGCACCAAAACTGTCGTCTGATAGTCTTCGACCTGCATCACTATCACTGCTGATGCCATCTTCCTCATTCAAATCTGCTTCATCATTGTGACTTTTGGTAGAAAAATGGCGTCGTCTTTGAGTTTCCTGACTACTGTCCATGGATTCTTCAGTATCGTCATTGGCATCTTTAATTAGATCTTCCTGTTCCATAAGAGAATCAACATCAATGATTTTGGACTCTTGTGAGAATTGTGATTCTCCTCCTTCCATGAGAGTGTCTTCATCAATGCCTTGGGCATCTTGTGAGTATGGATCTAGTTGTTCTGTAGGAACAATGAGAGCGTGAGCCAGAATGCTTTCAGAATCTATTGCACCATGTTCCTTTTGTTCTGAAAGCGCCATAGGCAAGTCATCATCAAAACTTTGGGAACCTTTCAGTATTCCTTCTGATTGTTCTTGAGTGTTCTCAAAAACATCAACATCAAAGTTTTGAGGGTCTTTCAAATCCAGTTCATATTCTTCATTGGTCTTTTGAGAGTCTTTTGTATCTGTGTATGTTATAGGCTCCACAAAAGTGTCCACGTCAATGTTTTGTAAGTCTTTCATGTTATGTCCTTCATGTTCTCTAGGCTCCATAAGATTGTCAGTAAATTCAGAGTCTCTCCAATCCTGATTTGCTTGTTCTGCTGCTTCTTCAGACTCTAAAGCGTCTTCAAGCTGTTGCTGATACTGTCCAACAAGATCCTTTGCATCTCCAACAAGTTCCTCTCCAAACTGCTGCTGGAAGCTTGATCTTCTGTTGCTGGCATTGTCTGTTTCATCATCATCAAAATCAATCAGGTTTTGAGTTCCTTGAGCTCTTATGGGAGCTACAAAGTCGTCAATCCTTGATGATGTCTGTGGATGAGTTGTTTCAACATTGTGCATAGAATACATGTCTTTTGTTGCTGCCGTAGATGGATGTCTTGTTTTATTTACATTGTTTGCATTGGGTGAATGTACATAGTCTTTGGAAGGTGATGACACCCATGGATAACTTCCATCATCCTTGTAGACATCTTCAGATGCGTCTTCTTCTTCTGGTTCTACAAATTGGACGAAGTCTAACAATGGTTTCTGAAGCTGAACCACTTGGATGATAGGACTGGGTTCCTCAGTACCAACTCTTATGTTTTCTTTTATTGTGACTGCTAAAGCATCCTCAGAGTCACTCAGCTCATCTGAAAAATCTGATTGATCTTTGTCATTTGCTTGAATGTCTTCGTCCAAATTTCTAGCTATCATAGATTTATCTCCAAATGATCCATTAGCATTGAACTCCATAAGATTTTCTGTGTCTGGTGCTTCCAGTAGGTTTCTTTCTGTCAATTGCGCATCGTCATCTTCAAATTCATCAGACACCTTGGTAGTGTTACGAGTATTAGTTTCTATTGCATATTCAGACACTGGTGCTTCTAACAGATTAATTGAAGTAGATGGTTGACTTTCATTGCCACTTAAGACTGTTTGAGGAACCTTAAGATTTCCAGCTGTCAAGGGAGGGTTGTCTTCTTCACTGAATGCATCAGAGACCCTCAAATCATCAGCTGCAATTGGATTCTGGACTTCCTCTGTTTGAGGAACTTCCAGAAGATTTCTTGCCGTCAATGATGGGCTGTCATCATCGCTGAATTCATCAGATACTTCAAAAATATCGTCAGCATTGGGGTCAGATTGTGCTTGAGAATCTACTGAGGTACCCTGAATGAAGAACGTTTCCGGCAGGTCTTCATTTCGATCAGTCCAGTCATTGCCAGCATTGGATTCATTTGATTCTGGTAGATCTTTGGAATTTGCTGAAGCTGTATCTTTGGAGAATTCTGTGGATAAATCATTATCTTGGCTGCTTACTCTCCTAGCTGTCAATGGACGGTCATCCTCTGAATCTTCAGTAAGCTCATCAGAATCTTGTGAATCATCATCTTGAATTGGATAGAGCTCTTCTGGTATAGGTGATTCAACAGTGGAATGGATGTCTTCATCTTGGGTAGGTTTTTCCTCAGTGTCAGCATCAGAGTCTAAATTTATTTGAACTTGGTCAAGGTCTGTGTCTTTTTCAAATTCCAAAGAATCAACTGGATTGGCTTCCATTTCTAAAGAATCTTCGTCTGAAAAGTCATCAGAATAATCAACATCTTCCAGGTCTGCTTCTACTGGATTCTGATTGGCTACTGAATCTTCTTGGTTTACATTTGGCTGATTCTTATTGGACAGCTTCTTCTTTTGGTTTGATTTTACTGGATTCTGATTGGTTCCTTCATCTTCTTCCAAGGAATCATCCTCTGCTAAGGAATAATCTGAGTTTGGCGTGGACGAACGAGAAGAAAGGGATTCTGAAAGGCTGTCCTCATCTTTGAAATTTTCATCGATGTCTTCTACGGTGTACTCATTGGTCGAATGGTCTCCTGGATCTTCTTCATCTTCAGAATCAATCTCTTCAATAATTGGAGGGTCTTTTTCTGGCTCAGCCATTTTGATTTGTTACTTGTGTGGATGTCTGAATTTCTTTATGGTTTCTGTTGGTTTCTGTTGAGTCTTTCCAATTCTTCCGTAGGATGGTTGTAAATCTGAAAACATAAGAGAAAAATGTTACGAAAAAATTTGTTTTTCTTGTCATTTTGAAAATATTTATATTTGGCTCTGGCTTTAGTTTGATTCTATTTGAAAGCTTTGAGTCTAATTACAAAAACTTCTCTGCAATGTATTCATACAGTTCTTACTTGTCTCTAGGCAATATTCTTTGAAATTTTATCATAAAATCAGACTGATTCTGCATGGAAATTCTAGAAATTTTCATAAGTTTCCAAGAAGCTTCCTGAGAATTAAGTCCAGTGAAATATAGGTATAGCTCAGAATTTCTTGAGTTTCCTTTCAACTATGTGATTTCTATTTAATTGAGAATATTGTGTGATTTATTGATTATATTGGTGATTGATTATTGATTTCCAATCAGCACCTTGTAATTACTGGCTGTGACACTTATCACGTAGTCTGATACATGTCTACACCAGAAATGTTATGTGAACTCTCTTAATGAGATGTTAATTGATTGAGAATTGAGACTGATACATGAAATATAATTTTGATATTAAGGCATATATAATGATAATAATGAGCTGGTGAAATTTTTAGTTTCTTGGTGACTTATTTCTTATCATTGAAGATTCTTGCCAAAAATTTGATTTGTTCTTTGGAAATGTGGGATCCTTTGAACTCAGAATTGTGTTTGAGACCTAAAGGCAGGGTATTGTTTCTTTTAAACACCTGATGCCAACTTGACATCCATTTCGGAGAATCCACAAAGTCAATTGGCAGAGAGTCCACATAGCTAATAATGTTTATTTGGTATTTAGGTTTGTCAACTCAACATCCCTTGAGAGCTAATAATATCCTTTTTGTATTAAGGTTTATCAACTCAGCATCCCTTTCAGAGAGTTCACATAGCTAATACAACTTGGCATCCCTTTCAGAGAGTCCACATAGCTAATAATGTTTCTTTAGTGTGTTCAGAGAGTCCACACAATGATGTTCACTTGATATTTAGATTTGTCAATTCGATATCCCTTTCAGAGAGTCCACATAGCTAATAATATTAATTTTGTATAATTAAAAAGGCTAATGTTTAATGAACTTATCGTGATAAAAATGATTAAAATTAATGGTAATATTTGAATTCTAAACACTGTAATCATGACAGTCAAATTTATGTAAAAATTTAGCCTAAATTATGAAATTACCAAAATTATTATTTTGTCAATAGAAGAATAATCTAGAAAATGTCACATACCTTTAATAAGTACAGGTAAAAATATTCAAAAACCTCAGGTATATCTCATCATTGTTACAGACATCATCCCAAATTCTCCATTTTTACATCTAACACTGTCAATTCTACTGCCATTGAGTCACGTATTTACCATTCTTGTTAATCAACCGTATTCAGGTATAATTACCGCTCTAACAGTTTTTACTCGTCAATACCGGACTCTCTGTCAGTGGCGGCCATGTTTTATTTGTTTACTATAGCGATATTGAGACATCAATATATTATAGCTAGGCTTATCCAGTCTCTTATTGATTTAGCTTGGAATTGTCTTTTATCCAATATTCTCACGCGTAGTCTTTGTTATATGTTTTTAATCTGTTTTGAAAGGCCTAGGGAATAGAAAATGTAAAATATTTAATTCTATTTTGCAGTAATGAAGTTTAATGCCTTTAATGTTTGTTTTTCCTGTGTGCTGCAGGCTGTAATCAGACAAAATTTCCCTCATTGCACACTTCAGTTTGAGCTTCATGAACTGTACTTATTACCAAATTAAAGCAGAAAGATGTGGTGTCAGGCAGGGTATGTTTACTCTTCTAGACACCTGATATCACTTTCATTATGAAATACTTTCTCACTTATGATTAATATACTTCCTCATGCGAAAAGTTTATTAACTTCTACCAATGTTTTGCCTGTAAGTTGTTTTGTATTTCAGGTTTCATTTTGACATTCGGTTTGTTATTACTTGGTTTTTTTATTATGATACAAATTGAATGCCTAATGTGTTCTGAAAAAGGTTAAGGGCTTTGATGGAATGAATTTAGCTTTGATCTCATAGGAAAGATAAAAAAAACGAATTATGCTGTATTCCATTGAGTGTATGAAATAGACTCTGAATATAATTTAGATTGGAATGGTGTAAATCAATGCTATCAGTGTCTACAATACACATACAAAATTAAGAAAACCTCATTACAATCCCTTTAATTGCCAGTATTCTATAATGATAGAACTAAGAATGTGCCATGCCTCGAAGCCAGGATGGTATGACTGACTAAGATTGTCTATTGTCAGTCTCAATTATTAATGAAAGTTGAATGATTATGATATTTTGTTTGTTTAAATTATTAACAAAGAGTTCTATGGTGGCTCGTTTAGGACATATATATATATATATATATTTTTCAATACTGAATACTCTTCTAGACACCTGATATGACTTTTCATTATAAAATACTTTCTCACTTATGATTGATATACTTCCTTTAATGATTAGGTTTTGGCGCTAGGCAGGTTATGCTTACTCTTCTAGACACCTGATACCACTTTTCATTATGAAATACTTTCTCACTTATGATTGATATACTTCCTTAAATGATTATGTTTTGGCGCAAGGCAGGTTATGCTTACTCTTCTAGACACCTGATACCACTTTTCATTATGATATAGTTACTTATTTATAATTGATATATTTCTCATATGAAATTCATTAGCTGCTAGTAGTGTTTTACCAATATGTTGTTTATATTTTGGGTGTTGTTTTGTACTTCCAGTATACAGTATATTGTAATGGTTCTACAGTCGGACAAGAGTTACTCAATATTAAATATGGTTATAGTAACAGAAGATCGTGGATTACTGGTAGACAGAAGATATTATATGCTCTATTGTTTATTGGCTGTCCATGGTTTAAAGAACGCTTGACTGACATTGTTAATATTTTACATTTAACACAATGGCATCAACAGGTTTGTCTTCTTTAATCTTTTGGATAATAATTCCATTAATAATTGTAAAGAAAGAGAGAAAAGTATCATTTTATTTTACAAGGATAACAGTTAAAGTCCATGTGGATCTTGTCACGAGCTAGTCCTTGATTTTAACACTCTAACTGGCTGTGCTACAACCCTTTCTCAAGGAAAATAAAATTCCAAAAATTCACTACATTATGTAAATAAATTAGAATTATTTTGAGTTATCTGTATTTTTGTAGATTAATAAGTGTATAAAATGGATAGAAAACAGTTTAAAGTTAGTTACTGTGTGTAATTTCATGTTGTTTTTAAACCGTGGAGGATATATTAATATTATAGAGAGATTATTAGGAATACAGTCCTTGTATCCACACAGTCAAAATATTAGACAAGTAAGTTGCTTATGGATGGATGGATGGATGGATGGATGGATGGATGGATGGATGGATGGATGGATGGATGGATGGATTAAACAATTAAATGAATGAATGATTTAATGAATGATCAATTGAATGATCAATTGAATGAATGGAAAGATTTATGAATGAATGAAATAATGGTTGATTAAACAATTGAATGAATGAATGAATGAATGAAAGAATAAAAGATCAAATAAATGAATAATGAATGAAAAATTGTTGAATGAACACATGAATGAATAATGAGTATTTGGATGAATGAATGAACAAATGAATGAATATAGAACTGAGTAAATGAATGGATGTTTACAAGAATCTTTGTTTTGGCTTTCATGTATCTCAGAATTTTTGGTATAAATTGTGTCATGCCTTGTTTCTTGGTAAAGACTATAGTAATATCAGGAATCTTGGTATATTTTAGGTCAGCTTTGAGTTTATGACCAGAGAGCTGTTATGGAATGGTTTCTCAGTAAGTATATTATTATCTGGGGCTTCTTTGCAATAAACTTTTGAGATTTGTCGATGCTTTTAATTGGAAGACTTCTTGGAATCTATTAGCAAAGGGGTCAAGATTCCAACACCCTAACAATCTGAGCTACAGTCTGTCCTCAAGGACTCAACCAGTTCAATCTTTTTTTAAAAATTTTCCAGGAATTTTTGTTTTTTATCTTGCCATTAGTCAACTTACAGAAAATAAAAAACACGATAAAAAGATGGACGAATCGAAAAACAGAAAATATAAAAACTTTATGTCAACGTTCGGATCAGGATTTAAAATCTTGTGCTGTTTGTTCTGATTGGCCGATTAATCCACACGAAATCGGCTGTCAACATGTTTTCTGTTATTATTGTTTATTTGTAAGTCAATTTTTGTTTATTTATTTTTGGGGTCTTGGCATTGTCATCTTGTACTTACTTGGTTAGTAGGTGACTTTTTAACAGTTATTGCCCTTGACCAATATTAATTTAAATATTCAAATAAAAGTTGTGTTCACATAAAGTTATGAGTTATTGCCCTTGTCCAATATAAATATGAATTATTGTTTTCGTTTTCGTGTAATGTTAGTACCCATATTTGTTTGAATAAATGTTGTCTTTGTGTAAGTTACTTATTATGAGTTATTGCCCTTGCCCAATATTAATATGAATATATTTCAGAGTAACTATAAGGCAGACCCAGGGTTTGTCTGTCCATTATGTAATTATGGTATCGAAGATGAAACCAGCCTGAAACCAGTGGAACTCACTTGAAATACTTTTTAATAGAATGGTACAAAGATAAGAAAAGAAAGAACTATATTTTACAAGGATAACAACGCAGGTTCACAGTTAAGGATCCTTTCTACCAGCTGGTACTTGGCCATATCTCATTGATCTTTCCTGAATTATCCAAAAATAATTTGATTTTGTAAAGTCATTGTGAATATGTGACAATTACCGAAAAGCAAAGAAATTGCTGTCAATATTTCACAACCCAAAAAATAAACAAAACAAGTGCTTTAAGGCCAGTTTGACAAATACAAACTTGCTATTTTGCCCCTGAAAAATTACTAAATTGTGTGCCATTGACATTCCAAAACAAAGGTTATATTTTGTACCATTATTTTTATTAACAAAATCAAAAAATTTAAAAAAAAAACCTGTTACATTTTTATAGTAAATAAATAAAAGAAATATATACATTTCTTCATGCAAATCAAATCAATATCGAGGCCAGTGCTTTCGGGGATTTGCTTAGTTTTGACTTTCAGCTCCTTTGCCAAGAGATAATCAAGGATAAGTATGCAGCTTTTATGAAATAAATGATGTTTTACAGTAAAGTGTATAGCAGAGTTCTGCTCTATGGAAAGTATCAGTTGTGTGAGCTGAATGTCATCCATGAAATCCTGGGCAACCTTTCTGTATGGAGTCGCTGAATTTGAACTTGTCCGAGTGAACACCATGGTAGCAACTAAGGATATGGGGGTACAGCTATTGATTATTGGTCAAAAAGACCTGCAAGCATTTTAGGGCCACCAAATTAATTTTTGACCATAGCGTACACAGTAACAAATTTTGAACATGTTCAAGTATCCACTAAATATTTGGGGGAACGCCAAATTGCTTATTTGTCACCATTTTATATAAAGTAGTGTATGATATAAATGAAGACCAGTTCCGAGCAATCTTGAGCCACCTGTAAATTGTTCGTAGTAACCAAGTAACCACTAGGTATTAGGTTGACCACCAAATTGATTATTGGTCACCATATTATATAAAGTAGTGTATGATTTCTGTTGCTCCTGGATGACCTGAATATCGTCTAAAGCTCGCCCACAACTTTTTACTTTATCTTCCACTGTGGAAATCTTTCCAAGAATCTGAGAATTACTAGTTGTTAAATGTTCTTCCTCAGTTGCAAGTAAATTAATCTCACATTGTAAGTTGGCCACGTCTTGTAATTTCTGTTGTAATAATTCGGCCTTTTCTTGTTTTTGATTAATGACTGTTTTTAATTTGAAATCTGAATCTGAAACGAACAGAAAATATTCAGATTAGCATCGAATGAAATACACAACTCAAAATTTGCAGTGTATACTGATCTATTTTCTATTGACTTTGAGGGATTTTTAGTCAGATATCTGTGGTTCCTGCAATTCCAAAAAACTGTTTTATGACATCACTATTGCAAAAACCTTAAGCAGATAGTGAGGTCGTTTTCGGTTAACTAATTCTGTAATTTTAGGAACCACAGACATCTGATGGTGAATTTGGAATGGTGCAACAAAAGTCTGATACACATTAAAAGTTCAGAAAATGTATTTGCAAACCATTTAATGTCATCCTTCTCCCATCCGATTTAACTTTGACCGGGAATCAATTGTACGTACCTTTACTCAAAGCTATCAGTTGTTTTAATCCTAATTCTGCTTCTGTTAAATCTGATCGTATTGTCTCTTCTAGGCGTTTAGTCGCACCATCATCACAGTATTTCATATAATTATTTAACATACTGTTATTACCCTCTACTGGAACTTCTGCTGGAAAAAGGGATTTCAAGTTTTAAGGAGGTTTTCTAGCCTTTATATGTGTATCAGGGCCATTAATGGCTTCTACAATGATTGGTTATTCTATTGCATTCACATGCAAATTTCAACCAAAGGCAATATAGATTTAAGAAATGCAGATGAAACTTCCTTTAGTCTGAAGTTTGGCTTGAATCAAGGGCAATAACTCACCATGTATTTTAGATTCAGTTTCAGCCATAATGGGCATAGGTATAGGAACTTCTTCAGAGTGGGACAATCTAAAATAATATATATCAAATATAATTAAAAAAATATGTGGAACCCCTCAAATCAGGACTGTTGCTTTGGACATTATTTGCCGGATATGTCCGTTTTCCCTTGAAAATAGCCTCTATCGTACATAAAGAATAGGTCAGACCCTCCATGAGGCACTTCCGCAGCGCTTTGCATTTGGAATCTCCCCAATTAAGTCCCTCTGCCCTACTATTTGTACCTCAAGTTTCAGTAGGCTGGTGTGGCCATTGGATATATGAAAAATAATAATGAAACTTACACTATATCAGAAACTAAAGGTCCAACATTTTCTTCTGAGATTTGATTTGGTTTAATTCCTTTACTTCCAGTATTCCTGATAAAAATGAAATGAAATTTTACGCCTTACATTTCTGTCTTTGAATCGGCTTGCTAAGATAGGCGAGTCCATGCAGTGAGCAATGAGATGAATTTTGACATTATAGTGACATTAACCTACACTTTTTCTCTTTCTAACTGTTGAGGGAATTCTAATATGCAGAGCCTGTAACACACAGGGCCTCGGTTTACTGTCCCATCCAAATGAATTGACGCTTTTCACTGAGCAAATTCTCATTAATCTACTCCTTTGAAATTCCAAATTTCAATGGAATCCTTAAACTATTTCATATAGAAGCAAATATCAACTTACGTATTTTGAGAAGATTTTCGCGTGTCGGTTTTGTTTGGTTTAGGGGTAGAAGATGAGCTTCCTCTACTTGGTTTCTGGAACACTACATTATTCCTGGCTTTAAAACTATCCAACCAACCATTTGAAGCTTTGAAATCTGCGTAACCAATTTCTTCTGCGAATTCTAAAGCCTTTTTCCTTAATAGTGGACCAGAAAGATGAATTTTTTTGGACAGAGCGTCTTCAATCCAGTCCGTTAACAGATTATCAAGTCTATGTCTGATGGAGTCAATGTCGCGTAAACACAATCGTTTTCGAGCTGGATTACTTTGATTCTTATTGTAACAATCTAAATATTCAGTCTTTCGCTTTAAAATCGAACCAACTTGGGATTTACTGATTTGAAACTTCTGAGCTAATTTTCTATGTGACTGGTTGCCTGATTCATTGATCAATTCCACTTTTTCTTGCAGATTCAATTCTCTTCGGATAGATTTCGTTGGCGCCTTGTCAGAAGGTAGGCTTAAGGACGGAATTGATATTTTTGATTCATCCGAATTTGCATCAGAGATTTCAGTATCCTGATCTTCGACTTCAACAACTTCATCTACTGTAGAATCAGTGATCTCCTCAGGCTTCACTGACATTATAGCAGGTTCTTCCAGTTTCACTTGCATGTTTTTTCCACAGTGCACAATATCAGACTCCATACTGTTTCAGTGGAGCTTGGAGAGTAGCCTAGATAGAAGGAGGGCAGGGTAGGCTTATATAAGAAGCAGGGTCAAAAAAATAGATATTGAAGCACAGATACAAAAGTGTTATTCATCCAATCACATTCACAAAAGTAACAGAATTATGACCATTCGTTTCCAAAACAGCTGTCTTATTCACAACGTTTACTACAAAAAGTGTCTTTTCCAAGTTTATTCTTGGTTTGATTCGGATGTCTGGATTGACGATTTAGAAAATTGCAGCTTTGCACAATCGATCTGCAAATAAATTGGAAATCTTAATACGTGTCCGCATTAACAAGAAGAGTTTCGCAGCCTTCGTATAAAGGTGTAATGTACTTGTCCAATTTAAGACACGTAAATTGGATAATTTAATTGAGGTAATTGCAATTAGCCTCAAGTCAAAACAATAAAGTTATCTGCCCTTGGATTGTAGAGTAAGACACGAGTAACGTCAAATCGTCCTTTCGTCAAATCGGACAGCGACACTAATGGTAATAAGGCTGAAGGCATATAACATAGCTAATCGTCCTTCAGTTTATAGAATATTCTTGTTCTTGACTCCTCGCTCCTGTTTAGGGAATTCGCTTGCTTTGTTCATCATATGTCTAAAGTTCAAGTGTGGCAAGTTGGCCCAAATTCCAAAACTATAGCTGTCTTACTGAGGACTTTGTATCCGACAGGTGATTGCAGCATGAGATGAGCTCTAGTCAAGTAGAGACACATAATAAGGGCTACGATATAAAAGGCTGTTGGACGCAACATTCTTTTGACTGACTTTGAATGAAAACTTTTAAGTAATTTTTTTCAGTGGATAAAAATGAACAAAATTGACGAAAGTTAAAATTTATTATGATTATGTACAATATGTATGCTTGTAAGAATTATGACACAAAATACATGATGTTTCAATAACACGGTTTCAACCCTAGGATTACCCCTATAACGTGCCTGGCCCCAACCACCCTGAGGTAATAATTATGGGACCTTTTGTGTATGATTAAAACAATGCATAAAATACAATTATTTTTGACAATGAGCATAAAATGTAAAAATGAAATATTTACAAACGAAGCTGCTTTGAGCAATTAGTTAAAAAAAATTACAACAAAAATGCAGTATTTGACGTCAATTAAAATATAATCTCCAATGGCTTTCACATTTTGTATCATCAAATTTGTAGAACCGTAAGAGTGTAGTAGTCTTGCAATTTGGGTGTCACCCGAGCCCTCCGGTACCTCCCCCACCCCCTTCCATCTTCCGTCCTCAGCCCTGGGATTGAATTACAATTTGAGCTGTTCGATAGTATCGTCCTCCAAAACGAAATAAGTATTTTTAGGGGTGGGGTCATCTATATGACCAGCCTTACTGTAGTCCTGTTCCGACTCAGGGACGGGCCTATAATCACCCTCCATATCAGAGGCTACAGAGTATTCATTCTCTTTGTCCCGAGGCCCCAAGGGATCATACCCTGCTGGTCGCGGCATCTCCACCCTTCCGCTTATGTCCTCTATGGACGCTCCGTCCGCACCTCTCCGTTCCGACGTCAGTATTGATTTATCCGGTACAGGACTGTGGCGCGGAAGGTCGTCTGGTAGCAGATAGTCGTGGGTAGAATCCTTTTTGCCTTCTTGTGGGTATTTTGAGTATCTCGGAGGTAACTCTGGAGGCTTAACGGGAACTGTTCCTCGAGATTTATTGTATATCTGCAATGTAAAACAAAACGAGCTGTGAAATATACCAAATTAGTCCATTTTTTCCCGGCTTTACAATTATTTTTGGTGTGGCAGGGTAGATGCAGGATCCTGTCTGGTCCTTGGCCAAACCTTTTGGTAATGAATAACAAGGATAAAAACTTCGGTTCTCGAGTATCTTTTTACAACCTAGTCCTTGGTCAAATCAACTCGAAATTTACTGATTAAACGTTAAGAGAAATTCAACTATAATTTTAATGGCTGTCAACATAGGATCTCGAACCAAAAACGTCTTTGTACCGATCTTTCCTGGATTATCCACACCCATTTACAGCTGAGAGGGGACTGATAGATGAGATCTTACCGGTTCTGAATACGGGTCTTCAGTAATCTCCAACTGTTCCCGACTTCCGCTGGCTCGACTCAGATGGTAATTTACTCTCATTAGGGACTCTTCCCTGAAAAATAAAACCATTGGCTATGAAATGAAATGAAAGAGAATTTTACGTCATACTTTTCGAAACGTTGAGTATACTAAGTAATGGCAAAGTCATCTTCACAATCTCAAGGTATCACATAATTTTGTAAATGCAGCGATTTGATTGGATTGTATGCTAGAAAATACAACCAATCAGAGCCCTCGAAACATTCAAGAGATAGTACAGCAATTAATTCAAACGACTACATCCCTTTAAATGGTCAAGTTAATACAATACCACTGAAAGCTAACAGAAGACAGACGCTTCTTTGTCCACTCTGGTCAAGTAGTAGTCCGAAACATCTGCCTCTATTCCAGCCTCTGATAGCTATTTTGACAGTTGTCGACTGGAGTCAAAATATCTATCAGAGGTTGGAATACAAATGAAATTCATGCAGATTAACGCCTACTGTTCTGTACATTATTGGCTAATGAAGACGGAAAAAGTCAGGCAGTGTTCAAAGAGGGAAACTTTGCCAGGACAGCGGTATTCGCTTTCGATTTCAAACTGTTGAGGGATCTTTAACCTGTAGCTGGTTTCAGACTAGTCAAGTAGATGAATTCATAACATATACAAATTACCTTAGTTTTCTTTTTTTCTTGTTTTTCTTTCGTCGTTTACAACAGCAGATAATCGTTACTATTAATAGAATAATGAATAACAGACCACCAGCACCAATGGCGGCTCGGTACCTGAACGGGAACCTGGGACTGACTGGAATAGAGAAAAAATAAAAAAATTAATCTAACTGACATAACCTATCAAAACTATTAACTATTAGTACCTGTCAAATCAAAGAGAAAACCTCGAAAGAGCGTGTTGATCACTGGCACTGGATAAGTAGTAATAACAGGAATACTTACTCTTCTTTAAGGAGTTACAGGTACACTGTATATGTTCTAGCTGATGATTGAGAAAACTTTCAATACGATGATGGACTCGAGAATTACAAATATCTTCTTCTTGTCGATCTGCTAGTCTGAAATGATACAAATACATCATGAAAATTCAAAAAGTCATACTTAATCATATACTCATAATACCAAATACCAGACCAGACAAAATAAGCTATGTGGACTCTCTGAGAGGGATCTCGACCACAATTTCAAAATAAGATATGCTGAAATGGACGTCCATTGATACAGAGAACATAACCAAGCACAACGTCAAAAACTATGTTACTAGATTGGTCCAATCTCATGCGAATCACAAATAAATTCTCGATGCCACGCAATATACTGAACTGTTTAATAACATCTGGTCTTTGTCTCAGTCACTTTCTGTATAAATAACCAATCCGTCAAAATTTGATAGTGTTTGTCCGACAGCCTCTCGATATTTTAACATATTCAAGTGTTTCAGAAGAGGTTTTCTAGACTTTGTAAATGTATCAGGGACACTTGTTGCTTCTCTTTTCGCACAATTTACACCATTGCCCCTCTGGGTATATTTCTTGCCCTTCCCAACAATCAAGTCTGGCTACGAGTCTGCATTTTCGACAAGGCCTACCATTAAATGCATATAGCGACAATCCCAGCCTACTTTGAGAATGTTTATCCCACCCACCCAAGCTGTCTTTGCCCAACACCCTGGCATTGTCCTCTCCCCAACCCTGCATTAAGCACTCCCCTCCTCGTCAAACTCACCGACAAATCTGGTCGAGATGATCTACTGGTTTATTGTGAGATTCCATCGTTTCGTTATGTAGACAGTCTTTGACGTCCTGCCACTCGTTTTCGCCATCATGGTGGTCCCCTTCTAGTTCCATGGAGTCCTTCAACTTTTTGCTGACATCTTCTTTAATAGACTTTCTCTCTTTATCCTGACATTGGGACGAGGCTGTGGTGGTATTGGTTGTATCGGGGTACAGGAACCTGGAATGAACAGGGGAATAAGTTGATCTGTAGACGTACGTGAAAGGATGTTATTTCACTAGCCCAATAAAATTACTTCAAAAAAATGGGACATAAAACTCCATTTCATTCCATTATCCCAATAAAAGTAGGACATAAAATTTTCACATTCAATTTCAATTCATTATCCCTATTAGATACAAAAAATGCCGAAGGCCAGTCGGACGTAATACTCTATTTTAATTCAAAGCAAAAACTGTAGTCAGTAAATGAAATGAAATGAGTTTTATGACCTGTTTTGCAGAAACTGTAGACACAGGACGTAAAACTCCTATCATTATGAATGTTTTATTAATTGAAATAGAGTCTAAGAATACACGTCAAGCGACAATATATTAGTCTGTTTCGACAATTTGATTAATTTAACAAGCAAGAGAATGTCGCCATCAGATAAACAGCCCGATATAGCAGATTGGATAACCGATATCAAATCTTCAGTACATCTGCATAGTTTGGTTTACTTTCTAGACGATTAGATGTACTTTAAGTGGTAGCCAGTCGACCCAGCTGTAAATGGGTGCAGATAATGCAAGAATTCGCATAAGATTACTCCCGACTTGTAAGGAGTCGAAGACAGACAACGGCATGCAGTGTGCAATGAGAGAAATTTTTGCCAAGACAGCAGTATGAGCCTATTATCTGATTTCGAACTGTCGAGGGATCTTTAATGTACACAGCCTGTAGTACAAAGGGCCTCGGTTTGTTGTCCCGTCCGAACGCTTTTTCCATGTCAGCCCCTCCGACCTGCATCACTGACAAAGGAAGGGTATGAAAGAGGGGGAGGGGAGAGGGGAGGTAAACATCTGATATAAAGGGCCGTTAACTTACCCACATATCAGTCTAAGATCTATATCACCTCCTTGTAGAATCAGATGAATATTCTCTTGTGAATACAGCTCATTTAAACACACTTTAAACTCTTTACATTGTTTCTTCACGGCCTGTAGGTTATCTTTGATAAACTGTTTATGACGATCTGAAAAATAGAAATTTTGAAATGAAATAAATTGAGTTTATTGGACTAATGAAATGAAATAGAGTTTTATATCCTACTGTTTTGTATCTTATTGGACTAATAAAATGAAATAGAGTTTTATATCTTACTGTTCTGTATCTTATTGAACTATTGAAATATTATTTCATGGGAATCCATCTTGAAATAGTTTAATGAATTCCTAAATATATAACATGTCGCTCATCCTAGAGTAAAATATGTAAAGTCATGTCGAATTAGAATATAGACTACAATATAGGTCTATAGTCACCTTCCGCTTGAGATGGTCAACCCGGACGTTTGTGAAATAAAGCTACCTTGTTTAAAAGTGTCATATCATTGAGTTAGATCATAAAGCCTATGTGGGCTCTCCAAAATCGATTAACCAACTCAAATACCCAAATAAACATTATTAGCTATATAGAGTCTCTCTCTGAAAGGGGGTGTAGCTGGCGAACCTAAACACCAAATGAACATTATTAGCTATGTGGACTCTCTGAAAGGGATATTGAGTTGACAAACCTGAACAACGAATGAACGTTGTTAGCTATGTGGACTCTCTGAAATGGATGCTATGTAATATCAGATGTTCTGTGCATTTTTGTTTGGGGGGTGGCCCTCGGGGAATTCAACGGTTGTAATTATCTCAATGACATATCCTTATGTACGTATATATACATTGTCACGAAGACAATACAATCTAATTTTACATCTACATGTTGTAAGAAGGCAACAGGGAAGTTTCTGTGACTGAGAAAGGAAACGACGCGTAGAAACTAACGGAAATATTCAAAGATGTAGATAAGATGGCATCATTTGAAGGAAGTCAATATTTGCTAATCGGAAATTGAAGAAACAAAGTGACCCTATCTATAGATGAATGATATCACCATATTTTAAAGAATCAGGGGGAAATTATGTAATCTAGGAAACGATATGATGAGATGATCGGACAAGTGCACACGTTCCACAAATTTTAGAAACGCTCTCGGGGGGGGGGGGAAGCATATTTTGGGCTCGTCACCCTTTCCCTCCCCCTCCCCTTCCCCTGGACTCTCTTAAAGTATATGGGCAAGTCTTATTTCTGACGGAGCCATAGGACCATCACCTAAGCACCCCCCTCCCCTTTTCTGTTTAAACGTTAGAGAAACCCTCTTCAGATCACAACTAACGTCGTCATTGTCTAATGCACTTCATTATTACACTTTTGGCAAACATTCGGGGGAATCCAACTTTAAGATATGAATAATAAAAATGTTCGTATATCAGCGGTTGACCTCATTTACGCTAACTTATTTAAAAGTGCCAGAAGGTAAAGATAGGTTGACCCAGTATCCTGTTCCGTTTCCGCTCCAAATTGACTTGACGGGGAGTAACGAGTCTATTAGTACGATAGATAGATTTAAAGTGGTTAGAATTTCTATTTCATATAATTCAGATCCTTAATGATCTCTGCACCCATAATCTTTGAACTATCAGAGTTAATCTACTATTCTCTACAAAATGAAGTTTGATATCCTACTGTTCTGTATCTTATTGGACTAATGAAATGAAATAGAGTTTTATATCCTATTGTTCTATATCTTATTAGACTAATGAAATGAAATGTAGTTTTATATCCTACTGTTCTGTATCTTATTGGACTAATGAAATGAAATAGAGTTTTATTTCCTACTGTTCTGTATCTTATTGGACTAATGAAATGAAATGTAGTTTTATATCCTACTGTTCTATATCTTATTGGACTAATGAAATGAAATGTAGTTTTATATCCTACTGTTCTGTATCTTATTGGACTAATGAAATGAAATGTAGTTTTATATCCTACTGTTCTGTATCATATTGAACTAATGACATGAAATAGAGTTTTATATCCTATTGTTCTGTATCTTATTGGACTAATGAAATGAAATGTAGTTTTATATCCAACTGTTCTGCACCTTATTGGACTAATGAAATGAAATAGAGTTTTATATCCTACTGTTCTGTATCTTATTGGACTAATGAAATGAAATGTAGTTTTATATCCTACTGTTCTGTATCATATTGAACTAATGAAATGAAATGGAGTTTTATATCCTACTGTTCTGTATCTTATTGAACTAATGAAATGAAATGAAGTCTTATACCTTATTGTACTGATAAAATGGCGATTTTTGTACGAATGTTTTATAAAAGAAAGATGGACTTAAATATGTTGACCTTTTCAGTATTCAGTACACCAGTAATAATCATGTATTCAGTACACCAGTAATAATCATGTATTCAGTACACCAGTAATAATCATGTATTCAGTACACCAGTAATAATCATGTATTCAGTACACCAGTAATAATCATGTATTCAGTACACCAGTAATAATCATGTATTCAGTACACCAGTAATAATCATGTATTCAGTACACCAGTAATAATCATGTATTCAGTACACCAGTAATAATCATGTATTCAGTACACCAGTAATAATCATGGACGTGTTGGCACTCCCCAAAGACTTGTCTATAGTAGTGTTAGGTAATTTCGATTCATCTCATTTCACATTCAGGCCGTCCTAGGACAATTTGTTTCCTAAGATATTTATATTGCATGCTATGAAATAGGTCCGGGGTCGCATTAATGAGGTAATGCTCACTCATTTGGAATATTTAATGCCACTCGGCGATTAAAACTTCATTTTACTGGTTTAATAAGATACAGAACAGTAGTTCATACAACTCAATACAATTTAATTTCTCAATTTAATTTTCAATGGTATTGTTATATTTCTTTAGTTTTTAGAAAACTGTTAGTCGACTGTCCAAAATGAAAAAAAAACCAAAAATGCCGACGTATTGTGTCAACTTTGATGACAAATAGATGTAAAAAAACAAATACGTGTCCAAGTCGCTCAAACAGTCTGTAGAAATATTTTGTTTTTGTTATGTTTTGATTAGGCTTACACTCCTCTCGAAGTAAACAAAATTCTCTATATATAAATATTTCTATGTAATGTTTTTTTTCAATTACTGTACACGTATTACAAATTGTTTTTTTTGGTGAAATTATGACAAATAATTAGACAACTTTAAGCTCTATCAGCGAATATTAGAACGACTATAATCTCTTTAATACACGTGAAGTTGTTGCAGGATGGGATTTCAGAAAACGGTCGCACCATGTTACCGGTGCCAATTATAATTTAACAGTAAATTGGCATCCTTTGAAATTTTAGTCTGATCTTTTAACGCTGGAATTATTTCAGCGCCTGCCAGATTGCCTTTCATCACGACAGGTGGTTTGGAGGCTGTTTTCACCTTAGACACGTTTATTCTCCTTTCATTCATGTGGTAAATTCAAAACGAATCTAAATACATTTTATTTGAAAGAATACTAAAGTATAGGGTGCTATTTTATTTTTCGATGAAGGGTTTTTATTCTGTGCTTGGTAGAAAAGAACCCTCTAACAAAGGTCCTTAGTTAGATTTGTGGCCTTTGTATAATTTACGTCGCAAGAACCACAGACATCGGATTGAAAATTGGAATGCTGCAAATCGATGCTAACAGTGTCCCTAATACACATAAAGTTTGAAAACTGTCTTGCTCTCTACAGGTCTGAGTAAGCTCCATTCCCATACTATTCAACACGAAAAGAGTCGTTACTGTCTTTATCTCTGTGTTAGAAAAATATCTTCATGTCTTAGTGCGGTTGCTACAAATCTAATAAAGCTGCAGTCCCATTCTGACTATTTCAATATAAAATGTTTGCTGGTTGAACATGATTAGGTCATATTAAAGTATTTTAAAATCAATGAATGATTAATATTGAATTCTAGATGACATCACTAGGTTGGTATTTCTCTCGCAGCAATAATATATTTACTTATTGATTATTCTCTACTGTACTATAATCCTCTTGTTGTTTAACAAAAACTTCATACAGTTAGAAATGAAATAGAGTTTTACGTCCTACTGTTCTGTATCTTATTGGACTAATGAAATGAAATGTAGTTTTATATCCTACTGTTCGGTACCTTATTGGACTAATGAAATGAAATGCAGTTTTATATCCCACTGTTCTGTATCTTATTGGACTAATGAAATGAAATAGAGTTTCATATCCTACTGTTCTGTATCTTATTGGTCTAATGAAATGAAATAGAGTTTTATATCCTACTGTTCTGTATCTTATTGGACTATTGAAATGAAATAGAGTTTTATATCCTACTGTTCTGTATCTTATTGGGCTAATGAAATGAAATGTAGTTTTATATCCTACTGTTCTGTATTTTATTGGACTATTGAAATGAAATAGAGTTTTATATCCTACTGTTCTGTATCTTATTGGACTAATGAAATGAAATGTAGTTTTATATCCTACTGTTCTGTATCTTATTGGGCTATTGAAATGAAATAGAGTTTTATATCCTACTGTTCTGTATCTTATTGGGCTAATGAAATGAAATGTAGTTTTATATCCTACTGTTCTGTATCTTATTGGACTAATGAAATGAAATGTAGTTTTATATACTACTGTTCTGTATCTTATTGGGCTAATGAAATGAAATGTAGTTTTAAATCCTACTGTTCTGTATTTTATTGGACTATTGAAATGAAATAGAGTTTTATATCCCACTGTTCTGTATCTTATTGGACTAATGAAATGAAATGTAGTTTTATATCCTACTGTTCTGTACCTTATTGGACTAATGAAATAAAGTTGTTCGTCCTAATTTCCCGAATTCCCACCCAACCAACTAGGATCTAGTTGAGTCTCGTCTTGATTTATTACATAAGAGCAGTAGACTGTAACTTTATAGTGAAATAATATATTTTATCATATCCTGACAGATAAACATTCTTCTGATTATTAACACATAATTCTTAGAAATTCTATACAGCTGACTGGGCTTGTCAGTCAACATAGCTAATATTGTCAATTTGGCATGTGGGTTTGTCAACTCGACATCCTTTCAGAGAGTCCACATAGCTAATATTATTTATTTGGTATCTAGGTTTAACAACTTGGCATCCCTTTCAGAGAGTCCACATAGCTAATATTATTTATTTGGTATCTAGGTTTAACAACTTGGCATCCCTTTCAGAGAGTCCACATAGCTTATATTATTTATTGATAGTTAAGTTTGACAACATTGCATTCTTTTCAGAGAGTGAAAATAAATAAAGATTTGTGTTTGGTATGTCGCGATTTACAACTGTCAAAGTGGGTAGCGAGTTAGATTGTCGTCTGCTAGGCAAGCTTAATTGGTTCGAATCCCCCAGACTCTTCTCGGCTCTCGGCCATATCGCCACAAGGACATTGACGAGTCAGTGACACAGCAGTGGTCATTGTCCGTATTCTGTCAGTAAAAAGGACAGATGTTCACATTGACCACCTTGTAATAAATAATCAATCACAGTACGATTTACACGATCTGTTTCATTGATCGATACATCATACATAATATTTCACCAATGTTTAGAGGTTAGAGATTACATGTAATAACCTATCACTAATACACATTTTACATTGTTATCATGGGTGTAAATGTTATACTACTACTGGGTTTTATTCTACACAACGTTTCAACAATTTACATTGTCATCATTAGTTTATATGGTATACTACTCCCGAGTTTTATTGTACACAACGTTTCAACAATTTACATTGTCATTATCAGTTTATATTGTATACTACTCATGGTTTTTATTGTGTAAGCCTACAATAAAATGGGGGGAAGGGGGGACTTTATTATAAAAAGTGTTAATTTGTTGAAACGTTGTGTAGGCCTGCATCCTAATGTTGATTAAAGAAACGTTGTTATAAAACTGATGATAATGTAAATTGTAGAAACGCTGTTACTTAATCAAGAAATAGGATAACAGCAAATAAAGTGGTGATAACAATATAAATTGTAGAAACGATGTACCATAAAATAATTTCACTATATACAAGATATGAAACGTACATCAGATATTGTCCCGTAATTAGGTCAATGAACATGCTAGATGCCGCCCAAAGTCGAACATCTCGCGTTGACTTGTTTAATCCTAATCCGAATTAACTCTTGCGAATTAGGTCGATCTTTGACAACAAAAGGTGTATTATAAGATTTAAAATTTACCTGAATATTCCGCACATTCCTCTAGAGCGTGCTCATGGTCGTATTTATCTCCTAATCCGTCGCCACTTCCCATTTTGTCAAAAATTTCAAGATTAAGTTTCAATATTTAGACATAGTCATATATACACATTGCTTATACTAATAAAACTCATTATACTATTATATGACTCGTATAGCGGCCTAGTCAACAGGTCAAAGTTCACGACTGCGCAGATAACGATTCAATAACCGCCTACGATGTTTATTTGTATGCAGTGTCTTTGTATTGATAAAGTTACAACAGGCTTCACAACACGTGAGATTGTCGTTCTATGTTCATTAGTCCGAAACTTCTTACCTTGCCCCTGATAGCTACTTTTGACAGTTTTTGACTTTTTAAAAAGATATTGTCTGGTAGCCATTTGAATGTGTAGAAAATTAGGGCGTAAAACTCCATTTCATTTCGAAAGTTGCAGATATCCCTTGTTGAATAAGAATCTTTCATATTTGGAAGAAAAGTTATCAAATTAGGTTAGAAGGTTAGAAAAATTCCCTTTAAATATTTCATTTTACTGACTCCCACTTGACCGACATCTGTTACCAATTAAAGGGACATGGTCGTCTAAATATGTATGCTTAACCAGTTGATAGAACTTAATTTCAACTAATCAACCAGACGTCGAAATTTAATTCTTTAAAGTGGTTCCGGCAGCTGAAATTGAGCTCTATCAGCTGAATATTTAGATGGTTTTATAAGAAGAGTCGACTAGTTTCGGATTAACTAAAAGTATATGAAATTCTATCTTTCTTATGCAGAATTGATAATGTCGATCGGATTATATACCGGATAGTATTTCTTTACATAAGCCTAGTATAGTTTTTTTTGTACGACACCTGGCGAAATTGTAACTACCATTGGAGAGGGTACTCTTTTTGAGTAGCTTGGACTGATCTGGTGAAAACTGCATTTAATGCTCGGGAACTCTAAATCTATACAGGCTTTTCTATTGATAAATGGTAAAATGCCCAGCTTAACCTTTCATACGATCGATTTGACTTATTTGAGGTCGAGCTGTCTTATTAGAATCCAAAATGGTGGCGATTCAGTCATGAATCAAGGGAACATAACTCTTTTGTTTATACTCGCTTTCAAAGTACAAAATGGCACATGACCAAACGTGAAAAACTGTCTCAAAATTTTTGAGTTTTAAAGGCCCAAATTAGGCCAAATCTCTGTCAAAATTTTGCAAAATCGAGATCTACCAATCCCCATCATGTATGAGCTTTTTGATGTGGCCAAACTCTTGTCAGTGCGCAAAGAATACAGACAGACAGAACCCGAATCTGAAACCTCCCCTCAAAAAGTTTGCATTAAGAACTATGCTTGGCGAGAAGAGGGTGAAATCTGCATGCTGGCTCTGTATTGCTCTAATAGTAAGTTGATGCTGTTTGCCTTTCTCCAGTCCGTTTGAGGTCTTAATACTTCATTATCAAGTATTATTTGGATAATGGTAAAGAAAGGGGGGGGGGGGGGGTGGGGGCTAATAGGTCTAGCCTACTGTCTCAATAAGAGTTGAACATATTTAAAAATGAATAGGGAGTTAAACATCCTAGTTTTCTTTCCAATAAAAACAGGCAATGCCAACCAGTGTTAAATGGCTAGTAAATTTTACCAGGAGAGCTAGCCATCCACTTTTAGAGATGTGCACTATAAGACCTTATGACTAGCCTACATTTTGAAATACTTAATAGACAGGAGTGAAGAATTGAGTATTTTGTTTCAGATTATTTATTATTGAGACATAAAACAGCCAATAAAAGTCCTGAGATTAAACAGATACCATGGCCAGCCGAGAAAACGATTATTTCCATGTGTTTTGATCCAACTGTAGTTTGGTTATTGGTGATCACTGACACACCAGATATTTATATCATTCCAGCTTTATGTCTCTTGGTAAGTAACAGATGTCTGGTAGCTTCAGCCAGTAAAACCTTGATTTTATACAGCAACATATTATAAAATAATCTTTGAAACTGAAACTTGATCTAAAGGCTAATTACTAATAAGATAAGAAATGCTTCCATGGACATGTATCCATACAGATTAGGTCATTCTCCTCTGAGTATTTTGTACAGGTTTCCCTTATTGCATACTTCTTTCAGGAGCCGAAATCAAGAGTAAACCAGCTCTGGGCGACTAACGATGCCACACAGATAACATTAAACAAACCAACTGGGATGGTGACCAAGGTCTGTTGGTGGCATACTCTAGAAGATGATCAGATTGCTATATATGGTACTAAGGTGGGTGTAAAACTCCACCTCCTTTCTTTCATTTCAACTAGATTGTCTTATAGCTCATATAACTCATTAGCCCAACAATATATTCATTAATGGTTCAGCTTATTATAAATCCAAAAGTTATGCTAAATTTTGTGTTTGTTTTGGTGAAAATTCTCAAAAGCAAGCGTTCCAAAAATGAATCAAAGGGGCGACACTTTGTGTCAGACTCTTTAGAATTTTCACCTCTATTTTGATGTTTTAATCTAGGCTGGGGAGATCGTGCTAATAGATTTACTACGACGTAGAATGGTGGCCTGTACAAGTATACACGGACAAGTCATAGACCTAGATCTAATACAAGATGATCAGCAGATGACCACAGTTCTTTTGGTTGGTACTTTTAATTTCATGAAGCAGCTTTCAGTAATCATTTTTTGGATTAGTTAAGAGGAATCTAGCACATTCACATAGAAAATGTCTTAATGAAGCTCTATTATTTCATTTACTGTTTAATTTCAAATTCCATTGTAGATCACAGGTAATTCTGGTAACCAATGGAAACTGTTGTTAGAGAGTCGGTCGCAGCAGAACTGGAGACCAATGAATGAAACGAGTCTGTTAGGATCTGAGAGACGTCTCCCCTCTATAACTAATATAATGATGAATTCAGGTTTGTAGGCCAGTCAGTGGCATTTCTACAGGGGGGTGAGGTGGAATCCGTCCAGAAATCAAGCTGGCCCATACTTTTAGCAAGTCCATAAATGACCATTTCAGAAAGTTCAAAGAACGTTTTCTACTCTAATTGTGTTGGAATCAATATCCACTCCAGTCAAATGGCAAGTGACACTATTTGATGCTTTGAGAGAGTTCACAAATGACCATTTCAGAGAGTCCACATGGCTTTATTTGATAACTGTTATATTCAAACCACTGAATCTGTTGCAGATGAATTAAAAGGGATGTTCACACCAGTAAAATTCACCCAATTTGATCGTTCTGTTATCCTGTACCCGCAAAACGCCAAGGGGCGCCATTTTGTTACTGCTCACTGTGATAAAACATCCACGTTTCAGGTAAGAATAGTGATTACCTCCCCTAGAAAGTCCAGGATTCAGGTCAAGTTAGCCACTTAACAAGTAAGAGGAGCTGACGTTCATATGGACAATAATCTTGGGTCCAATGTACTACAGACTTAAGCTTAAGATCTCTCGACAGTTGGAAATAACTAATTATGTTACTATTTGGGTGTGTCAACTTGACATCCCATTCAGAGAGTCCACATAGTTGTCCTGACTAATCCATGAATCCTTTCCCAAAATATTTTTTTTAATCTTTTAGGTGTTTGACAGTCATTTAGAACATTCACCATTTTTTATCTACAAGTTACCGTTTGGAACGTACAACGTTATTTTCACTGATTGTTTGATGTTTGCTATATCCAGTATCCATGGGCAACGGTTATTAGTTTTATCCAATCAGAAAGCTGAGATCTCTTCTGAAGACCAACAGGTAAGCAGACATTTTCTCAACAAGAAATTGGGACTTGCTGTACTAGCAGATAACACTTAATTTTAGCTACCTGTAACACTTTCCAGAATGACATTTGATGTGCAGTAGGCACTATAGGGGTAAAAATGGTAGGCAAAACTTTAAACAAAATTCTCCATGATTTAACATCCATTGCTATAGAAGCAATATTTTTTTTTTTTTTCATAATCTACATCTTTCTTTAATGCCTTTTTGTTACAGGAATTCAACAAGGATGCAATTCTACAGAAGTTTGAACTCCCACATGGTGAAAAAGTTTTGGGAACTCAGAAGAAAAGTTTTCCATTTTATTGGCATGAGAGAGCAGAGGCTGAAGATCTTGACAACAAGAAAGATAACTCTGTATCTTCTTTAGATTCCATACGACTATCATCTCATACTGTATTAGATGGTTGTATTGTTGTCACTAATTCTTCAGTGTTTGAATGTAGACCCAGGTATGTTGTGTTTGGAAATATTGTCAGAAACAAAGTAACTTTGATATTGGATTTACACAAATTTGTAAATGCAGCTATTTGATTGGATTGTACATTAGCGAATAGAGCCAGGCTATGATTGCCTGTATTTGCAGCTGTACAGTCCCATCAAATTGCTGCATTCCTTGATACAAGAAAAGTGGCTCTTGCAGTCAAGGTATAAGAATGAATTACGTAATAGCTTGACATTGTAAAGATGCTGATAGCATTGTAGCCTTGGTTTGCAATTTTTTGGTGCTTCAACTTAGATAAAGACATTTTTTTGATATAAAATGATGATCTGTGTTTGCTTTCAGAGTATCTCCTGAGCGTTTATTTTTAAAATTAGCAGTCAAGAATAATGATGCCAGCGTCTCGGAATCACTAGGAATTAGTATCGGTCTGAATCTGTCAAATTTATTTGAAATAGCGGCTGATCATCTTCTGGTGTTAAACAATACAACTCAGGCTTTATGTCTCTACAAACTCTCCAAGGTGGGTCAATTTCAGCCTACTGTGTCACTTTTCAGAATTCAAATCTGTGTCCAGTTGGCATACAATTCAATAAGACACAGAACAGTAGGATATAAAGCTCCATTTAATTAGTCCAATAAGATACAGAACAGTAGGATATATAAAACTCTAATTCATTTCATTAGTTCAATAAGATACAGAACAGTAGGATATAAAACTCTAATTCATTTCATTAGTCCAATAAGGTACAGAACAGTAGGATATAAAACTCTAATTCATTTCATTAGTCCAATAAGGTACAGAACAGTAGGATATACAACTCTATTTCATTGCATTAGTCCAATAAGGTACAGAACAGTAGGATATAAAACTCTAATTCATTTCATTAGTCCAATAAGATACAGTAGGATATAAAATTCTTTGACTTATTTTTCTGATTACAGTGTTCCTATGTTAAAAGAGTGTCTAGCCTATTAAAGTATAAACATTACAGTACAGCAATGGAGGTTCTGCAGAAAGTATTAGGTAGTAGTCATATAGTACTGAGTACTAGTGATAGAAAACAGTTGTCTAACTTGGCATTGAAATGTTATATACATGAAATATACTCCTGTACTGATACACCTAGCCAACTTATTGAACCCTTCAGGTTAGTGCTTGATTGATTCATGAAGGGGCTTGAGTCTATTTCTATATATAACCCTTGATTTTGCCAGTCCTTATGCTTGTTGTTTAAGGCTATTACATTTTAGGGTTGCCTGCCCTTTTGCGTCATTTCTCTTCTCTTCTTGAGACCAAACGGAACAATTGATGTCACTTTGCAACTGTTTTTGCCAAATTAGCATCTCATTCACAGAGTTCACATTTACTTTGCTATTTGGGTTTGTCAACTCAAAATCTCTTTCAGAGAGTCCACAAAACCTGTATATTAACTTCATTTTGCATTTTTCAACTCAGCATCCCTTTCAGAGAGTCCACATAGCTAATAATGTTAATTTGGTATTTAGGTTTGTCAACTCAGCATCCCTTTCAGAGAGTCCACATAGCTAATAATGTTAATTTGGTATTTAGGTTTGTCAACTCAGCATCCCTTTTAGAGAGTCCACGTAGATAATAATGTTATATTTTGCTGTTGTTATAGGAACTTCTTGCTGGGTAGCTTTACATTTGATGAAAAGTTAGCCCTGAATCTGTTGGCTAAATTTGGTTTTATGGAATTACTGCTAGACTTTGCAAAGGTATGTCTGACTTTTTTTCTCAAATATTGTGAATTTAAACTTGTTATTTTCGTGGGTTTCTTTCAAAGTTTGATACTTTCTGACACGTTGAATTTCAGGCACGAGGTTTAGTAATGGAGGGTCTAGATTTATTACAAGATTATGGACGTTATGATATACCTCTTGTTTTGTTAGAAGATCTCATATCTCGGGGCTTTCATGCTCATCTTCTTAAAGCTGGTGAAGGTATGTCCATTGCTTTGATTCTTGAAAAATACCTCTTAAGAAGAAGCAAACAGTAAATGGAAACAGATAGTCCAGACAAGATCGATACCAAGAGGTTTGGTTAAGAACCAGCTGGTAGAGAGGATTTTGAACCCTGCTTCATTTCTTTCTTTCCTATTTCTCAATGCAACTGAGTTTTACTGGGTTTTATTTTCTTCGGAATTTTTCTTTATTTCCAGGTAGCTATCTACAATGTCTATCAGCCGAAGACCTAGTAAAATTATTATTAGTTAAACCCCAGCTTGCCATACGGAATGTAGCCATGTTGGAACCAGAAGTAAATTCCTTGTCTCTTGAATCAATGTTAAAACTAGCAGACGTCTTCGACCCGTCGAAACCGTTGATGCAGGGATTTTTACGTCGTTCTAATCACCATAGACAAAGGTATGGTCATTTAACCAGCCATTTTGGAAAAAGGGCAATAAAGGGCTGCTGCCCCATGTGACTCTTTTTGGTTGGAAATAGAGTAGGCTGATACCCGAAAAAAGTTTTCCTGATTGTACACAACATAGCATACAGTTGCCTGTCCTGAAAATCCTAATGAGATGCAGAAGAGTCAGATGAAAAATTCAGTGTCATTTCATTATTCCAATAAGATTCAGAAAAGTCTGTTTCACTTTGGCACTTTTCATACTCCATTGCTATTTGAGACTGGGCTGTTTTGTCTACTTTTTGTGGGCAGTAGACAGTATATCCAGTCCTTAAGCCAACGATATCCGACCCTCTTAGACAAGGGATTACATTGCCTTAATTGTATCATGATTGATTTGGTTATGATTAGAATCAGTAACAACTATTGATAATGGAAAATGAACATAATTTTTTTCAGAACTGCTAGTTTGACTTCATTAACATCTTATTCTGGTGAAAGTATAGATCTAGCCTCGGTGAGTAAACACTTCAGCTACTCCTATCATTTATCAAAATGAAATTCTGACATCTAGTTCATCTACAATGAAATAGAAATATTGTTATTAGCTCTGAATGACCTGAAAACCAAAAAATGAATCTCTTTAAACTTTCAAGATTTATAGACCTACTTTAACTTCTCCTCTGGAGAGTTCCATAAAGGGAAATAACTCTGACTATGGCATTATAAATTTCAGACCACACTAGAATGTTCATCTGATATCATTTGTGTTTTGTAGGAGAATAAAGAGATAGACACTAATCAACTGGTAGAGTTTTTTCTACGTCTGGTTTTATTGATTAATATTAAGAGAAATAAGGAAGAGAGACCAGTTGTCAATCTACAGGAAATACTTCAGAACTGGAACTTTGATTACATTGATGTGGTAGGTCATTTTGGGGTTTCAACACAATGTCAGAACTTAGTGTTGTGTTCAGTTAGTTTCTTACTTTTTCAAACCTGCAGTCCTGATGATGATTTTATGTCCAAAATGTCAGCAGTATGAGATGAGCTGTTATCAAATTGAAGTTGTAGGACATTTTTGCTTTTCATAGATATCCGAATGAAGCATTCATTTTCTTTTTTCCCTATTGTATTAAAGATTATTTCTTGGTTAGACTATTATGGCCAAAAATTGTCAAAAAATGCAGGGCTGTTTTTATATTACAGAAAGAAAGTGTATCAAATGAAAAGAAGCCAAAGCTAGCGTTACAGACCAGTCTGATAGGAGCAGGACCAGAACATGGTGCTAGTATACGTAATGGAGATCTATATACTTGGGGACTGACTAGGGACGGCAGGTATGATATAGTTTTTATATTTCCTATAAGTTAGATGATCTATGTTCAAAATGGTATGGAAATATTATTAATGTGCATTTCCAATGTCCAATATACATTTGTAGATATTAGACAACAGTCAATCATACTTACTCATTTATGATTGATATACTTCCTCATGTGAATATTTCATTAGCTGCTACCAATGTATTGCCAATATGTCAAGACATGCTGTAATTTGTAATTTTTTCTTTTGAACATCTAGATTAGGTCATGGTGATTTGGTCGGCAAGAATTCAATATGTCTGCCAAGTCGCGTTGAAACGTTACATATGTTACAGATAAAAGTCACGTCTGTCTCTTGTGGTGGAAAACATACCATAGTTCTTACTCAACAAGGGGTAAATACTTTAAATAGATTTGCACATTTCATTGTAATAAAACGCATTTCGTCACTTGAATAAGATACTGAACTGAATTTCATTTCGTTAGTCCAAAAGTAAAACATAAAACTCTACTTCATTTTCTCTTTCATGCATGTAATAATTGTATAAGCGCATTATTTATTGTAGGTATATGGATGGGGTAGTTCTGTATATGGACAAATTGGTGTAGGAACCAGACATACCTATACACGTCCAATGTTACTACAGACATTATTAGATATAGGAGAATCAGTGATAGCTGTAGATTGTGGACAGTATCATACTCTAGCTCTAACTGATGCTGGCTGGTAGGTTCTTTTAGATCCTCTTAATGACAAGTTGTGTGGAGGGGCCGGGTAGGGCCCATAATTGAAGAGAGGGACAAACAGTACCAAGCATTTATGAACTTAATGATTAGAATTTGGAAAGTTGGGCGGCCAAAGCCCTGTCAGCCTGATTAAGGCTTGAAGCTCCAGTTCTTCTGTCTAAAAAACAGAGGTGTGCATGATAAGATACTATCTAAAGACGTTTATCTGGGGCTACATTATGAACTTATTTATCTTGACTTTGTGATTTTGTTTTTCAGTGTGTATTCTTGGGGGTGGGGGGTACATGGTCAACTGGGGCTTGGTGACCCAGAAGATCAGCTGATACCAAAGAACATTGACTATCTAAATGAGTTTGGTGTGGTGAAAATTAGTGCTGGATATTGCCATAGTTTGTTTCTTACTGCCAAGGTTTGTTTCTCTTTCGTTCACTCATTGTATCTTGTATCCAACACCTTCATATGATGAGTTCTTTTCTCAGGAGATGTATACTTTATTTTAGATGCTTGGTTTCCAATGTTGGTCTTTTATACTACAGATTGATTTAGTTTCAATTCATTTGTTTTGATATTGTTGGGAGATGTTTGCTTTATTTGAATACCTTGTTCCCAATTCAAGTTTTTGATATTGTAGGGTGATGTCTATTCATGTGGCTGTGCATATTTTGGACAGTTAGGTATAGGAGATAACAGTAAGAGAACGACTCCTGTTAAAATAATCAGACTACCTGAAGTTATAATAGCTGTTTCTACTAGATATTTTCATTCTGTAAGTCTAAAAACTGGTTGCTTTTGATGAATTTCTAGTTCTTTTCATTAGCATTGTTCAAACCAAACTTCGATTTTTAGTATGAATGGGCTTTTAGGGCTACAGAGTTAAGATTTTATTATGCCAAAAGGTCATGCAAAGTTCGAATTGTGTTTTATATTCACCTGATACAGCTTTACTTATTCTGGAAAAAAAGAGAAAAAACGAGTAGCAACGATGCAGACTGGAAAACTAAACCAAATTAACAGTTTGTCAATACATTGATAGCAGCAAATCAACTATTCTATATTCCTCCATGTCTCGATGGTCTGTTTTATATGTCGAGTTTAATTTGTAGGTGGCAATAACAGCTAATAATAGAGTATACTCCTGGGGTTGTCACCCATACAGTCTGAGATTCTCTGCCCACAATATGAGACGAGCCCGACAGCAAGGACAGCCCATGTTAGACCCATTAGAAAGCTTCTTGTGTCCTATTTTAATTGATACATCTTTCGTTAATGGTAAACTTTCTCAGGTAATTTCACATTCAAGTTATTGCTCAGTTAGAAAAATGGTAGTCAAGTCAAATGGTGTTTTAGTCATGAAAACTTTGAAAGAGCCCTTTATTTCATTATTAGTAATATATCTGTACAGATGATAAAAATTTCTGTTTCTGTTAATCAAAATATTGTTGAAAGCATGTTAAAATCAAGAGTAAAAGTTGTATAGTAATTGACTCCTCCATCAGATGTTTCGAAAAGGGTAAGCATGGTCTACTACAAGATAATCATAAGACCAGTTTTGATTGCAGATGCTTTTAATGATTCAAGATGACTCGTGCTATGTTGTGATTTGTTGATGATTTTGATTTATTTGTAGGTTGCCTGTGGTAGTTTTCATACTGTAGCCTTAACAACTGATGGGGAGGTTTATGTTTGGGGTAGAAATGTTGATGGGCAACTTGGAATTGGACACAAAATAGAAGAGGTAGGGCTGATTTTCTTTAACAAAAATAAGTTACTTTTAATTTTAGTTTGACTGAACATTTTATGGTATACTACTCCTGAGTTTAATAGTATGCAACGTTTCAACAATTTACATTTGATATTGTAAGAATAATAGCATGTTTTGTAAGATTTTTCTATATTTATATTGTAGAGAATACCAGTTATGTTAACCAAACTGAATGATAAAGAGTTTCTAAGTGTTAGATGTGGTGGAGAATACACGATGGCTGTAGATAATGACTATCAAGTCTGGGTCTGGGGACGCAACGAGGCAGGACAGGTAAGGATGGTATTTATTCAGGAGTCCAGGATGATTATTAACTAATGAGAATTGTTAAACTCTGTGCTCAAAAAAAAGATGTTATGAGAAAATTAATCTAAATATTGTCATAATTGAAGCAGACTTGTCCAGCTGCTGGTGTTTGTTGAAGATACATTAGGACTACCAAAAACAAAAGAATTATTGGCTATGGTAGAAGTCAAGATTGACAATTGACAAAATGACAGAATGAGAACAATATAATTGTATTAGACTTGTCCAGCTCCTGGTCAGAATGCATAACAATTACTTCTACTTTCGATTTCAGTTAGGACTACCTCTAGCAAGTGATAAACCCTTATCCAGAAGAAATTTACGGAAACAAGGAAGTTCCTCAGCTCATGCTCAAGTTACTCCTGCTAATCTAACATCCCTACCTTCTCATGATGCTGCAGGCTCAACGTCTGGTCAACAAGGATTGTTTGCTTCTACTGATAGTACTTGTTCTGATCTTTATGTAAGTAACTTTGTGTTGGTTTTTGTCTGTTAATTCGTGCGCTTTCAACTAAGAATCACTGGTATTCATGGGATCATTTCCAACAAGACAAACACTAAAACCTAAAAATTTCAGACAGGGTTTCCGTTTTCTGGAACTGTGAATGTCCCAAGAGGAAAAAACTGAAAATAGTATTCTTTGTCTTTGAAATATGTTGTACTGTGCTAGTGTAGGCTTCTCAATTATATCCCTTTCACCTACATATTATTTGGATTTTGTGAAATATGATTACAGATCTCTGATTATTATGGAGAAGATTGTGAACTGTATCAGCTACCTGATTTAACTCTGATTGGAAACAGTTTATATTCCTCTAAAACTATACCAGTCGTATTGAAGGTAGGCCTAATAATTTTTGTGGGTTTATTCAAAAGCATTTTTCCAATTCTTGTTCTGGATTTTAGATCGTTAGTACTTCCTTTATTGTCATCCATTTAATGTTATTTATTTCAGCATCTAACTTCTTACTGTCGTAGTGTTAATATATTGAGACAAGCTATTGATAGTGGTGAATGGCTTACAGCAGCTGATATAAACATCTTAAACCATAATTACAGTCAGGTAATAGTATATTCTCCTTTTCCTTTTCCAGTGGTCATTGTTAGTAAGAACGACAATGCTAACAGGTTTAATGTTGACTAGTTTAGACCTATATCGAATTGATAGCATGTATCCCGTTTTAAACAAGATTTATCCATGTTTCAAGAATGACTTATGTGTTATTTGTAGTTTTAAGGGTTAGATTCCCTCACTGGGTTTTGGCAAATAATTTTTTTTTTTTCGTAATTTAAGGAAAACGTAGTCTAGGATGACGTTTTTTCTTAATGTCATTATTAATTCCAGGCTTTATTCTGCCACCTGAAGAAGTTGTCTAATAGTTCCGAACTATCCAGTGAAGAATTATCAGAATTGAGTGAAAATGTTGTCGAGAAATATTTTGAGTGAGTTAAAATTTGTTGTGTTCTTTGTTTGAGCAATAATTTATACACTAATATTAGTATTTAGAGTGAGGAAGTTCATGAAACTTCCATGTAAAGCACTGGACGAGGTCACAAATAAAGAGATCTGCTAAATATAAGGCAGAGTTAACATAGTAAGTATTTAGTATTGGTGTATTTGAAATGAGATAACTTAAAGAAATATGCCAGTTTTACATTTGACATAAAGCTTATTTTTTTGTTTTTGTCATAGTGTTATTATGGATGACAAGATGAAACTGGATGTTCAAGACAAAGATTTACATTTCATGTGTATAGAGGTAAATATTAACACTACATTTCAAATAAGCACTCATCGAATTCACACAAAAAACTGTAGCACAATTTGAGTTTTAGACTGCAACGCTTTATTTTGTACTTTGCTGAAAATGAATTTAGCAAATTTTGAGTATCTTTGGCAAGTTTAAAGCCTGGTGATCAGTTATTATTGAATTATGTACAAAGATATTTCTTTGTATTGTATTTTCTCTTCAAGATACCTTCTCTTTCTTTAGATTATTGAATTTTGGAGTCAACAGAAGCTGGCTGTATTGAAATTAGAAGAAATATTTTTACATCATCTTTCAGCTTTATCTTCTTCTCTCAGTCTCATTTTATTCAGGTAAAAATATAAGTAATTGAAATCCTTACGAAGGGTGGATACCCGAATCCAATTTGATCAAAATTAAAACCTATTTAGGTTGCTATGCTGAATTGCTGAAGAGCCGTTTGCTCTGAACTTATTTGAGTATTTTGGCGATTAGGTTGGATGAGATTTTTGATTAATGTAATTGTCATGCTGGTAAGGATTTTTATTGCTGTTTACTGTTTACTTTTTATTTGTTATCTCATGGAAACTTTATCCATGGTTAATGTTTTCTTTCAGTACCAAAGACTCTTCAAATGAACTGAACATCAAATTCAGTACTAAATTTAATTTAAAAGTTTTAGAGAACTTGATAACTGTTAGTCCTAGTCATCCAAATTCCATGGATCAACGACTAACACAATGGAGGAATTCAATCAATCTGGATCCTCCTGAAGGTGATGTTGAAATTCCAGAACTACAGAGTGTGGATAAACTTATTCCTTATGATAGACTTTGGTCTGATACTATTCAAAACTTACAAAAACATTTGGGAGATCGTGTCGCAATATCGATTAGCAGAAGTGAATTGGATTATTTGAATCAGAGTGATGTCCCTTCCTCATCTGATTCAAATTCAGCCATCTTTTTCACTTGCGGTCATCACCAACCAAAAAAGTTGTTTTTCGAGGATGTTTTGAAGAATTTTGAACGTGAATTGACCTCTGGAAGTATCAAGATTCCATATTCTGCAAACTTGTTGACTCAATATTATAAAAGGCAGGGTCTAATACCAATGTCGTGTCCTAAATGTGTTTTAAACGCCATCTGGACCATTTCATGAACTACTACCCCTATTCCAATGAGCTTTGAACTTTGAAATTGACTTTAAGATTGGTATGCTTTCACTAGATCAATTGTATCAAGAAATTAAGCTTTAAAGGATCATATTTTTGACTTCAAAGATTGTTTTGCAGTGGTTGGATCATTCAATTCTGAAATATCTTTAGGATCAAATTTTTATAATCAAGTTTTTATTAAGCACTAATCTTTCAAGCTAAGAAAAAATGTTTTTTGATCGATTAAATTTCAATGCTATATACATGTTTAATGCTTTTACAATTTGACTATATGTTATACATATCCAACAGAAGTTGTGAATTCTATCCAAAACCAAATGTGACAAACTAAAATTCTGTAGTCAGTTAGTGGCTTATTTTTAAAACCAACAATATTAACAAGTGATAATTATTCCATTGAAGACCACTTTACTGTATTTTTTTTGTTGCAAAGTGCAATTATTTTGTTATTTTTTTTATTCTGTTGTTTTTTGTTATAATATATACATTGTTTTTATGATTGTGATGTTTATAAGAGGGAATGTTTTAAATACCAATGAGCTGATGATGGTCAAGACTGTCCTATGGCTAATAAGTTCACCAATAAGCTGGTGACTTTGCTAGTAGGTAGGTACTCTTTAGTTGGGTAGCTTTTGACTCTTTGAGCCTATTTCAGGACCTTTAACTGATGTACAGTTGTGTATTTAGGGAGTGGATCATTGTGAAATGCCCATTCCTTACTCAGACCTGCGAAAGGTCAATTGGCATTAATTTTTATTGATACCCCTCAGTGGTACATCTCAGTGGTACATCTCAGTGATACCCCTCAGTGGTACATCTCAGTGGTACATCTCAGTGGCTGGGGTGGTTTTCTTTGACTTATCAGAATATCAGATTTTTTTAGAAATATTTTATTTGAAGGGGAATATTTACATATTGTACAACACTAATTAATTTATTAATTAAACAACTTCCCTGCTAGTAATTAACTCTACAGATTACAAACTGGTTGAAATAGCACAAAACTTTCATCTTTGACCCTGTGATGGGCCACTCTGTATATTAATTCCTAGTCAAAATCCATTGGCCTATTATCATTTGACATTTATGTCAGTCTTGAGAGTGAATCCAAAGTAAAAATCCATGCTAAGTGTATTTCCACAATAAGTGAGAATGCCACGATGGGTTTTTATGCTACTATTAAAGTATAATATATACAATAGTACTATACCAAAATATCCTTTTGTGTAACCCATTTTATGTACAATGAATGTAGTACTACAGTGGTGGAGCCAGATCCGAAAGATATCCGGCAAGATATCTGAGATTGCCCGAATCTCTAACCTAGTTATGGTATTTTTGCCAGAAAAAAACTTGTTTTCGAGGCTGTGTAACTGCCCCTTCTGCCTCTCCTTTGACTCCACAACTGTATTAGCAAACAGATACAATTTTGGTGCCAATTTGCCATTAAATTTTATGCTATTTCACTCAGTTCACATAGGGACAAATTATTAATCTTAACATATAACAGGTCAACTGACAAATAAATAGATAAATATTCAACAATACTCAAAATACAGAACACAACCAACTGATCTATTGGGTAGAAAAATATTTAGGAAAAATATCTTCTTTTTGTACAATCATCATTTACAGTCATTGCACGGACGAAAGTATGTAAAGCTAAAGATATGTGCCTATGATGAAATAAAACATATTGCTTAATTTTGATTGCAATATCTTTTAACTCTGAGGCACATTGGTGTTGGACGGAATTATTATAGCAAAACTATTTTACAGTCATACTCGAATAGAAACGCACATTCTGCAGTTGTGTGTACGAATCAGCATCCCTGGAACATGACATTCGAAAGAAAGGCACAGGTATCTCCTTTGCCATTTTGCAAAAATTTCAAAACAACGTGCAAAATATCAAAACTTGTTCACATTTTTCAGTATCACACTACAACAGTCACACGTCAAAATATAGAATTTTAAAATAAACATGTACATCAGTTTATAGTTACATATAGACACAAATAAAGCTTTCAGAGACTCGGATTATATATTGATCTCATTTCACAGGTGCGTATTATACACCCATACGTTTTATACTCGGAATTATTCAATATTATAGTATATACAGGTATATAAGCCTTTATAATAGCGAAGTGGTTGCGTTATATATCCAAGAATAATACAATAATAAAGGGACCTAAATTGTAGAGGTGCGTATTGTGCACACATGCGTATTATACGGAGAGGTATATATTATAGCGACCTGAAATTCATTCATGCGTATTATACTCAGAATTATATGATATCGAAACTATAAATTTTATAGCTGCGCATGACTCGCATAGACTTGTAATACTAATACAGATATATGGTAGCGAAGCGACCTGGAATTCAGAAGTTCGCATTATCCACACATGCGTACTATACTCAGAACTGTACAATAGCGTGGAGGTCTTAATCTCAGAGATGCCGGTATAACTATAAGTGCAAAGACCTGTAACCAACGATACGCATTATACAAGCATGCGTTTTATACTCCAGAGTATGCAGTATATAATGGCGTGGGCCAATACATCCAAAAGATCTGTAAATCTCCAGGGTCCCTGAAAGCTTCGCAAAATAACATAAGGGTCATAAACAAAATCAAGTCATCACAGCAAGTAAGGATCTATCTTAATCAATTTTTTTTTCGTTTTAAGACACTTACTAAAAGGCAAATAAAATGATTCTCAAACAAACTTCAATATTTTGACAGATTCCAAATCGAATTGAAAAAGAAATGCAAGAAATGTTATTCTTTATTCGGAAGTCCAAGGATTTGACACTAGTACCAAAGTGCACCTTCCATTGGTGTATATTCAGCATTTCAATTTGAACTTTCGTGTATTAAAAGAGTTAGAAAAACCCGATAGTCCAGTCAAAATACGGTCCCATGACCCTTTGTGATACTGACATTGGAAAACCTTATAGAGAATATAATAAATATATAACAAGTTGCCCAAAAAATCAAGAGACCTGGTGTTCCAATTTTTTCAACGTTAGGTTTAGCAAAGTTTGACTGGGCTATAGAAACTGTGCTAAATGCAAAATATTGATTTCAAAATACATGGTAACAATTTGAACATGAAATCATAGGGAATGTGATGTGGATGACAGTCTTTCAATTTAGTTTACAATCCCAAATCTTTCTCCAGCCGAGGCCTTTCCGATGCCTTTTATACCGGGCTGTTTAAACAGTGGTATCAAAATCCCACTAGTGGTATCAGCATCTTCACAATATCAAGCTATTACCAACTTCGACTAAATAGCTTGACATTTTGAAGAAGATGTGGTATGAGATGATTGGACAAAGTCTACTTCCCAACTTTCACTTTCTTTGCTTGGACTGGCTTCACATTTTGTTTCTGCACCGGAACCTTGTTCATCTTAAGTTTCTGCTGTTGTGCGACCACTTGGGGATTCAGTTGCTTCCCTTGTTGAGGTTTCTGCTTTAGTTGTTGCTGAGGCACCGGCTTCTTCACGGGAACTGCTGGCTTCTGTCCTGCTATAACTGGCTTTTTAGGTACTTGTGGTTTTTGTTGAGGAATAGGCTTCTTTCCTTGAGGTGTCTGCACCGGCTTTTTCTGCTGTGGAATGGGCTTCTTTAAATTTGGGGCTACTTTCATATTTCCTGCTATATTTTTCTGTTTTAAATTCTGTTGTTGATTTACTACTTTAGCTACTGGTTTTGGGATTTTTGGCTGGTTAGGAATTTGGGCTTTTTTTTTAGCCCGAGATTCATCATCATCGTCCTTAACGTTTCCTTTGTCATCACCGTCATCTCCATCATCATCTGCTGTAGCACCAAAGAATGTTGACTTCAAGATGTTAACCAAGTCATATTCTTCTTTATGTGGTTTCAGGGGCTTGTGGTCCTCATCTTGGGCTTCCTCGGAATATTTATGGCTTGGATCCTCTTCATCTTCCTCGTCCTCAACGACCATGTTCTTCAAAGCTTTAGCAACTCGAGAAAACACGGTCGTGGATCCTCCATCCGAAATCTTCTTCTTTCGTCTCTTCAAAGCAATTTTGCCACATCGCTTGTTCTTCGTGCAACTTTCGTCATCTTCGAAAATATCGGGGATACCATCGTTATCATCATCGTCGTCCAAGTAGTCAGGGATTCCATCACCATCGGAGTCAACTTGCTTATCGGGGATACCGTCACCGTCGGCGTCATCGTCCAAGTAATCGGGGATTCCGTCACCATCCATATCTTCTTCGTCATCGGGGATTCCATCGCCGTCATCATCTGTGTCAAGGTGGTCGGGAATTCCATCTCCATCTGTGTCAGGAAGCTTGTCTGGAATACCATCACCATCAGCATCAAGGTCAAGGTGATCTGGAATTCCATCCCCATCCATATCCTCTTTATCATCGGGGATTCCATCACCATCGTCATCATTGTCTAAAACATCGGGGATTCCGTCATTGTCGTCATCATCGTCTAAATAATCAGGAATTCCATCTCCGTCCGTGTCCTTCTCCATGAAGTCCGGAATTCCGTTTCCGTCAGCGTCTGTGTCTTCTGAATCGGGGATGCCGTCATTGTCGTCATCCTCATCCAGGTAATCGGGGATTCCGTCTCCGTCTGTGTCAATTTCATGTTCGTCGGGGATTCCATTTCCATTTGCATCTTCATCTTCGTCATCGGGGATTCCGTCGTTGTCATCATCATCATCCAGATAATCCGGGATGCCATCACCATCAGAGTCTACTTCTTGAGAATCGGGGATTCCATCACCATCATCATCATCGTCGAGGTAATCTGGGATTCCATCGCCGTCAGTGTCATGTTCCAAATGATCGGGAATACCATCTCCATCGTCATCATCGTCTAAATGATCGGGGATGCCGTCATTATCGTCATCGTCATCGAGATAGTCTGGAATTCCGTCTCCATCGGTGTCTATTTCTTGATAATCGGGGATTCCATCTCCGTCAGCATCCTCATCAAGATGGTCAGGGATTCCGTCATTGTCATCATCGTCATCCAAGTAATCGGGGATGCCATCGCCATCCGTATCTACTTCTTGGTCATCGGGGATTCCATCGCCATCAGCATCATTATCCAAATGATCGGGAATTCCATCATTATCATCACCATCATCTAAATGGTCCGGGATTCCGTCTCCGTCAGTGTCAATTTGGAGGTGGTCTGGAATTCCGTCACCGTCATCGTCATCATCTTCAGAATCGGGGATTCCATCATTATCATCGTCATCATCCAAATAGTCGGGGATTCCGTCACCATCTGTATCAATTTCTTTATAATCGGGGATTCCATCATTATCGTCGTCGTCATCCAAATGATCGGGAATACCGTCCCCGTCTTTGTCTTCTAAATGATCAGGGATTCCGTCACCATCGTCATCATGATCGAGATGATCGGGGATTCCGTCGTTATCGTCATCGTCATCCAAGTAGTCAGGAATTCCATCTCCGTCCGTATCGATTTCCTGATCATCGGGAATTCCGTCTCCGTCATCATCGTCATCCAAATGATCGGGTATTCCGTCACCATCGTCATCATCGTCAAGATAGTCGGGAATTCCATCGCCGTCCGTGTCAATTTGTGTTTTGTCGGGGATTCCATCGCCGTCAGCATCGTCATCGAGATAATCGGGGATTCCGTCACCGTCCATGTCCTCTTGATCGTCGGGAATTCCATCTCCGTCGTCGTCGTCATCTTCAGAGTCGGGAATTCCATCATTGTCATCGTCATCATCGAGATAATCGGGGATTCCATCGCCATCAGTGTCCTTTTCCATATGATCGGGGATGCCATCTCCATCATCATCGTGGTCTAAATGATCGGGGATACCGTCATTATCGTCATCGTCATCGAGATAGTCGGGAATTCCGTCTCCATCAGTGTCGATTTCCTGATAATCGGGGATTCCATCTCCGTCAGCATCCTCATCAAGATGGTCAGGGATTCCGTCATTGTCATCATCGTCATCCAAGTAATCAGGAATTCCGTCTCCATCGGAATCGACCTCTAAATGATCTGGAATGCCATCACCATCGTCATCATCATCGAGGTGATCAGGGATGCCGTCATTATCGTCATCATCATCTAAGTAGTCGGGAATGCCGTCGCCATCGGTGTCTATTTGCTGGTAATCGGGAACTCCATCTCCATCGGAATCACCCTCTAAATGATCGGGAATTCCATCTCCATCGTCATCGTCATCGAGGTGATCGGGAATACCATCATTGTCGTCATCGTCATCGAGATAGTCGGGAATTCCATCTCCATCGGTGTCTATTTCTTGGTAATCGGGAATTCCATCGCCATCGGCATCGTCATCAAGATGATCTGGAATGCCGTCATTATCGTCATCATCGTCTAAATAATCTGGAATTCCGTCCCCATCGGAGTCGATTTGCTGATCATCGGGAATTCCATCGCCATCGTCATCATTGTCCAAATGATCGGGGATTCCGTCATTGTCGTCGTCATCATCGAGATAATCGGGAATTCCGTCTCCATCTGTATCTTTGACTTTATCGACGACTTGTTGGACCTTTTTGGGTACAACTTTTGGCACTACTTTTTGTTTGATGGCTTGTTTGGCAGCAACTTTGACGGCGTCTTTGGCTGCTTGTTTGACCTGTTGCTTCACTGGTTGTTTCTTTGGAGTTGGAATGGAAAGAATCTTCCTCTTACAGAAGGTGCACTCCTCCTGGAATGACAAGAGGAGTTCCGTTATGGTTCCACTAAGATAAGTTTTGTGGCGGGTGTCTCGAGCAAGGTAGGGCATGCTCACATGCATAACACCTGATGCCACTTTCCGCCTGGGTTCGGTCTCTGTCACTGACAATATCGAGCTCTACTCTACATCTAAGTAACAGCAAACCTTTCTGGTGTAAGTGAACGTGGAATACCATTACCCTACCCTACCACTCCTGAAGCATTTGGATTGACCTGCAATGGCTTCAAAAGCACATGCTATCTTTCCATTACCATGCCTCTCTCCTTCACATGCATTCGGGATTAGCAGTCTTATTAATGGGTCCTTATTCTATGGCTTCAAAAGTACATGCTTTATGCCTAATACTGACATGCGATTAAGAACGAATTATTTACACCATGTCACTATCACTAGAGGTCCACGGTCTTCCCAAACCTTAGTTCTATGATCTACTGACCATGTAGCAGCAAAGAAGCTCTACCGTACCTTCAATTCTGCCTGATTCTATGTTCTTTCACTGGCTAGTTTTAGCTTGTTGGTCGCGTTGTAAGAAATGCCCATCGTGACTTTCATGCTCACGAATTAGTCTGACTTTTCACTGTTTAAATTAATGACAACATGCAGTTCAGTGTGCTATCAATATATCCAGGTAGTCGATCTTGTTAGGGGACGTCCTATGAATCTAGCTAATGAAGAATGTCAGTATCATGCAGTGTGCAATGGGGGAAATATTGCCATGATGGTGGAGGTGTATTAGTGGTATTTTAATGAAAACAAAACTTTTAGTAAGTTTCCATCCTTTATTGGCCTATAGAAAAAGGGAAACATCTAGTCCGAATCATCTACCTCTACTCCAGTCTCTGACAGATCTTTTGCCAGTTGCCCCTGGAATACAAATGTCCAAATAGCTATCAGAGCCTGAAAATACAGGAGATGTTTTGGTCTACGAAACATCATGCAGTGAGCAATGAGAGATATCTTGCCCTTGAATGCTGAATCAAATTTTCAGGGATTCAATTTCAGTAATTAATAAAGACAGAACTAATTAATAATAAAATGTAATTTATTTTTTCTACCAATTCATTCAACCTTCATAACACAACAATTATAACTTGATAAAGTGTATGATAAAATAAAACCCAAGATTAATCAATTCCTACAACTAACTCAAGATGAAAATTTCATTAGCAATGTTTACCTACATAACTTCCATTCATTTCTTGTAAAGTCTTCATCAAATGTCAAATAATTTTGGAAATGTACCAACAGCTAACAAATTAAATATGAATGAAGTCCATAATAAGTTTCATTTTGTTTGCCAAAAGATTCAAATATTTAGAGTGGACAATGAGGCATGCACCTCAATCCTATTTGAATCTGAGAATGGGTTTGTCAACTCATCATTTCTTTCAGAGTCCACATAGTTAATTTGGTCTTTTCATTCAATAGCCAAGGAATGGATCTAGATACTTTCCCATATTTTAGACTTTTCTTCAAAATAAAAACAATGTAAGTGAATTATTCCTAACTAAACAGTAGAATGTGTGAACATGATCTAAAAAAATATAACAGAACATTTGTCTTCAGTAATACAATTCATACAAACAAGACCATATTTACAAACAAGATTAGGGGATTTACCATCATCATTTCTTCATATACAGCACTTTCAATTGATACAAGAATTTATGAGAGGATAGGAGATTTTCAATAAACTTTACAGCAGTACAGGATGGAATGGAACTTTTTGGAAGGCAATCAAAGAGTATAGGACACTAATGTGCACATCCCTAAAAGCTTCCAAAAAGCAGTTCAGAATTATTTTAGATAAAGAACACATGAGGACAATCTGTCCAGGTTAGCCACTGATAGAACAAGTTTGCCAATAAAATAACAAAGAGCTACTATCCTAACTTTTGTTACAAAAATAACAAAGTGCCACTTCTGTAAAAGTTTGCCACCAATGTAACAAAGTTTGCCGCCAAAGAAACAGAGTTTGCCACTAATGTAACAAAGTTTGCCACTAATGTAACAAAGTTTGCCACTAATGTAACACAGTTTGCCACCAATGTAACAAGCTTTGCCACAAAAGAAACGAGCTTTGCCACCAAAGAAACAAGCATTTCCACTAAAGTAACAAGCTGTCATTGTTTACATGTTTGCCACCCAAGTATTCAAGGTTGCACTTAAGTAACAAGCTTTGCCACTTAAGTAACAAACAAATTTGCCACCAGTTACAAACTTTGCCACCAAAATTTGCCACTAAAGTTACAAGCTTTGCCACAGTGTCACTGGTATTGTCACAATCATAGTTTGAATCAGAAACGTGTGCGACGCTGTTAAAGGGAAAGATGATGATTTTAATGATGAGAATTAATGAATAAGTTATTAATGATATAAGGATAGTTTTTGTCACATTTTTCACTGAATGAAGATCTTCCCTGTATTATAACTCCTCGTGTTCAGATTTCTGTAAAAGAATTAAATAGGGTCTTTTAGTCTCTTTGTTAAAAAGAGTTGTGTCCCTTTGATTTCTGCTACTATTAACCTGTGTGTGTGTGTTGCATCGAGAATTCCTTAATTTTTTTCCTTTACAATTGATTTCACTTCCAATTTTTTTCCATTTTATCTTAAATTCAATGTCCTTTCGAGATCCCAAATGTATCAAGTGGTCGCGAATTCTGCTGCTCAAAAAACAACCTTCCATCTTGTATTTCGCAAGATCTTTATCGGTGTTGGACTCAAACTTCTCCAACTTGCCGTCTTTTTGATATTTTCTTTTAAATGACAATACGTTCGCGGCCGTTTTAGCGGGATTAGTTTTATAGTTCATTCTCTTCATGCATTTTAATCTAACATAAAACTCATCAAGCAAAATTTACAATTTCTTTATGATATTTTGAACACTAGTGTAATGGATGATTTAAGGCTTCATTCAAAAACACAAAAACTATTCATGTGCAATTTGATTGGTTAAAACACACACAGGCATAGTAGCAGAGCATCATGGGAAATTAATTCAAAAAAACAAAAATATAAATAAACACAAAACAAAACCATGCCTTATATCAACATTCTTTACTACTTAAGAATCTCAACTGGCAAATTCCACGTCCAAAAGGACCCCTTGTGAAAGCCCGAAAGTCAAGTTTAGGCTTAAAATGATCTCGGGGCTGTGTAAAATGGCCATTTACTTCATTAAAATATCCATCTATTGCTGGGAAACTTGAAAACTTCAATGCCAAATGGGACATTTTTAACAGACACTAATCCACCCCTCCTGTTAACCATAAAATAAGGGCACACTGATGGCTACACATCATCTGTTCAGAGTCAATATTAGTTCTAACATAAAACTCTTTCCCATAGCCCCACCCAACCCACCACATTACTGCCCCCTTTTATCCCTACCCCTCAAAACAATAAAAGGGTCACTCTGACTCACCTTTTCTTCTGCCTCTTCTTCAGCCTCAGCTTCAACTTCTTCAGTTTTTTCTTCCTCAGCTTCTTCAGGTTCCTCTTCTGGTTCTTCTTCAATCTGGATCAAAAAAAAGATCAAAAAAGGTCATTTGCTGCTAATATCATCTTAAACTGGTCTGCCATTCAATCTAAAGCTTTGTCCCAAATAAACAGGTTGAAGCTATTGTCATCTCAGTCAATATTGCCAGGACAGCAGCATTAGCCTGCTCTTTCCAACTGTCGAGGGATCTTTAACGTGTACAGCCTGTAGCACACGGGGCCTCAGTTTATTGTCCCATCTGAACGACAAGAAGCTATTTACATGTCAGCCCCTCCAACTTACTTCCTTTAAAGACTTCCTTGAAGGGCCCTAATTTCTGACAGTTGAAACCCCCAAAGTAACCTCCTTTCTTCATCTTCCAATTCCTTTATCTTCTGATAAAATTCACACTCACCTTAGCATCAAGAGGAACTTCTAAACTTAATCTTAACATATTTTCAACACGTTGTGCGAAACCAGCCGTGTCTGTTATTCTGTATCCAGATCGGACTGTAGCTGTCTCAAACATAACAACAGCTAAATCTTTAGCTGTTTCATCTTCTTTGTTAGCTTCAACTCGTTTTTTTAATTCTTTTATCAATGGATGTCTTGGGTTAATTTCTAAAGTCTTCTTTTGAGTGGCGTAAAATCTGTAATGGAGAATTTGAAACTTGAATAGAAACACGATGTATGAGATGTATGACATTAACCCTATGTGATGCCACTTGGTGATGGCTGCGTCACCAGCCAGAAGAGCACCACTAGTGTTAAAAGGGTTTAAAAGCCATTGGATTGAAAGTCAAATTTCGACATAATTCGATTTAAATATAGCAACTTGGATCTGATAATGAATTTCACTTACTCTTGAGATGGATCTTTAGCTTTAGCGTAAGCCTGGGCCTGCATGATTCTTTCCATGTTACCAGACCAACCATACTGACTGGCCACGAGAGCACAGGGCGAGGAGGCTAATCTTTCAGATATAGTGGCTTTTTCGATCTACAAATACAAAATTAATAATAGGGTTTTACTGTTCTGTATCTTATAGAGCTAATTAAATAGAATGTGAGGTCCTAAATAGTGCGCAATACGAAACATTTTATGATATGCACAATTTGCAGTACTTGTCCCTTTCCATCGTTAATAGATTTTCAATGCGAGACACAAACACAACAGCAATATTTCCACTATCAATTCCAAAAAGTAATTTTCTCACCTTATCATTTAATGCTGAATCTTTCAACCAAGTAATCAAAGGTTCAAATTCTTTCTCTGTAGCTTCCTTTCGTTCTTTAGCCTTTTCAGAATCATCTAATTTTAATCCTTCTTTAGCTACATTCTGGAATTTTTTGCTCTCGAATTCTGGTAATGATTGGATACAGTATTCATCAACAGGTTCAGTTAAATATAAAACTTCATATCCCTTCTTTAAGAGTCTTTCTACAAATGGTGACTTCTCAACCTAAAACAACAAACGAAATAAATGTTTTGGTATTGAACGGAAATAGTTGTAAGCCAACACTGGGTCGACTCACGGAAACACTGGTTGTGGCAGAATTGTAAGGATCTAGTTTTAGGGGTTAAAAGCGAACTGACTAACTGTTTTCCCCTTGAAAAGTCAAGCCATCGGAACCTAATCATCTACATCAATTCCCTGTACTCAACCCTTCAGCATGTTATTTATAGTTTCTCCTACATATTATCAGTCTGGGCTGTACCCCACAGCAGCTCTGTTATGGCCCTTTCCTACCCCTGTATATTAGATATCTGGGCTAAGCCTACATTGGTTGTTGTGTGCCTTTAGTAACCCTAGACTAAATATTTCTAGTTTCCCCTTCATACTAGAAATATATCCTACTTCAGCTCTGTTATGGCCCTTTCCTGCCCCTATATTTCTAGTTTCTCCTACATATTAGATATCTGAACTCTACCCTACATAAGCTAATCCTTCCCTGGAACTATTTCTAGTTTCCTCTACATATAACATATCTATCAGTATCCAGCTTACCTCAGCTCTGTTATGACCAGCAACAAAGTAAATATGTTCTTGTTTTTCCTTCATTCTTTCTAAATATTCAGCTAAACTAGTGAGTTCTGTATCAGAGTTTGAAGAAGAAAATCGTAAAAGTTTTGCCAATCTTGTTCTGTTGGTGGTATCTTCAATAACACCTAGTTTGATGCTGAAATTGAAGATCGTATAAATGAAGCTGGGTAAACTTCTTTTTCTTCTCTCATATATAAGCTAATGACGACTGTCCATGAAGTCTGCAATGAGGCAAATTCTGCCAAGACAGGCATTAACCTACACTTTCCTTTTCTTGTCTTCTTCACAAGGTTTCCATGTCACTTTCCCCTTGCTTTTTTCTGGTTTCCAACTTTGAAAGGATCTCTGTAACGATTAGACTCTCTGCCAGGTCACCCTTCCCATCTGCATCATAGACCGCTCTATCACATAAATCCCCTCGTAAAATCGACACTTTTCAATTTGGAAACTTTTAAGGCAAACTTACTTGGTGCTGAATTCTTTCCAGAATTTTTCATACGTATCTTTATCAATTTTTTTGATCATGTCTAAAGTTTTTCGTACTAATTTTTTCTTGATAACTTTTAATAATTTATGTTGCTGTAGAGTTTCTCTTGATACATTCAATGGTAAATCATCAGAATCAACCTAAAGTTGAACAAAATTCATTTGTAACAGTGGAGGCAGATATTCTTATGAGTCCATTTGATGTCAGATTACACCAAGTCCAATGTTATTTGTTTCATTTGTACAAGATAAAAATTTGGAATTGATAAAAATCTTAAGTTTAAAGATACGTACCACACCTCTGATGAAAGATAAATATTTGGGCATCATATCTTCAAAATCATCAGTAATAAACACCCTTCTTACATACATCTACAAATACAAGTAGCATAGAAAACTATACATCTATAGTCCATCACATATATTTTTGCACAATCAGAGACCGGCCCTCAGAGTTCACTTTAAGTTTAGGTAATTTAAAAAGTAATAGATCTATATCTACAAATAATCTGTTGCTGTATGTTATTGGAATCTTACGCAGTTTTCCCCAGAATTGTGTTCCTGTTAAGTCTAAATCTTTTGAAAATCCATTGTCTTATACCAACTATATCTATATATTATATATCACACCTTATCATAAATACAATAACGATAGAATACTTACTTTAATTTGTTCCATTTGTTTACCATAATTTTGGAAAGTATCTGATGGTGATGAGTTTGGTACATAGAGAATAGATTTAAAGGTAACTTCTCCCTCTGCTGTGAAATGTATTTTAGTCATGGGCTTTTCATAGTCACTGCTGATGGATTTATAGAAGTCGTTGTATTCATCATCAGTGATTTCAGAAGGTCTGAAATGAGATGTATCATATACTGTATAATTTCGAGTACAATGCGCACCTTTTCCTTATCTCCAATATCAAATTAGATGTATCTTAAAGTGTATATTTTCGAGTATAACCTCATGGCACTGATGTCCCCTTAACCAGGACTAACTTTCAATAGCTAACAGAAGACAAAAAAAAAGTTCAATATTCAGTTATTCAACCATCTAACTTACTTTCTGGTCCAGATAGGTTTAACGTTGTTAATCAGTTCCCAATCCCAGATGGTCTTTGAGACTTTCTTAGTTTTAGGTTTCTCTTCTTTTTCTTCTTCAACCTCGGCATCTTCATCTTCCTTTTTCTCTTCTTCCTTCTTTTCTTCTTCCTCTTCTTCAATTGGTTCTTCAACTTCTTCAGTCTGAAATGTAGAAGAAGTGTTTAAGGGAATGAAATGAAATTGAGTTTTATTTCCTTTGTTCTTAACCTTGCTGGGCTGATGAAGACAGACAGCACCATGCAGTGTGTAATGAGGAAAAAACAGTGGCATTATTTTTTTCCATTTCCAACTGTTGAGGGATCTTTAACATACCGGTACATAGCACACCGGCCTTTGGCTTATTGTATCAACCTAACTTTGTTTCAAAAGTTCTTTGATAAATTTGTGGAACAGAGAATATCAATGCTTAACCTAAAAAGAGGGAAGGAGGGGTAAAAAGTGGATGTCAATGCTTACCTTGCTAGCCCACAAGAAGATATCAAAGTTGATAAACTGACTGTATTTTTTCACCAAACTTCTGATGGTACTTTCTTCTAAGTAGTCATGTGCTTCTTCTTTTAGATGAAGTCTGAAAACAATAAAATAATAGGTATAGAATGGCGCCAAGTGAATTTTACAGAAATTAACTAATCTATTATCTTCTATTCTGCACTTTAGAATTTTGTGCCCTAGCACATTAGGGAACACTGCAGCCTGTAGCACACAAAGACTTTGTCTCATCTGAACGACTTGACGCTTTTTCCATGTCAGCTCATCCGACCAGCATCACTGACACAGGGACACAAGGTTTGTAAATATAAAAGAATTATCTTGATTTTTGCATAAATTGAACCCTGGACCTTCAGACTAGTGAGCAAGTGTCTAACTCACTGAGCCACCATAGCTCCCTGAACTTGGTAAAGCAAGCAACTGTCCAACTGAGTGGATCACTGATGCAGTGTCTGAAGATGTAAAGCAACCAACTTACGTGATCATGGTACCACGACCTAGTGTATTACCACGAGGATCTTTAGCTACACTGAATGATGAGGAATCAGATTCCCAGACATATTGATCATCATCGTTATGTTTCGACGTCACCACGATTCTATCAGCAACTAGAATTAATCAATTTTACAATTTCAGTACTAACGATACCAACAGCAAAATGAAACCCGAAATCCAAAACAACATATTGGTAAAACATTGGTAGCAGCGAAGGAACTTTTCACACAAAGAAGTATATCAATCATAAGTAAGTAAGTAAGTATTTCATAATGAAAAGTGGTATCAGGTATCTAGAAGAGTGTGTAGCAAGATGTAGTCTTTTTAGCTTTGACAACCAGAAACCCCAAATGACGTTACTTTAATGTGTGAATTTCGTCCAATCAAGGCCAAGTTGACAAAAGTTCCAACCCCTTCCTTTAGGGAAAAGCTTTATAAATGGAATGGCAGACCAGTTTAAAACTTACCTAAGAATGCAGAGTAGAAACCAACACCAAATTGACCAATCAAATCACTCATCTGAGCCTGGTCTTTCGATTCACCTAATTTAGATAGGAAATCACTGGTTCCAGATTTAGCAATGGTACCAAGATTTTTAACTAGGTCATCTTTCGTCATTCCAATACCAGTATCTGTAATCTGTATTACGTGGGATGCTTTGTCTGCCTGCAAACATAAAATGGTGAATTGAGAATCAATAAAAAAATCTGAAGTAAGGCTTATTTAAACTGCGAAGGAGTTGGCTGTGGAATGAAGTCATCGCTTGGAGGAAATTGAACCCAAGACCAATATATTACTCTATGGTTTTATAAAAGCACAATTTAACATTTGGTAAATTGTAGGCATTTATAGAGTTTTATAGTAATGAAGGTGCTGGGCATGGAATTAAACCTAGAAACGAAGGAAGCTATGATATGAATTCGTTTTTTATTAAGATACATTTATGTATTTAGTTAACTGTATATGTAAGGAGTGTCTAAGTTTACGGTACTACCAAAAGCGCTGGCTATGGAATTAGACAGGACGGGGATAAAGCTATGATATGGAATTCTTAGAATTTTGATATGGCATAGTACATATGTAATTAAGTAAACTGTATAAATATGTATAAGTAAAGTCTAGTAAACTATACTACCAAAAGTGCCGGCTTAATGGAATTGTCATAAAGGGAATATAAAACTATGATATAGAATTTTGATACGTGTTTCATTACAGCACATAGATTATACATATCAATCTGGTTATGGAACTAGACATGTAATTACCTTGAAGGGGAGAACAATATGGTCTATGTTATTTAAGTAAAGTGTATATATATAAGTAAGTAAAGTGTATTGAAGCAGTACCTATTATCTACTTGTATATACTCTAACCATATGATAAATATACTAATATTTATATAAATATAAAACATCTTTTATCATGAAATAAACACCACTAATCATAGCTTTTATGGAATTCAGTCAAAGCATATTTAGTGATGGTTGTTGAATGACAATGAGCCAACTTTCGAAAGCCCACAATGAGCCGACTTTCGAAAGCCCACAATGAACCCACTTTCGAAAGCCCACAATGAGCATAAAATTTCGAAAGCCCACAATGAGCCAACTTTCGAAAGCCCACAATGAGTCAAATTTCGAAAGCCCACAATGAGCCAACTTTCGAAAGCCCACAACAAGCCAACTTTCGAATGCCCACAATGAGCCAATTTTCCAAGGCTCACAATGAGTCAACTTTCGAAAGCACTGTTCTCAAATTTTCCACTTAAATGACAGTAATCTAATTTCAAGATGGTTTTGTCCAGTAAAAGAAAACTCAGTGATTACTAGATTTCAATTTGCTGACTGTGCAAATCGTCTTGCATTTCACTCTTTAATTTATCCTCATGGTGTATCTTTAAGCATAAATAGACAACAATAGCCCAGTAGCTGGTATCATTAGAATAATTGCAGGAATATTATCAGGAATGGTGCCAAGATCTCCAAGACTACCTGTATTTAACATATTGAATGTATTAGCTAGAGGCTTATACACCTCAAATACTGCATGTTCTACATTTGATATCTATAATAGACATATTTATTACCTAGAGTAATTATCAAATGAAATGGAGCTGTGTGCAATGAGGGATATTTTGCATGGAGTTTAGCTAGAGGCTTATACATCTCAAATTTCAGCTTGTACCTGTACCTTTATGGACTAAGGAAGACAAATATCACTACTCAGTGGTATGCAATGGGGGACACAGTCTTGGTACAGTTGATAATACCCTTTGTGAACTCAAGCACTAGTTTTCAGTAAGAGTTATATCTATCGACTCTTAAAATATATATTATATACTGGTACCCTTAGATAATTTCATCTAGGTTCTATGAGCTGTGCAATGAGGGAAATTTTGTCTGGGCTTTAGTGCATGCATGTTCTTATTTCTATATATTGGTACAGTTAGATTAGATACTGAACCAGTTAATTAACCTTTTTATCAATCTGTCGACCTCGTTAGCATTCTAATTATCTTTTCTTTTATCTTGGTTTATTGATTTATTAATATTCTGTGAATTTTGGAGAGTCTATGGTCTGCATTTTAAATGTTCTAAATATGAACCTCTTTTAATGCTCAATTTAGTACAGCAGATTTTGTGTGCTCTGCTAAAGATAGCTATCTATACACAAGCCTAATGGTTATAGTTGTTTAAGAGAGTTCACATTCACATCTTTAAAAGTTGTTATTGTAAATTTAAAATGTTCCAGGTTCTAGTACCTGCTATCTAAAGAGAGGCCTAATAGTTATGAGTGTTTTAGAGATTACAAACAGACTCAAACATTCCCCCTACTTCAAACATAATCTATTTATAAATACAGCTAGACCAGGATGATAGACAGGTACCAGGCTACAGGTAGGATCGGTCCCAGGGTGAGGAGTAAGTGGTCGGCTACAGGGGCGAGGAGAAAAGGGTGGGCCCAGGGCGAGGGGGTAAGGGTTAGCCCAAGGGGATTGGGAAAGGGTCTATATCAGAGGGAGCAAGGGTCAACCCAAGGTAAAAAGGAAAGGGTCAGCCAGAGCATGTTTAAAGGGGGAGGAGGGGAGGGAGATTATTTTTCATGTTGCAATATATCAAGGGCAATAACACCAATATAAAACCTTATACCAATATACACTTACAACTAGCTATTAAGTATAAATAGGTATCTGTTTTATTATTATAGATTGTCAAGTACAATTCCATCAAACTAGTTAAAGATATAATATTTGTACGTATTGGCATTTACATGATAGGAGATATCATATATCAACTAATTTCAAGATACGCTAGGCTCAGTCTAATATAACTCAGTATAACTTAGTCTAATAGATCAACAAGACAGGTACCAAGATTCTTATCCAAACTCAACACAAATATGCATCTTTATCATAATACATATGTTTATTATTAAAGAGATGTAGGCATCTAAATTGTAGCTTTAAAGGCCATGGTTCACCTTTTTATTCTGATGTTGATTTGGGTCTTTAATATATGTAAATAGTTTTTAGAAGTATTAGACCTGAACTATCTTTTCATCTATATATGTCTTTTTGAAGGAGCTCTATTACTGATAAGTTTAGCTTAGCCATTTCTGAGACCAAGGTGCAAGGTCAAACGGATGGCAAACTTGTTTCTTTAATACCAGGCAGAACCAGGAGATGAGGAATGAAAGCTAACACTTGTATATGTTTATTCAAAGGATTGTAAAGTGGTTTTCTAAAGTTTGAATGAGTATTGGAGACAGGGTGATAGAATCAATTTGCACCATTCCAATTTTCTGTCTGTGGTTCCTGCAATTCTACCAAAAAACTAAGAGTTGATAATGTCACTAATCGCAAAATATGCTTGTATATCACAAAAGACCTTTCGCGATTAGTGACATCATAAAACACTAGAGGAACCACAGAAGTCTGACTGAAAATTGGAATGGTGGACATTGATGATATCAGTGTCCCAGATACACATAAATTTAGAAAAACCTCTTTACAATCCCTTTAAAATCTGTAAAATTTGAGGTTAACAAAGTTTTAACCCAGTCAGAATGTAAGATCATCAAGAACTGTAACTATTTTAACAGTGGTGGTCTATTTTTAGCTAGGATATGATTTGGTAACATTAGATGAGCTGTTTTGATATTTATAGTTGGTACATCACGTTTATTTAGTTTAGTAATAGAGAGTACTAATACAACTACTAATACTACACAATATTGATAACTGACTCACAGCACCCTGGAGTGGGGCCAGCTCTAGAGGGACAGAGGGACAGGGGTAGGGCTAGCTTTAGAGGGACTGGGGGTGGGGACTATTTTGATATTTATAGTTGGTACATCACGTTTATTTAGTTTAGTAATAGAGAATAACATAAAAATACAAAATTTTGCTAACTGGCTTACAGTTCTCCCAATCCTCTTAGGGACCAGGGTAAGGGTGGGACCAGCTCTACATATCTCTACCCTCGGGATTAGGATGATTCTATATTCTTAGTTATACCTTCACATGTACTTAGTTTGGTAATAAGATTATACAATACAATTACAAAATATAAGTAACTGACCCATAGCACTACAGGGTGGGGCCAGCCCCAACCCTACCCCTACACTGTAAGAGACCTGACAGTTACAATAAATGTTTCCAATTCATTTCGTAGGGTCAAAGTTTTACACTCACAGATACCAAATACTTTGATATTTTTCCAAGTGTATGAATGGTTTTAAAAAAAACAATGTCTGAAAATATCATAAAATAACTGTTCTTACCTTAATTTTAATACTCAATTCATCAGTAGCGGCCATGGCTGATTTATCAGTTAAAGATACAAATCTTATCTTATCTAAAGCATCAGATGCATTGGAGATCAATTCTCGTAAGAAAATCTGAAATTACAAAATGGCGGACATTAGTGACAGTGACCACAAACTGTAACGTAATATTTTTAGGATAAAGAAACCTCTTGGTATTGATTTTACAAGGAACTTAGGTCCTCAAGGATCCTGTCCTACCAGCTGGTCCCTGACCAAACCTTCAGATAATGATTTAACAAGGAACTTAGGTCCTCAAGGATCCTGTCCTACCAGCTGGTTCTTGACCAAACCTTCAGATAATGATTTAACAAGGAACTTAGGTCCTCAAAGATCCTTTCTACCAACTGATCCTTGGATAAACCTCTTGGTAATAATTCAACAAGGATAACAACTTTTGCAAGAATCCTTTCTACCAGCTGGTAATTGATCAAACCTCTTTGTAATGATTTTACAAGGATTACAAGGATTTTGATGCCAAATTTGGATTAATAAACACATAAATAAGAAAATGGAAAGCTTAATTCCCTTTGACAAACACTGGAAAATTGAAACTTACTTCTTTATTTTTGTAGAGAGAATTTATAATAAGTTTCATCATTCGGTTAACTTCAGCTTCGAAAGCAAATTTTTCAGCCTTTTCTCTTAGTTCTTTCATTTGGGCCACGTTTAGGCCATCCAGCTTTATAGCTTCCTCCTCTCTGAAACAATAATAAATGTTTTAATTTTAGATCTACAATAACAATTACTGCATCTCCAGTCTCCAAACATTCTTGGTTTCCTACAATATTTCCAATGTCAGGTTTAGTAATTGTTTTAGACAGATTTGGCTGATGTTTTTGTGTTCATTGCAATAATAACAGAACCATGTTACTTGGTGTATTGGACCTAATTCTAACCAATGTAAAATAAAGAGTCTATGTTTGTCTCCATGGACTTAATGAAAGACAGGACCACGTTACTTTGGTGTATTGGACCTAATTCTGATCCATGTAAAATAAAGAGTCTATGTTTGTGTCCATGGACTTAATGCAAAACTTTGGTGTATTGGACCTAATTCTGTACTATGTTCAATAAAATAGTACAGTATTATTAGTAATAATAAACGCAGAGCTTGTTTGTTTTAACATCACATGATGTATAATTTTGTTTTGTAAGTTTGGGTGATCAACTTAATAATAGTAATTAATACAAATAAATAAAACTGTCATATATAATATATAACAATATTTATTTGATAAACTTTCAACAACAAAAAAATGGCTTCATAAAGGTTCAAAACAAGTGTTGAGACACATGGAATTTTGTTAATTTTGTTTAATGAATGTTTTAACGAGTTTGGCTAATCAACTTAACTAATAGTAATTAATTGAAATAGATAAAATTGTCAGGAATATGGCATACATCTGGTTCCATTGAGTTTGTCTTAGAACCGATGTCAGGCATGGCGCCAAGAATTTGTGGGGTGAAAAAATGACTGATGAGAGCTTGTGAAAATATAGTGCCAACAATATTAACTGAGTTAGTCAGTATTACTATTCTCTAGGACACTGGTATAAACTACTAGTTGATATCAGTATACTACAGCTACCATTACCTCTGCAATATGTCTGAAACTATAACATATTTCTACCGTGTTTCACTGTAGCAGATAAACCTTGTATTAAGGATCAAGGACATATAAATTAATGCAATATTAATTGTTTGTCGATGCTAGGACTTAAGTATAAACTACTAGTTGATGTTACTATTCTACAGCTACCATTACCTCTGCAATATGTCTGAAACTTTCTACCGTGTTTCAGTGTAGTAGATAAACTTTGTATTAAGGATTGAGGACATATAAGTTCATGTTACAGGATTTCAAACCCACCAATCTACATTAAGTTTTTTTTGAAAAAAGTATGAACAAAACTTCACTATTCATAGATGACATGTAGATAAAGTGAATCATTATCACATCTATTAATTGAAACTGCTGTTTTAGAGCATTCACATGCTACTATGTATCAGGACCATACATTTCTGTATAGATCAATATTTTCCTGTTCACTACAGCCAAAAATATCAAACATCAAGAGCTAGACCTTGCCAGTATTTTTGATTGAATTGGTCTCAATCCAAATTAATGCTGAATTTGCATTTAGTCAACATATGAATGTGAGTCATGATTTTGATTAAAAATTGCCATGTTTCAGAAATATCATTATCATCAGGACAGCTGTTTCAGCAATGGAAGATGAACTTGAAAATATATCTTGCTCCATCTTAAAATAACAAAAATAATAGAAGGCAAACATGCTTCAAAAGTGGATAATTCTGGACACACGTGGATTTGAAGGCTCAAATTTCAATGTTGAGCTGTGAACACTATTACTGATTGGCTTAGATAAAAAGTTCCCATTTTGACATTCTGAGACTAAGGGATAATGAAGCTATTTCTCTCCAAATCTCCAACAGATTTAAATTACCAGGCAATTAAAACTTCAATTGAAACATGATTTATATATATACAATGTAATATGGTGGGAATGGAAGGTGTTATTTGTTTACATCAGGTGAAATTCAAACAGATTTAATACTGCTATTTAAATTTTATATTGCATTGTCTGGTGTATACATTCACAAGGGATATAGTCTTCTAAATTTTCACCTTCAAATCCATAGAAAATATTTTTATTATGCCAACTTCTCTTTTGCATATTCTGGTTGTAAACTTTTAAGGGATTATGTCTGGTGTAGCCTTAAGAAAAGACAAAGTCATTGTTTTAATTTTCAAATTTTGAGGACAATATGACTTGAGGTTCTGTAATACAATCAATAAGTTATAAGGTATTATTACTGTAGAGAGTGGAATTTATCTCTCAGTTCTTATCAACATCTGTTACTAGCTACTTGATATTACTGATAGATCAGGTACAATGTGTTACAGTGGGCTCTAGTATAATAACTACTGATGTGCATGTTATAGAATTGGTTGAATGCTTAGTTTATCAAGGGTTTGATCCCTCCAACCCCACAACCTTTCAGGAGACAGTAAAGAGGTTTTCTAAAAATGCTATGTGTATCGCAAAGGGCCTTATGTGATAAAGCAAAAGGGTTTGCTCTCGAAGACTCTACCCCCTTCAATGAATCAAGATGGAGTAATGTATCTTTAATAAGATAATGTAAATCATAGACAGTATTTTTCTAGCTAAATGTTAAAGGGCTACTGTAAACACAAACCAAGTTATTTTCAGAAGAAGCTAGGTGTCCCAGGTTGAAGTATATTTGGCACAAGAAATGAGTCGTAGCTAACTGTATAGCATTTATACATCATGATAGTCTAAACTCTTATTAGTATTGTCTTTATGGCTTCAGGGCTGTTGTGTTTGTGTGTGTTTGCCGGACATGACTGACTGTGCAGTTGAAATGTCTGACAATGACAATCTCAATCCGGTGTTCAAGATCCAATATCTGTGAAACAAATTGATTATTATTCGTGCAAATTTTCAGCCAATCTAGAAGCATTCAGCAACTCTTGATAGTCTTTTTAATCTAACTTCTTAGGCACGATCAATCTAAAGTCAACAACTGTAACATTTTCAATTACAGAATTTTTATGAAATGCGAATGAAAATTTAACTTGGTTAGTAAAAACTAAAATTTGACGTGATAAATTATTAATCAAATTGTCAATCTAAATTGAACCCAGGCTCAATCACTTTCCAAACCAAACCGTCAGTAGTTAACTACACACAGAGATTTATGTGAACTCTCTGAATAAACCTAGAACAGATGGTCTAGTATGAAGGTAGATTGACCACTATACTCAGTCTGATTGATGAACTGGTTCTCCTCTAGGCCAGGTGGGGGTTATTTATTATCATTAATATCCTCCATATTATAAATAGACACAATGTTCCTGGTTTGTGAGGTGAAAACTACATCAATATATACAACAGTCCACCTTACCAGCCAGATCAAGAACTTGATGAAAGCTGAAATTAGCGTTCCAGGCCTGTTTCACCTCTACTATCATTATATTGTACAAGAATCCATGTTTGAGGCTAGAATATAACTTGATGAAAGGTGAAATTAGTGGGACCAGGCCTGTTTCACCTCTACGTAGTACCACAGCACAATCAAACATGAATTTTTTGGTATGATTTTGAATCGCTTTTTAAAAGTTCCATCTGATCATTATTTGAAACTATAATTTTATATTTCAGAATGCAACCTTTGAATCTAATGTGAAGTGCAAATGGGAAACGTTAGAAAGAGGCATTAACCTACTCTTTACCATTTCGAACTGTTCGGGAATCTTTGAATAGCACAGTCTGTAGCACACAGGGACTCGTTTTATTTCATACAGGGACCAGAGGTAAGTGTCAACTGCGCTGTGCAGTAAATAAAAGTTTTGTGTTTTAACTTTCCTAAACAAGCCCAGTCTGTAGTACACAGGTTCATGATTTGTTGTGGAATTTCATTTATAACTGATTGTTTAAAACAACAAGGTAGATTGAATGTATTAGAAACTTAATCTACTTGTTATTGTAGAAGTCAATTGAGTTGAAGAGGTAGTTCATACCTATTGATAAACAGTTAGTGGTGAATTTTACTTGTATTTAGAGTGAGGAAGTAAAACACTGGCCGGGGTCACATATAAGGAGATCTGCAAAGGGTGGAGTAAATATAGTTAGGACTGAGTTTTGAACTCACTGGTAATCGACAATATATATTTCTTGCCATCAGGGCTCTTGAAGGAACATTCACTGGTATTATGATCGTTCTGTTCTCAAACTGTTTCCCTTTATGGTAAGCGCTTAACTGCTTGTAGACCACTGATTGTTGACTCTAGCAGAAAGTTAATTGGAGATGCTTACCTTTGTACAGCTTCATCATCTGTTCTGGAAGCTTCTCGGCTTTTACCGATATCTTCAACCACGTCTGGTTCCGTAACAACCTCCTCCGCTTGTACATTTAATAATCCAGCCCCTGTAAAATAAGGGGGATAACTTAAGCACATCGTCATTTAAACCACACCCCCTTGACAATAAATGGATGTGACAGTTTTTGTCGTGTTGAAGAGATAAAGCAAGTGCAAATAATGTTTATTCGGTATTTGGGTTAAGTGACCCAACATCCCTTACAGAGAGTTCACATAGCTAATAATATATAGATGATATTTATGTTTATCTATATAGCATCCCTTACAGAGAGTTCACATAGCTAATAATATATAGATGATATTTGTGTTTATCTATATAGCATGTATGGTTTTGATTTGAACAAATTTCAACTATTCTTATCAGGTTTTATCTGTGTAATTTTCAACCAGAAATTCCAATTTGGCCTTCAGACAAAAGATAAGAGTTAAACAGGATTTGTAATGAATTGCTATGTTATGTCTTCATAGATAAATTCAACGTTAGGCTTCAGGTAAAATATCATATTGAAGGCAGCTAATATAATAATAAACTCTTTATTCTACATGGGTCAGAATTAGGCCAAGTACACAAGGACATGGTCTAACATTCAACCCATGGGGACAATAAAGACTCAGGGATGAGATCCCTTCATAGAAATGTTCCAATCATTAAAAATTTGCACTAAAGAGTCTAGTATGAAAAACAAACTTCAAGTGTTAACAATATTCTTTAAAATTAACCCCTTTTATCTATTTCCCATTGAAACATACTTTCTTTCCAGAAAAACAAAGCCTAATTTTTAAAAATAATGTAATTAATAACCTAGGTTATAATGACTTTGTCACTAATGATGAACACGAATAGGATATCTCTTTCAGATCGATTGTCGTTTTATCTCATATTAAAGGGACAGATGTGCCATCTTGAATATATGTAAATAGTCTTCAAAAGTACTAGAAATGAAAAATTCCTCTAAAAATGGGAATTTTACTCATTATTTCTATTTAAGTCTTTTTTATGTATCACAGAGAATATTAAATTGATGAGTCGTCATTATAACTTTCAAACGTAGATAATTCTTGACACACATAAATTTGAAGGCTCAAAATTCGACAGTGAGCTGTTTATTACTGATTAGCTCAACTAAAATATTCCCATTTCTAAGACTGCAGTATGATTGGTCAAAAAAACGGCGCATCTGTCCCTTTAAATGTTAATAGGCTACAAGATCAGGTTCTAAATTTCATGTTAAATTTATGGTTTTTGTGCATCAATATTTAAATTTAAAGAGAAGAATATTTGCTTTATTGTCAAAGATAAATCGTGTTGATATTGTGAGGTGTTGTGTTGTCTATTATACACATGTTGTAAATTCTTCCAACATATTCACCAATGAACAACCATTAATTACATTTTCAACTCAACAACTATTGGCAAGGTTGCTGATTACTTTTATGTACTACAACTACAGAACAGTGAAATATTGTTGAAAATACTTTTAGCTTAGTTACATGTTTCAGAACCTTATATTGTCCCTGTTAAAGGATTTATCTTTTTAATATGATTGGAAATCAAATGAATCTTATTAAATATTGTTAGCTATGTGGACTCTCTTATAGAGATACCAAGCTGTCAAACCTAAATACCAAATAAACAATTTTAGCTACGTGAACTCTCTTGAAAGATTTTAAATAAAATGACATGAATTGAGTATTTTTACCATAAGGGATAATGATAACGCCATGCAGGGTGCAATGAGGGAAATTTTGCCAGGACAGCAGCATTAGCCTGCTCTTTTTCGACCCACTTTAGGTTGAACATTAAACCTTACTACCAAAATAATATTATTAGCTATGTGGACTCTCTGAAAGGCGTGCAGAGTGGCATATTTTCAACCTCTGGTATAACGGTACAGTAAGCTAACTAATTACCCAAGTTAAGAAAGAATATATTTGAGTAAAAGACAGGTGTTAAAACTATCAGATATCATTTCTCTCTACAGTTGATTATTATAAACAAAAATATATATTTATACCTATCAACTACAAGGTCATTTATATTCAAGGTACTAACGTAAACTCACATCTGGACATGGCCAGAAATCAATTTCAAGTTGTTTTATTAACCAATTAGATAACAGTATTTCTTAAAATGTGGATTTTAACTAACATAAGCTTCGATAATGGATGCGTGCTTATGTTATTTTTTTGGTGCCATTTTAAAATCAAAATTTAAAATGTATTATTATTTTTATCATTTATTATATAATCACTACATTTGTTTTCAACTGTCTAAAAACACTGTTTTAGTAGTTTATCGAATTTAAAACTTGGCAGAGGTCTAAGAGATTTATGAGTAAAAAGTTTTATGGGTTCTAACTGTTTTATTAGATAACTATAGCGGGGTTTACAACTTTCACAACAATTTTTAACGAGTTTTTTTTCCTAAATATTGAACATGTAACTATGCCTTGATGGCTTGTTGTTTTGATTATTAATGGCAAAATCCTCTTAGAATTTGAATGTTGCCCTAAACCGGCCACTGATGGCGCTTAGCTTAGACCCTATGCTTACCTACAGCTACTATCAGCCAAAACAGCACATCAGAAAAAGGAAAGGTCAATCAAGATTTCGTTATCATTAATAGGCCTAGTTGATTTCAAAAATAAATTTTCAAATGGGTGAAATGAAAACTTTTAACTACTTCACAAACACTTGAGCCCCACCCCTTGGTCTTTTTAAGATCAACTGTGACCCTCTTGATTTGGACCAACTTTTTGAAGTAAAGATCAAAGAAAACAGGTAGATCTACAAGATTTAACCAAAACATGCCGATCTGGCATTCTAAACAGGTTAAGAGAAATGTCAGAAACGGTTCCTGTAGCGCGTGTTAGCTTTTATGGATGCAGAGATCTCAAGACTCAAAATAGATGAAGTTTCATCTCCACTTTTTCACGTGTCGACAAGTTTTTGACAATGCCGACGCGCTCCTCGCAAATTTTCATCGCCGCATACAACTTACCCGCTATAAAAAGAAATCCTAAGATTCCTAACACAATAAACCGTTTCATGATGATTTGATGGAATAGCTCCTGCTACAGGAGAGAAGGAAGAATGAAAAATAACCAAACGAGTCGAGTTTTTACTCCCCAAGTCTCAACTTCTCGGTCAACATGGAATACGGGGAATCCCTTCCGTTCTACGTCTCGACCAATCAGCGTCGACCACGAACAATGAGTCAACCAATGAAATGACACCAAGTAAGGAAACTTCTCTCCGACTTGTCTTAAGTTGATTGGTTGAAATATTTGTTATTAATCCAGAGTAAGGGCATGGAGTTGAAGATAAAAATAGTAGCAAATTGATTATCCATGTTCTGCCCTTCCCATCATACCCGGAAGATGGTGATTTTTGATTGACAACATATAAACAACAAAGTAAAAGTAGCCAACTTAACAAGTGAATGCAGTGATCTTTATCATTTTGACTTTTTGACTGAAAATTCTGCCTCTTTTTGCCATTTGTGGTTTGTGGTGAAAACTGGAATAACATGGAGCTGTTGTTTGTGAGTTAGCCTATATTTTTGTTTTTGCACTGTAAAGAAAGGGGAGGGGTAGGGGGTGTTTAGAAATTCATCCAATTTAAATTTCATGATGCTTGTCTTTTGAATTAAACGTCCACCTGGTAAGAATCCATTCAAAACTGATTTGGGAATCTTAGGCTCTGTATAAGGCAATGCTTACTCTTTCAGAGCACCTGACAGCACTCTGCAACAGTGTTGTCAACTTGAAATTCCTTTCAGAGATTCCATGTAGATATTACTGTTTGTTCAATATTTCCACTGGCATTGGCACTATCTATATCTAGTAGATAACATGACAACCCTTTGCCTGAGCTACCTTACTGCATGACAATGGTCAATCTACTGTAGGGCCCTTTCAATCTACTGTAGGGGCCTTTCTCTGTGACCTAGGTCAATAACCCCTATTGACCTTAGTAGTAAACACGTGTTTATGTTTTCTACTGAAGTCTTTTCACAATAGGTTATAGAAGGCTGGACAAAATGATTTTTGGAAACTGTTTCCTGTAAGATTTCAGTTCATGAGTTATAACAGATTGGCATATCATTAATTTTTAAAGTGTTGTTTAAACAGGCTAAGTAATCAGTATGACTTATTAGAAAGTACCTTTAAGCTTTTGAGATTTAAAAAGATTGCCAAAACTTACACTGGCTTTACAGCACCGTCCCTTTAATTTAAACATGGTTTAGTCTTCAACAGAGCTCCTTTAAATAGGTTAAGATTATTGAATTGAGTTGAATTAAAATGGCAAGCCTATTTAGATTAAAAAAACTTGATGTAAACCTATCACTGTCCCTTTAAATCAAAATACTATTCCATTGTAAGTGAAACCTAATACATAATAACCCAGTGCTGTCCCTTTAAACTAGATAGCCACCAAGACTTAATGGAACCCTGCATTGTTCCTTTAAATCAGTGTCATTCTTTTCTATTGTCAGTAAAATTGCATAGGCCCTACTAAGAAAACCCAGTGCTGTCCCTTTAAACTAGATAGTCAAACAAGACTTGACAAGACATGAGTGTATATTGAATATAAACAAACTATTTTCAAGTATAAAAGATTGAATACTTATATTGTTATTAGGGTGTATTTACAAACCTTACAGTGCTAGGTAACTTTTCATGATCTCTTCAATACACAAACCTAACAACTTGTGAACACTGTAGTAAGTCAAATGGTCATGATTTTTAAATCTTTTTTAATGTTTTTATTTTATGGAAAGTGACCTTTCGTTAGTAAACAAGGACTTGATTACCAGTTTTTTTCCATTGAACACTGATTTGTGCTTTTTTGTTAAGAAAGGTATTGAATTTTGTTTAATGTTTGTGTTGATTTGAGTTCTGAAATTGTATTAAGTCTCTATTTCATGATAATTTGAACTATTTATTATTTTGTAAACAGTAAAATAAATATTTTTTAGATATTTTTGACAAAGATATCTAAAGTTTTTAGTGGTTTATCTTACAGAAACTTTTGTTAAAAAGCCTAAAAAGTTTGCCATATCAATTTTGCTTGTAAAAATGCATTTTGTTTAAAAGTAAACTAACATTATAATATTTTTCCACAAAATAAGTAAAATTTTACACAAAATCAATTCAGATCTCAAACTCCATCAGAATTTCTTTTCACATGAAAATAAAAAGTTTTTATATAAAATCTATGAATAATAAATTTTATCTAGGATAACAATGGTGTATATAATTGATTAATATATTTATTAGACCAGATTATAATTAATATTCCTATATCAAATGGTTTATAATAATTTAAGTGTTATCACTGAGTATATAGGTAACAGCTGTTGAGCTATACGTGTAATTATTACATAGGATGTTGTATATATGCCTGTGTGTTGCTCTGTAAAGTCTCCACGATTACATAAGGTAATAAAGCGCCGAGCTCACTTCCTTTGGTCACATGTCTACGTGCCTTCAACCCTAATTTTTAACCTTAATTTTGACATTTTCATTTCATTCAAAAACTAGCTGTACTGATGATGGGTTTTATATCTGAAACTCACTTTAACCATCATAAGAGACTTGATGGTCAATTTTAAAATGTCTTTTGTTAAAACTGATGCATTCTTTTTCCAATTTTCAAAACAGAATCCTCAGTTTATAAAGTTACACATTGATATTATTCATGTTATAACTTTGAACATGAAAATTTATTTTTCATTTGCATGGGTTACAAAATTCGCATGTCACAAATTCAGAATTCACAGAACATTATAAATGTCTGATTGGTATAAAGCCCTGCTGGCAACCCTTACGTGACAAGTTTGGATCACTACCGAGAAAAACCCCCAAAACAGCTTAATGTCTAGATCTGCATATTAATAACTTTGGCCATGCAAATGATGGCAGTTGAACTCCAAATCAATTTTCAGTGACCCCTCTGACTTAAAGTGATCAAGTAGCAATCTTGCTATAATGGGATAAAGATCAGATCAAAGGGGATTATTGGTTTAATCCCTGATTAGCTTTATGATAATCTCTTTACTATAGAAAATAAGACAGTCAAGTATTTGTGGTGTACAATTTTCAGAGGGTAACAGGTTTTCTCTTTTTAACTGTGTTATTTTCTGTCACACTATGATAAGAGAGCCAATACCTATAGACTATAACTCATGGAGTACAATTTTGGAGCAGAAAGTGAAAATTTGTATGTTAATTCTGTCATTTTCTGTTCTACCATAAACATAGTGTCATTTTTTAAACACAATATGTAAGTAGCCATTTGAAAGCCAGTGGAAGAATTGATTCAATATTAATTTTCTTATATGATATGCTCCTTGATGCATCTTGTCGCTGAGTTTTTTTCGTTTTTTTCAAAGATCAATTTTGAATCCAAAAAAAATAATTTTTTAATGGACTTATAACATGTTGATAACACCAATTTAATGTGGCGTCATTTTGTAATTTGTAAGTGTAAAAGCTCATAATTGTTCAGAGAAAATTTATAATGGGCCAATAAATTTTCAAGAAACCTCCTTATAAATGATCGAGATATCTAATATTGATATTTTATCTTATCTTTTCAGGAAATGTAGGCTGGTAGAATAAATCTCAGTTGTCAGCAGAAATTGTTGAGCTTTGTTAACATTGACAAGATGGTCGCCACTGATGGATTTGAGCTGCGTCAACCAATCAAACCTTACATATGCTCTACAATCGAAGATTTTGAAGTTGAAAGGAAATATTTATCGAAAGTCATCTTTCCAAAATTAAAACAGTTTTGTCTCCAGCGCGGAGCACAGTTTATGCCTTTCGATAATTTATGGTCAAAGAAGGATACAGATTTTCAACATGGCCGACTTCTGCATTTGTTATTGAAATCTGCGGAGTGTTCCCCTTTTCTGATTTGTCTAATCGGCGAGCGCTACGGTGTGTACAGACAAGAAAATTCTCCTCAACTTCCAGATACAGTTGCAGAGATTCCGGAGGATTGTTCAGCCATTGATAAAAACTTTCTGATCGCTGCCTTAAATGGTCATTCATGGATTCTTGACCAAGCCAATCAAAACCTCAGCATTTTCGAACTGGAAATCATTCAAGCTGCCTTTTTAAGAGATGCCACATTTGGATATTTTTATTTTCGACAAACTGAACACTTGGAAGAAAAGTTAGCACATTTGCACGAAAGAGAGCACGAAAAGTTTAAAACAAATTATTTCGCGGAAAATGAACATGCAGGATTGAAAGTTGCTGATCTGAAGCAGCGAATCGTGAAAAAGGGACTGACTGTGAAATATTTCAAGACTATTGAGGAACTGGGTAGTCTAGTCTTAGAAGACTGGAAGACTGTGATTGATCAGATTTATCCACCTTTAGCTAATGATGGAGATTTTTTAGGTAAGTTTTCTCCATTTTTTTTTTTACAAATTTGATAATTTTAGTTGAGAGTGCTTTTACTTTCAAGGCCCTTAATATTCTTAAATGAAGAATACATACAACAATGACATGAAAGTGGTAACCATCCTAATTTCAAAGGTGATTTAATTGTGAGGGAACCAGAAGTCATTTATTTATCCTGAATAGTGATACAGATGACAAAGACAATATTTAGATGATTATATCTCTTGGAATGTTTTTGTTTTAGATACAGAAGAATACAGAGAGTGGGTTCATCAACAATGTCTTTATTTCGATCGTAAAGAATCTTATGTCAGCTCTGAAGCAGCAGACGCAGTTATAACACAGTTATCTACCTTTGCTATCTCAGTCAGTAATGAATGTTCTGTAGAGTTTAACAGTTTTACTCAACTTCAGATGTCTGCTTTAGAAGCCCACGAGTACGATAGGTAAGCTGAACGTTTTTTCGATAAAAAGATCCATTCCATTTTTATACGCCCACATCTCTCTATGTGGACATATATTGTCGGCACCCCTATCAGTCTGTCAACATTTGCTTGTAAACACTCTAAAAAACTAGATTTTTTGATGGAATCAAATGAAATTCGGTATGTGTATACATATTCATAAAACAAAGATCAAGTTCGAATTTGAGCTATTTTTGACCGTTAGAAGCAGAGTTATTGCTTTTGCCCCAAAATTTTTAATATTTACCATCCGCATATCTTGTTGGGCGTACATGGCTGTGGTCCACTGTCTTCCAAACTAACTGTTCTGTTGCCTGATGAAGAATTTGTATCTGAAACACATGTGCTATGATGAAATGAGCTCATGTTTATTTGAAAGCTCACAAGGCCAAGAGATAGCGTTTTTAATGATAACTTTTTTCTTACTTATCTTATGCATTCAAATATTGGATAATTGTCCTGCTGAGAGTTGTTTATCCAAAACATGTGTCAGCATAAGATTAAGATGCATATATATGAGATAAATATTGTATTGGATTGGAAAGTAGCATCAAGTGGCATCAAGGTCTAAACAAATGACATTATGGGCCAAATGCATTGACCTTGGCGTTGAATTTATTTTTTAGGAAAATGAAAGAAAAGCGGAATTCGATCCTGGTATTAGCTGGAGATAGAGGTGTTGGTAAATCATCGTTAATCGTGGAATGGCTGGGCAGAATCTCGGAGACCAACCCTGAGTTACCCATAATACACTATTTTATCGGCTGTAGTAAGAATAGTACCGACATCGCCATTATTCTACGCCATTTTATTTCACAGCTTAAGCAAAGGATGAATGGTGAGTTATAAGCCTACTCTAAGTAATTACCCTTGGTAAAATTTACTTCATTCCACACTGTATGGGGTTGTCTGTCTCTCTATGTCTACATATCTGAACCTCATGTATATGTATTTCTTTTTTCTTGTTTGTGATATTTGTTCAAAAATTTGAATCAGAATTCCTGATTTCAGGAAAGCGGAAACAGGAATCGATGGTAGACGTGGATCAGATGAAGAGTTTCCAGGAACTGACGGAATCATTCTCGGCTTGTATATCTTCCATACCTTGTATCATTCTATTGGATGGTCTGGATGAACTCGGTGGATCACTCGGACAAACTCCTCAGGAGGTGGGTGGCAGTTGTAGTATTGTTCTCTCTCTCAACACTTATATGGACCTTTTGATTTCTTAGTCAGACATGTATGGTTGAGGAGGATCAGGTTGACCAATCCAATACAAGTCCATAATTTCCACACCTTAGTTTGATTTTCTCAATCAAATGAAATGGAGCTTTGCATCTCACTTTTCTGAATATACCAAGTAAATCCCACTTCATTTTTTTTAAATGTGATCTCTACCCCGAAATGTCGCTTTTTTCATTGACAGGTAAAAGATTTTGGATGGTTGCCCCAGTATCTTCCATCACATTGTAAAATAATCTTCACAACATCGCGCTCCGATCTTACATTCCACTCCTTGTCCAAACGTAATGACGTACAAACTCTCACTATCAAATCATTGGTCGAAAATACTCAGAAACCTTTGATTTTGATGGAAAATATGAAATTCTATTATCAAAGACTTTCAAAACATAATCTGAAACAGATTTCCGAGATTCAAGTATCGCAGAAGCCATTGTTTTTACGTCTGCTAGCCTCGGAAATGTCGTGTTACAATGTGTATCGAGATCTTACAGAATACCTTGATGATTTTTATGAGTTGTGTAGTGTTCGCGAGTTTTGGATACGAAGCCTACAGCGCTGGGTACGTGACTATAGCTGGTATTTGGATAGTGCTACTGAAGACGGCATTACTGAGGAAGAGTTAGGTAAGAGTTATTTCCCTTTGCCATCGTTGAAATGACGACATTTCTTTTTTGACACACTGTCATTGTTAGAAAAGACATCCTAGACGAATACTGTAAGGGATTGATTGATCTTGGTGCAGTTCTAATACTAATGAAGGCTATTTACATATATTCAAGACCCAAATCAATCCCCTGCAATGGCGAAACCATGGCCTTTAAGTTAAATTTTCGGACATATTTTTTGCAGAAACAACTGGCTGGGTACCTGATGTATTACGCTTGTTGGTTTTATCTCGAGACGGCCTGACGCAGTCGGACATCTTGTCTTTACTTCATCAACTTGGTTACAGACGCAACAAACAAGTCACTCAATTTGATTGGATGTTTCTACAACAATGCCTTAGTAACAATCTACGTGAAGATTCCAATGGTCTGATAAAATTCTCTCATCAACATTTAACGGAGGTGGCTGAATACACTTTATTTAGTAAGTTCAGGGCCATTACAATAATTACTTTGGCCATATTTGCTCTTTTGGAATATTTGGATTCTCATTTTTTTTATATGTTTCTGCATAACATTTGTAGAGTCCACATAGCTTTTAATGTTTATTTTCTACCAGGGAGTCCACACAGTCCACATTCATGGTTAGCAACTCAGCGCATCACTTTCAGAGAGTCCGCATAGCTAAAGATAATCATGTGGACATTTTATTCCAGAAAGCATCAAGCAAGCAGCAGGAGAAATTCACCCAACAGAAGAATCCAATCAACGAAGAATATTCCACCAACATTTGGCTATCTACTTCCTCAAACAGCCATTCTCCCATCGCCAACTTGACGAGTTGCCATGGCATCTGTTAATGTCGGGGAATTTTCACAATCTGATAAATATATTGACCAGTGAGAAGTAGGTATATCAAAATCTCTTAAGATTTGTAAGAAGCTGTGGTAGCTCAGTAAAATTTGGCGCGTGATCGTTAACCTGAAGGTCCAGGGTTTCATTCCTGGCATCATTCAAGATAAAACCTTCAAAATTTCAACCCAGTTCCCCTCTTGTTTGTGATGGAGGTTGAAGTGTCTGGTCAGGAAAGCTTGTATGTGAGGATTGGACCCTACTCCACATTTTTGTAGCAAAAAGTCTTAAGATAGATTTATCTTAGAATGTTGGGATCGGGCTCCAGATTTCAAGTTGAGCAGGAAACATCTTACATTGCTTAGCCTTAGCAGCCTCATACTTTAAACAAGGACATGACTGATTGTTTTCTATTATGTAGCAGAGTTTGCTTACTCTTTTGAAGCACAACCTCGTGAATTTGGACAGATCTGGTTTCTTATAGATAATTTCGTTGATTTCAGATATTTGCCGTATTTGTTAGATATTTACATGAAGAACCCAACTGATCGTTATAATCTAATATATTATTGGAGTATACTCATCAAACATGGCTACAATCCTGTTACTATTTATAGACATTACCTCACTACCATTGGTCTGGCTGATTTACACGACAATGATCAAAATATGGTAAGACAGAATCAAGTTTTTGTTTTAATTAAGGAGTTCTTTTTTCTTAAAAAATGATGTTCCCAAGGCCTCTTCAAGCAAAACCACGAAATATTTCGCTATCTGACTTTTCGATGCCTTAAATGCCAGAATTTTGTCTGTTAAAAAATATTGTTAAAAGAGCTCTAAGAACCATACTTTTCTGTCCCAAATAAGGATTCCCCGTCTTATTTCTGATACCCTTTGATTTTGGGTGTAATCTGTTGCAGCGATAAGATATGTCCAGAAAAATAATTGGACAGTAGAAAGGGTGCGCGTTATAATCACAATTATACAGTATATAAGTACTGACAGAAAGAAAGAAGGGCTTCACTCTACGTGTGTATAATAATCATAATTATATTGTATACATGAAATAAACCAATATTAATATATTTCATAATCCACAGCAGGATTTATACAGAAGACAAAGTCTGGAATTATCCAAGAATTCTGTCAAGAATGAAACCAACACGTTTCTAACGGCAATCACAGACTACAGACAACTCTCTGTTATTGAAGAAAAAGATGAGATGGACAAGGTTTGATTCTTTTCTGATATCAAGGTTCTTGAGGATGCTGTCTACAGCCAAAATTCTTAAAAAAAAAGTGTGTCCATTTTACATAGTTACTGTCTGTTTTCATTGTCAAACTGCTTGGTTATGATTTTACAAATTTAAAAACTTAGATCTTTTCTACCAGCTGGTCCTTGTCCAAACAAAGATAGCGTCTCAGATTTTTGGAGCCGTCCTACTAGCTGATATTGATGTTAAATGGAGAACAACTTATGTTCTGGACACCAGTGGTGGAGCCAGGTTTACGTCCATGGGGGTGCGAAATATCTGAGATTGCCTGAACTTCTAACCTAGTGCGGGGGCGACTGCCACCTCTGCCCCCCCCCTTTTGGTTGGCTCTGCCAATGCTAGTCACTTATTGAACAGGAGGGTGTTTTATTCTATATTCAGGAAAAGAGCGTTGGTGATGATACTATTTCTTACCTAGGTGATGATGAGGCTGATGACAAAGGTAAAGGTTTATGTTTTAGTCTTTTCAGTTGAGCTACAAAATAAAACTCTGAAAAACCCAAATATGATATAAAAATGGTTAGCTATGTGGAATTTATTAATATTTCTCTCCTAACTTCCAGAACTGTGTGTGTTTAAAGAAATGGCGCTATCAGAAGTAGCCTCTATCACCTGGTATATATCTCAACTGTTATTGGAACTGGGTTATAATGATTCTACTCTAGAGATACTTACAGTTCTAGCTCAATATCTTCAGAAGGTAAGGAACAGGTGGGTAGAGGGTATGAGGGAATGAATCAAACACAATAGAGTTTTACATCCTACTTTTCTGCATTGCTTTGGGTTTTTGAATGAGTCTGTTTTTTGTCATATTTTCAACCTTAAAATTGAAAAAAGAAATGACTTAATGTTAAATTTCCATCATTGTACACTGTATCGTCTTTCGCTCATCTTCATCAGTCCATTTAGGTGTAAAAAAAACTGCTAAACGTACACACACAATTTTTTGGGTCAAGTTTGGACTAATGAAGACAACTTACACCATGCAGTGTGCAATGAGGGAGATTTTGTTAAAAACAGCATTAGCCTATGTAAATAAATAAAATGTTTTTGCTGAATCGTCCACTTGGTCTACTAGAAGAATTGATCTACACCCGAAGTTTGCAATGAGGCAAATTTTCACAACAGCATTGGCAGACTCTTTGAATAAATAAATCATTTTTTTCAGAATCGTCCTTTAGGTCTACTAGAAGAATTGATATACACCCGAAGTTTAGAGTGTGTAGGTAATATCTACCTGGTGAACAAACAGTACTATCAGAGTTATCTGTATTATAAGAGATCTCTACGAGCTCTGTTACAACTCCAGGATTCAGATGATGAACAGATTTATGAAACAGAGAGTCACATTCTTAAAGGTTTGTATTTGGGCTTCGCTTTTGGAGTATTCTATAAGTGTGTCTGCCATCCTGTTCAAAAGACACTGCTTAAAAAGTTTGTTTTGATCTTGACTTTTGGTGTATTTTTAGACTTTACTGCAGAGCTGTCATAATGACTCATCTCATGAACAGAGAGACATATCCTCAAAGGTTTGTTTCTGGGCTTGACATTTTGGGGTATATTTAGCCAATGTCTGCCAGCATTGCCCAATGGGCTCATGCTCATTTCTTGCTGCCAAAACCTGCGTTGGAAACACAACACTTGGCATTTTGAAAGTCGGAATGCTGCCTTTTGTAAATGTACAATATAATACACAGAAAATGACATCATTTAATTGTGGGCTGTATTGTAAGATTGAAGTTGTCTCCCTTAGCACATCATTTAAATTGGATTTCTAGTTACCTTTGATATCTAACAAATACAATACCGGACATCTTAGCTATCTAGTCAGTCATGTCTGGCAAGTAAATCAGTTTTGTAAATGTCATTTCAGGGAGTATTTTAAGTCAGCTGGGGAAACTGAAGATGTTAGAAGGCAATTTTTACGAGGCAGAAGATCTGTACAGAGAGGCGCTAGACAGTTTAGATAAAATACCAGATTGTCAACCAATGAAAGCCAACATTGAGTATAACTTAGGATTGTTAAGGTATGAGATACCAAGCTTTTATTGAATAGAGCATTTTGATTGGTTGAAAAGTGAATATCCATTGCTGATTGCTGAGGTTTGATTGACAGGTGTCCTGCTGCTGTGTTTTGGGTACACAATCCTTATCAGGACAGCTAGTTTTGGTATCGGGAGTTACCTTTCCAATGTAGGATCTTGAGAGCTGATGACACATGTTTTAGGTACACGATTTGGAATTGGGGGTGATATTGTCAATACGGAACTTGGGAGCTTAAATTGATAGATTTTCAGAATGATCTCAACCTGTTTCTGGTTTCTCAGGGAAAGGGTGTCAGTGAGTTCGAATCACAATTGGTATTGAGAGGGTGACTGTTTCTTTCAGAAGGTTAGTTTCAATCAAGAACATCAAAAATGAAATTTAGAAGTTTTACTATGTATTTTTAGATTTGAGGAAGGTGATTTCACCATGGCTGAAACTTGTTTAGAGAAGTCGTTAACGTTACGTGAGAAGCAATATGGACGCTCGAATATCTTAATATCAGATAATCTAATGGCTTTAGCTCGCCTCTATTCTTCACCTCATAACATCACTGGGTAAGTAACCAGACTTGATTGTTCGGAGGGATAATTAATATATCTGGAGGGATAATATATCTGGAGGGGCAAGTAATATATCTGGAGGGACAAGTAATATATCTGGAGGGATAAGTAATATATCTGGAGGTACAAGTAATATATCTGGAGGTACAAGTAATATATCTGGAGGTACAAGTAATATATCTTGAGTGATAAGTAATATATCTGAAGGGGCAAGTAATATATCTGGAGGGGCAAGTAATATATTTTTTTGTGTAATTTTGTAGAGTGAATTATAACAAAGCGATATATTTATATCGACGAGCTCTAACTATACGTGAAAAATGTCTTGGAAGCAACCATACATTAATAGCCGAGATATTGGTAGAACTGGGTAAGTTTTAAGTTTCGACCAAATCTCAAAATTATTCAGAAATAAGCATTGTTTTAATATAAACTTTCTTGATGCAGCCACTGTAATATGGATGTTCAATGCCGATTGGTGCGTTTCTTCTAAAATGGATGCTTCTAGCTACAGAGAATCATTCTTGATTCAGTGTTTCCTTGTTCAGAATGACCTATCTTTTAGTTACAAAGTAGATTTGCAAAAATCTTCAATAAGGACAGGCAACAGAAATATAAAAATGAGCTCTTGTTATTTCAGGTAGTCTAATACAAGAAGAATCGAGCTATAAAGCTAAAACTGAAGCTAAAAGTTGCCTGTCCAGAGCTTTAGATATAAAAACGCAACATTTAGGTAACCTTTTACAACTGCATGCATCTGTACTTTATTTTTTGTGGGACCTAGACTAGCATCATTGGGCTAAATGATTGCATTATCTGTTCTTTGAGGATTTTAAGCAACATTTTTTAGTAAGTAAGTCAGGATTTTCCAGTTCTGATCAAATTTTTAAACTATTTAGTCAGATTCAGGGTTAAAAAGAAAACAAACCATGGCCCAAGGTTGCTTCAGTACTTTATAACAACACATAATTTTTCACCCTTTTCTGTCTTTAAATGCAGGTGCCAACCATCAGGAGGTGAAAGTTCTTCTGAATCTACTGACCAACGTAGAGGTTGCTATCAAGTTAGGACAGTACCAGTTCGGGTCGGCCAGGCCCACGGATCATCGGTCCAAATACTATCCGTACAGCAGCCTTAGCTTCCGAGATCATGATCTGAAGGATCTTAAGAGCCGGGAAAAGGAGCGTCAACACCACGATAGATTAAGCATGTTTCGATCCTACAGCACCGACAGTTTGTACCGCATCGCTTCCCCTGGTAGTGCTTTAAGTCAAATAAGTGCTTCTGAAAAACTGCTCTTGGAAAATGAACGACCACATTTGGCAAAAAGAGATATTCAGAGTCGTCAGATGACCACGTCTGCTGTAAATCATCCAGCTGTGCCTCTGCTGACTCCTGTGACAGGTCTGAAAACTCTTGCCAGGCGTCAGCTCAATAATGCTGAGATATCCTGTGAATTGGTCAAAGAGGATGAAAAGAATTCGCAAGTTGAAGAAGTCAATTCTCAAGAGAATGTGATTGATAATTATGCCTCCAGAGTAGTCTCCCCTGAACAGAGCTCGCCACCTCAGCCTGTTTCAGAGGTGAGAATAGAAGCCAGACGACGACCGACGAGCGCGCCATTGTCTTTATACAACAAATTTAATCCATCAAACCGCTTCTTACACCAACGACCCAAAAAATCTCGAAATTTACATAGTGCCTTGTCGATGGTGTCTTCAAAAAGTCTTCCGCTACGTCCGCGATCCGAAAAGGGTTGTCATGCAGCGCGTTGTCAGACTCCCGGACCCCACGCAATTTCCTTAAGCACCACTCGCAGCATCGCGGGTCCCAACAGTTCTATAAATAGCTTACTCGGACCTCCGGAGGCTCCCAGAGATGTGCATCAACAGATTCATCACAAGATGGCGTGGTATCACGTGCCTGGACGGTACTCCACGAACGCCAGTCCTTTTCCACCGAAACGATCGCAACATCGTCCAGGCTCAAATTTTGCTGTAGCAAATCTTCAACACGATGTCAGCACTGGAAGCAAGAGTCTAGATATTCCAAGGTATTGTTCAACAGTAACTGAAGTTTTGTACGACGTTGACGAAAACGGAGACATTATACCTTTGTCACCTCAAAAATCTACCATTGTGCCTTACACATCACCTTATAATTCCAACCTTCAGGGCCTTAAGGAACTCACCATTGGTAGAGTGAATATTTGAAATGCCCTTAGTGCTAAAAGTAGAGTTATTAAGCTTTAATAAAAACTGAACTGAAGATATACCAGCCTTTACAATAGCGATCACTGTTTTAACCTACCAAAAGTGCCACAAGAGCATAGTGAAAGCTCATAATGAACAAGCTCATCATGAACATCGCCAAAACTTAGAATAACAGTAAATGAACATGGCTTATGAATACTGAGAATTGATGAACGCAACGACAATCAAACATGTCACTATGGAACACAACGAAAATTTACCGTGTCACTGATGAATACAACGAAAATTGAACATAATACTGATGAACACAACGAGTATAGAACATGTCATTGATGAACATAAGACAAATTGAACATGACACTGATGAACACAACGTCAATTGAACATGTCACGGATGAACAAAACGAAATTTGAACATGACATTAATCATCACAACATCAATTGAACATGACACTGATGACAACAACGAAATTGAACATGACACTATTGAACACAACAATTGAACATGACACTATTGAACACAACAGTTGAACATGACACTATTGAACACAACAGTTGAACATAACACTAATGAACACAGCAGTTGAACATGACACTATTGAACACAGCAGTTGAACATGTCACTAGTAAACACTACGACAACTGAACATGACATAAATGCGCATGATCAAAAAAGAACATAGTGTTAACAAAGCCTTCTCTAACAGCTGATTTTATTTTCGGGCGATACCTTCTTTTGACTGCGATCTGTGATATTTTCAATTCAGCTTGTTATTTTTTTTATTATTTATCTATTTATTTGTTAGTTTAGTAAATTATTATTAAATAAAATTGTTGAAAATAAACATCATTAGTTATGTGGACTCTCTAAAAGCGATACCGAGCTGACAAACATAAATATTAACGAAACGATATTAGCTATGTGGATTCTCTATATGGATGCCAAGATGACAAACCTAAATACCAAATAAACATTACTAGCTATGTGGTCTCTCTGATAGGGATGTTGAGTCCATTTTTGCAGAGAAATTTATTAGCTATTTGGACTCTCTCAAAGCGATGACGAAGGGCACACCTAAATACCAAATACATGTTGTTAGCTATGTGGACTCTGATAGGATATTTATTAGCTATGTGGACTCTGTGAAAGCGATGACGAAGGGCACAGCTAAATAACTTATGAATATATAATAGCTCTGTTGACTCTCTGATAGGGATGTTGAGTCCATTTTTTGCAGAGAAATTTATTTTTAAAACTTGACGTTCTAACTGAGAGGATTATTACAGCCTATGCAAAATTTCCTTCATTGTATATCGCATAGCTTGAACCGCGAGACTAATAAAATACAAGAAAGTTATGACGTGATACTTTTATTTCATATAACTTTAACTTACGCAAAACTAAATAAAATCACACAGAGAAATGTGGAAACTCAGAAAGCAAATAATTGACGACACGCAGATAATATGTATACGTTAAATTGTTAAACTTGAAACGTTTATTCCAGTACAAACAAACAAATAAATAAATAAACAAAGTCAATTGGTATTGATCTCGAAGGTTTTTTCTTTCTGGAGTTACCTCCCTTCCGACCTTCCGATACCCTCAATAAAATCAACTCTTTGACAAAATTTTTGAAGATTTTTTTTGTAAAGATTTTGACTTCCTTCCTTCGACTCGTTTTAAGTTCAAGTCAAGAAAATCTGCTATTTTTTTTTAAAGGGATAGACTTGTCTAGCTTTATGTAATGTTACCATTTTATCACTTTATTTATGTGTGGTATTTGTGGTCTGAAACTTAGCTCAGTCTTGACAAGAGTCATCTTTCTGTTTAGAACTCTTCTGTCTAAGAGATAAAAATGATTAATTTTGCATAGCAATGAAGTCCTCAAATTCATTTCTCAAATCTTCAGGTTTAGCCAACCGCAATGTAAGTTTATACCCGATTATATAAGATAAGCCTCCTATGATATGAAATATCACAGGATCTATAATTTCTATCCAAATTTTATGTTTTTTTCATGCTGTCTGAAAGCTTTTACCAAAACGTAAACAAACCCGACAAAATGGCGCCAAATTATGCATAGATCCCTCGCGTCAGTTTTTCCGCCCAACTTTGTACATGTGACACTATATTAAATGTTTGTACCTACTATAAATAACATTTACAATGTCTTATCAATGCCTGGAATGTCAAACTATGCAACCTGCTTTTAAGAAATTATTTTGTACGGAAACCCATGACTGCTATACGTAAGTGTGTCATTGCATCATGCTCTTAAATTCCATCCACTTTCTTATGCCTTTACTTTTTTATTATTTTCAATTTATGATTTCTTTTTCTGTTTTGTACATCCTTGCTCATTTTTGTACTTTCAGCCTTTTACGGTTATGATTGCACCACAGTACAAGATACAAGGAATGAGAATTGTGTCATATTAATCATCTTGCCAATAAACTTTAACCAATCAACACTCAATGTTAGGACCAACCACGTGGGCGAGGAATGACACTTTACGTTTTAAAACTGCATCGTCTCTTCAAGTCCGGAATTATTACATATTTATACCAGGTAAGACTTGTAAAAATAAATATTCATAAGTCATGTGATTTTCAAACTAGCCAATCAACACGATCCTACATAACACGTGCGGAACTGTATTACAGTGGTGTAACCTATTTTCGTGGATATAAGGATTCAACACCGAATTTCGTCAAAGTTAAAAAAATGAAAAAAAAAAAAAAAATTATGTCTTAGATGTTTCCTCAGATATTTTACAAAATAATCAAAATTGGTTTATTTCGATTTTCTTTATGAATCCTTCACTTTCACCCATATTTCATGAACAACCAACTCGACAACGGCGGCAGAATGCGTCACCTATTTTCGTGTACAATGTTTGATCTATAAATAAGTCTAGAAAAACAGAGTAAGGTCTCTGTCACACGTCAGTACGTCAATAAACACGTCAGACCCGTCAGTATATACGTCAAACACATCAGTAAACGCGCCAGACACGTCAATTTTATAAGGTAGCATCGACGTGTGACGTGTTTGCCGTGTTGACTGACGTACTGACGTGTGACGGAGAAACAATTAGAAAAAACAAGTTGTATGGATACCGGGTGGTATAATTAACTTCTCTAAGTATTTATCTTTAATATCAATTCATTATAACTAGTGACAATTCCTTCAAAGAACCACGATTTAAAAAAAAAATAGTGACTGACAAAATATGATACGTAGCGTGATTTGTTGCTAAAAGTCACTGAAACAACATAAGAATATGGTCCACTTTGTGTTCCATAGAAATTTTCTGCTGACACGGAATCCGCTAGTTGATCACGTGGCTTCATTCGTGGGAATATATTCTAGCAGACGACACTTGGAATTCCGATTACCGCTTGGGATTATAAGGAAATTCGGCCGATAGAAAATGGTGACGTTTGGTAATAACTGAAATCCGCCATTTTGTATTTGTCAAAGTATACATTAATACATTTTACCTTGCTTGAAACTACAGGATTCATTCTACTAGCTGATATTGTAGAGAAAACCAATATGTTTATCAAATCAAACTAATGCGGAGGTCGCGCAAGGTCGCTCATGTAAATTATTAATCCTTTCCGGAAATCCACGAATAATAGGTTTCCACGAAATTAGGTTACTTGATTGTACTATTTACAATACAAATGCAAATTAGTTTTCACCTACAATCAGGCAATAACGAATGAATAACATTATAATATCAACTTAGGAGAAATACTTTGTTGTAATTCTTCTAGTTTTTACTGAATTATACACAATTGCCAATTTTCAATCTGAAATGTATTTCGGATAGATGAAATTGAATTCTACCAAATTTTCATAAATTCCGACGATGTAATCCCTTTAAAGAATTTCAACCAATTTTCAAAATCACCGAAAACAAACAAATGAGCTTCTCCAAACTCTTTATTGAATTGTTGAAAAGAAAACAGTCGAAAAGTTAATTTCAGTGCAAATCGTTCAATTGAAGTTCTAATTGTTTTAACTGAAAAACAACGTTTATGTCATTTGCCAAAATATTCAACATTTAGTTAAGATCTCACCGCTTGTTTGAACTTGTATTTTTGTAATGTTTTATTGCACTAAAGACCTGAAGGTCAAAATTGAACTCTGGTTATGTTTTTCAGACTAAAAGTACGAATTGATCAATATCAAATTTTCATTGGGTATAAAGAAAGAAACCATAAGAATGCAGAAAAGATATCGTTATAGACATAATGTAGTCTTATCAAGTAATGTTTTGCTAAATAAACCCTAATCCAGATCATTATTGAAATAAGACTGATAAAAAACAGAATGAAAGTTAATTAAAATTTTGCTAAATTAACCCTAACCTTAAACCCAAAAAACAGAATGAATGTTTGTTAATATTTCTGAACTCTTGAGAACTCTGAAGTCGAGAATAGAAGTCTTGGGCTACATAATACATATAAAGCTAGAGTTAGAATAGTGACTATAATGTCCATCGCCTCTGAGCTCGAACTCGAACTTTTCTTGCAATTATAAGCTTAATGACTTCAAGCGGTTTCTAGGATTTCCATATCACAATTACAAACTGTGATTGCAAAAAATGCAGGTATTCAAGAATTGGAGACAAACAGTGGTAGCTTGCACATCTGTCTTGATATCGTCTTTACTGAAATCAATGGTAATAGCCGAGTTCGAGTTTATTTCAATATTAGCCTGTCTGTATTGTGACGTTAGGACAAAAATCTTTAAAAAAAATTGAAAAATTCGCTTTGAATGTGAAGCAAGTGCCACAAATTTGAATGAATTAATCTTCTTACTTCTGTCACCTTAATGAAATGAGTTTTTTCCCTACGGTCCTACTTAACCCTGGAATGGCGAAACTCTTTAAGTTTATTTCAATATAAGCTTGTCTGTAGATCGAAAAGAATTTGTTAGGAATCAGTAAGGTTGAAGAAATAGAATTGGGTTTTACACCCTATGGTTTTGCTTCAGTCTGGGCTAATGATGGTGGAGTTGTGGAATCGCAGAGTTACACAAGGTGTTTGCTGTTTGCTACATTGAAGGTTTTCCTTCAGTCTGGGCTAATGAAGGTTGAGTGCGGAATCGCAGAGTTACACAAGGTGTTTACTGTTTGCTACATTGAAGGTTTTGCTTCAGTCTGGGCTAATGAAGGTTGAGTTGTGGAATCACACAAGGTGTTTGCTGTTGACATTGAAAGTTGGTCAGAAATGGTCTACTCTATTACTGAACACCTTATTTTGTCTCTGCCTTGGTGATTTTTTCGTAAACGTTTTCGTCTTGTGCACTGTAGCAAATGTCCACTGTCAATTCGTTAAACGGAAAATTCCCATTTAATTCAAGTTCTCTGAAAACTTTCCAATTATGTACATCGTAAAAATACGCTTCGTTTCATAACCTAACATTCTGTTATAGTCACATTACCAAAATATTTGAACGTTTGTACATCAGCTAAGTAAATGTCGAGATATTTGTTAACCGCTTGGTAAATATTAGATATTATCAAGGTCGTACACACTTAATGGGGTTTTACGTCCTACTGTTCTGTACTTCGAGTGGGGACTCTCTTAAATCGAATTTAACATCTTGTAATTCGCATTATTGAGCTAATATAATGAAATTAAATGGATTTCTCTGCAGGTTTTAGATGCCAGGGTTCCCAAAAACCTCGGACTCTTAAGATCGGAGATTTTTGTCGCGGATGACACTCTTGTCAGGTGTAAAAAAAATATAACCAACTTTAATATAAAAACAAGTTTTATTTCAAAATACAAAAAACAAACAGCAACAAGTTCAATTCCACCACGTCCCGTTTGTCTACAATTTAAACAAGCAATCTATAAAGGCAGCAAATTTGTCCGAAAAAAGCATCTCTAAATTTTTGCTAAATTTTCAAAATTATAGTGACCGAAATTCCCAATTAACAAAAATGCAAATAAGGAAATTAAATTCGCCAAATAACAGTACCGGTACGTCACGTTCAACACTATTTTCCCTTTTTGCAGTCTAAATCGGTTTCCGAAATAAAAAAATGAATAACTCTATTTGCATAAAACGAACCGTGTGCACAGTATGCAAATAAAGTCGGGTCAAAGGTCAAACTCTGTACGTTTAAAAAATATCAACAAAGGGCGGACATTATAAATATTATATCTTTGCCGAAAATCAAATTTGAAAAGTTTGAACAAAACACGTTCAACAAAGCTTGTTCATGTGGTCGTTTAAAACAATTATTTATGCAAACTAGGAACACAGCAAATTGGAAAAGGTAAAAAAAAAAAAAAGCTAAGAGGGTAAAATCGAAGCCCGTTCTAAACCAAAAGCTGAAGCCCATAGCTGGAAAACTCATTCAAGCATATTCATAAATAATTATACTTTAAATATTCAAATATACAGATAATTACATTGAAATATTTAAATTTATGCATAAAAAATTCAAAAGTTTTAAAATTTTTGATAAATATCTATTTTCGTATATTCATAGAAGTCTTCAAAAATTTTACATCTCAAAAAAGATACGAAATTGCGATCGTGAGAAATGCTTTCAATAGATTCTTTTACTGAATGAGCTGGTTAAATGTTTTGCACCTACGAAATTGTGTCATAAGATTTATGCTTACAATTCAAATTTTTAGGAAAAATAATTCCCAAGCTGCTCTTCGTAGATTGTTTGTAAAATGTAGGCAACTCAGATTCTCGGTGTTTGATGAATATATAAAATGTATGACAAAAAATTTAACAAAATAGAAAAATTATCATTTTAACAATATACACAAAATAACAGGTCAAAATATTGGGTGGTGCTTAAAAATGACCCATAATTTGAAGCGAGGTCATTTTTAGGAACCACCTACAGAAATATTATATACAACATAGTATATACATTCAAACAGTAACGAGGTCAGGTGCTGATCCTCGAAACATAATCCATACGACTGTTCTGCAAAGGCAGAAGTGCTTTGGAGTCGCAGTTTGATTTTCAGAAGCCTCTCTGACGATGATATCAAAATTTAACATACATTTGTAAGAAATACCAAGATACTAATACGTCTTCAAATACAATTATTCCTTCAAAAACTTCATACTTTCCTTAAGAATACAAACCAAGACATTTCATTGGTTCCTTATTCCCTTATATCCAAAAGAATACAAACCACGACATTTCATTGGTTCCGTAGCCTAATCTATTTTAGCCAATGAAAAAACGAGTATTACTATTTCAGTTAACTAAAACTAATCTACCGTTTTCAGAATGTTGCCTATAGAAATCACTTACGATAGACTGACCTTTCACCTGAATTGACCTTTGGCCTTTAACCTGAAATGACCTTTGAATTCAAATGACCTTTGAACTAACTGAAAAGGATCAAACGATCTAAAACTATCTACATAGCTAAGCCAAAATGTAAATCAAATATGTTAAAAAGTGCAAGTGCATTCGACTAAATAGATCAAACAATCGTTTTGAGGAACGTGCAGAAAAATGTGAAAAATCTCTCAAACCTGTCGATATCCGAATTTCAATAATTTTTTCATCCAAGAAAAGTGTTCTCATTGTTTATGTCGATGACACGTTCGAATTCTCCATTGATTTCTTGAGATTTATCTTACCCAGGTGTAAACGTTTTTTTTGTTGTAGAAAAACTCTGTTTTGTCTAGGTGATGTAACTTTAGTTAAATTGGTGTGGTGGAGCTAAGAACACGTTCGATATGCTACAGGGGTGTGTTCGATTGGCTGACTTCTTTGTTCCATTCGTTACCTTGCATCTATACGTGTACGTTAGGACCTGCATTTATCTCAGGGACATTTTTAATCAACAACTTGTAGTTTTCACACATTTTTACACAAATTTCTATATCATAAGCTTATATTCGAATGACCTACTTTGAAAGAGAACTGAATTTTACAAAAGCTTAATTCAACACCGAAGCTTAAATTCAAGATATCAGTAATATTTCTGTGAAACCATTGGGAAATTCAAAAACTTTCTAAAACAAAACCAACAATGCCAAAACTTCTACAAAAAGTGAAAAAGCTTATTATTATGCAAAATTAAAATATTTACAAGCAAATACAGGACAGGACCCTGGCTTTCTGACCACAGTGGTTTTCTAAATTCAATTCATAATTCTGCGCAAAATACAATTTTAAATTTTGACATTTGCCAAATTGAAAAAGAAATTAATAAATCAAATAAACATCTTTGCTATGTGGACTCTCTGAAAGAGAAGTCGAATTTACAAGTACAGGTTCCAAATAAACCAATAAAATATTAGCTGTTTACACTCCAAAGTTGATAACTCAGTCGCAGGCTGGCATCCAGTGTCAAATTCAGAAAACACAATGGTCAGTCTGTAGCTATGCTAATATTGGTTTGAAATAGATAAATACATACCGCTCACCAAAACGAGTTAACTTTCTCTATTGCACCACAAAAATCGTAAGAAAAATATAAAAATAACTTTTTACAAACCATTGTTCCGACCATCTGTATCGTACCAAGTTTTCAAATTGCTCGGGACGCAATTCACTTCTGCTGTTTCCGCCATTTTGCTTGTCAACTGATCTTAAAAATTTTATTATCGTAGAATGACGTCTACAACCAATGAAATGAGACTATACAATGATAAGAAAACTCATTAACATCTTGTATGATTTTCATTTGTTAAAGCTTTTTGAGTGGGCAAATCAAATCAAAATGGCGGATTTGAGGTTCATCTTTTGCACGCAGTCTGCCCAAAATGTAGGTATATGTGGAGTGAAACCCGTGTTTTTGAGGAAACTTGGTACGACGAAGAAGGCTCACATCGATAGTAGGAAGCATTTGATGCCAAACAACGTAGCTATGATAAAGAAAAAGCATACCCCTTCCCCACAACATTGAGGGATACACACAGCTGTGTTGATGCGTCTTAATACATGTGGGAAACGTCCACATTCTAGTCCGACCTTTTAACGTCTAACGTCCGACATCACAAGGACCGTTGATCACATGATTAACGTTACATCACATGTCTTGAATACTTAGCGCTCTGAGCGTCCGTCTGTCATTGTTTTGAACATGTATTTCTTAAAAGCAGTGACATAGTAGTCTAAATTTTAACGCTACTATCATGGCCGTGGTATCACAAACTTTACCGGAAGATCTGTAGCGTACGCTGTAGTCCGGCACTACTTACGACGCCGTTACGCCATCAAAAGCCAACAACGTCACCGGAACCACTTTCAGAAGGTTCATCATTCCCTGGGCACCGAAAGCGTAGACGTTGAAGACGATGGTTCACCGTCACTTCTTTCAAAACCGCAACACCACAAACGCCATTGAGGTGACCGAAAGTGCTATACAGATCGCATTTAAAAAGCGTCTTAAGTCGCTTACAATTCACTTTATAAACCAAATAAGTTTGGCGTTTGGCGATTATTATTCAAAGTACTTGTGATCACGCCCCGACCAGACGAATCGAACAAATGATCGTTTTTAAAACTGTCATACGAGACGTTATCTTGTGGATAATCCGCCGCTAGATGGGGTGGTAAATTATTCGGCGTATGGTACACGAAACTTCCGGCAATGATGGACGGTTCATAACGACTCTCATCTTCGACATCAATACTGAATAGACCGTTATCACTAGACTGGTCGTTGTAGTAGGGAAGATGCGGTTGTGTTGGTCGTCTACTGGATTGCGAAGATGACTGATATGCCTGAAATACGAAAGATATTTTTTTTAAATCTGGTTTTAGCCTAGAAAATTTGCACAGTAGATTGATCTTATTTGGATGGGGTTTTCTATGTCTCTATTTATTGGACTAATGAAGTTTAGATCTGTCAACTAGGTATCTCTTTCAGATAGTCAACAAGGCAAAATGTATCTATTCCTTATGTTATGCCAAACACGTTTTACTTACATCACTGAGGTTTTCAAATACTCTGTAGGCTTTTTCATAAACACCGAAATCATAGGCTAGAACAGGATCGTTAAATACCGGAACTAGTCGACGCTTGGCAAGATGGCGGAGATGATTCTTGGGGTATTTCTCCCTGAAAAGTTGAAATGAGACAATCATCAAGTGGATTTGTCAAAGTTGCATTCGATTCCTTCAATAGTCTAGGCGTAATATGGGTTTTATTGGTAACCTTTTCGGGGAGTCCATTTAGCTGATAATGTTATTTTGGTATCTGGATTTTTCAGCTCGACATTCTTTTCGTAGAACCACCATATTTCATTATGTCATTTTGTTACCATTTCGATTTATTTGAGTTCTTAGACCTACCTTTTAGTGCTGTGACATTTCCTCACACCAGCGAATACTATGAGTAAAATTGAGAAAAACGACAGGATTCCCAGCGTCGCTCCAATGATTAGATCTGTAGGGAATTTATTTTCCTGGAAGCAAAAATATTCAAGTTCGTTATAAATATTTGTGGTTTGAATCCAAAAGGTCGTTGACAACCACGCGTCTGCGAAGTTGGAATGACAATTCCTACTTCTTACCATTGTATTGAGAAAACGTCCACGATGGCGCGCCATATAATGTATTATGTTGATATGGCACGCGTTAGTGGAAATAATTTAAATACTGTACGCATTTTCTAAACAAAGTACACATAGCTTAAATGTTTATTTATTGACGTCCCTTTCAGAGAGTCTACATAGCTCAAATTTTCCTGATATAAATCCACGTAATGTTATACCATAATTATACTCACCGCTGTTAAAGATGGCGTATTATTATTAGGACAAACTACAGGTGGCGGACACAAATGATCCTTTTCGTTTCCATAACACAATGTATGGTTCAGCAGAATGTTTCGTTCCGTACATCGCCATTTTATCAGATACTCGCCATGGTCGTCACATTTATAAAAAGCTTCACATTGTGACTTTAATTTGTCTTTTGGTTGATTGGTAGGGCACGGTAAGGCTTTTCTCCAACACATTTTTTCTGAAATTTCAAAACATAATCTGATCACTCTTCTGGAGCCACTTAATTCACTGCGATTGTGCTTGTCAGTGTAGCTTTTTGCGAGTCCACATCACTGTACTGAATTTCATTTCATTTCTAAATAGCTGGATGAGTATCTCCAGAATATTGCAACCATATTCAGCCCGTTCCCTCTTAATACCCAGGATAAAGACTTGGGTAAGCAGAAAACGTGGTTTGTAAAAAAAAGGTAATACTTTCTAACAGTAAATGAGCAAAACAAAATAAACAAATCGAATATTACGGATAATTACTGAATGCTTAATTTGAAAACTACATAAATTAAAGAAAAGCACATAAACAATTTGAAATCCTTCTCTAAAACTTCAAAAATATCATACCTTCACGACAAAATAACAATTCAAAATCTTTCTAAAAATTCAAAATTATTTATATATAGCCCCATTTCTAACAAACACATAAATCTAACATTCGAAATCTATCATTGAAAAATATTAACGTGTACCTACATTTAAAACAGGAAACACAGTGAACTGTATCCAAGTTTCTACAAGAACGTAAGAATTCTTACACAATCCTTACAAAGAGTCAAATAACCCATATCTGTCGTGTATTTAATGTCTTCCGAATTCAAAACATTTCAAATAAAAACACAAAACTTAATCGATAGAATCGTACTGAAACGTTTCGACTTCAAACTGTAAATCGAGTTGATGTGGCTTGTCTTTGTTGATTTTGGGGCGTCGCATTTTTTGAGAATTTGAATTTTCATTTTTTATTTTGGAGACTGTTGACTTGACAATCACGTTATTGTGAGAAAAATCGACATTTTAAAAGAAAAACAGAATTGATCACATTGCTGCCATCTTTGTTAAATAAAACGTCACAATTTCTTTATTTTTTAATATAGCGTCACCGGGAGCTTAGTCTAAATTGTTGACTTGGGGGTGGGTCGTTTTTGCAATTTATGGAACCATGTGGTTCGACTAGACCCAAATGCCCATTCCGATTTTAGTCCGACGTGCAGTAATTCCAAATACTTAACAAATGTCATTTTGCATAAAATTGCAAATAGAAATTGGAGTAATTTTCACAAAAGAGCAATGGCATTTTAATTCAACAACTTACGTTATGAATCACATTATAGAGAAACCGGAAGCGGAAGTTATCAAGGCCAATTTGCATAATGATTTTATCGTCTGCGAAATCGGAAGAATTCGGGGTCACAAGTACTGTACACAACTGCCATCTTTTCCATATTTTTCTGTTAGTTAGACGTTATTGATATTGTTTAACATGATTTGTATTGTTCCCAACTTTCCATTGTTTCTGATGTTTGTTTATGGATTTTGCTGTTGACTTAACTTCATCTTGTTACAGCAAGTAGAAGGTCAAATTTTTCTCCCCAAAAACGACAAACGTCATGACGTGTTTTCAAATTAACTTTTATTAGCTGCTGATACGGGGGATGTCAGGGTGGAGGGGTGGTGGTGGTGTTATTATTATATTTTCTCAATGAACTTTTGTTTATTAGGCTGAAAAATGGCACACTGGTATTTCTCGGTTATTAAAAAAAGATGGAAGTTTGTATAGGCCAAATATTTTAGAACCCCCCTTTTTTAGAGCCTAGTCATGCGCTACGTTTTGGTGTGAGGGCGTTGTCCCAAAAGCAAACCAGCAACACAGGTCCTGTGTGCTGCGGGCTGTTCACGTTAATGATCCCTGTACATTCAGAAATCTAAAACAAACAGGTTAAAGCCGCTGTCCTTGCAAACATTTTCCTCATTGCACCAGAGTTACCAATTCTCCTTAGCTCAACAAGTTCAGATAAATAGGATGTAAAACTCAATTACATTTTCATTTCTGTTTAACAGATGAGTCACTGCTGTCGTATTGCATCACTTAGTCAGTTAAAAATATATAAAAACTAACTGACGAACAAAAGCAAACATTGGAAATAGAAATTACTCATCCTAACTTGAGTCAATAGCAACAGTATTTTTGAAGAGAAGTGGAAAGTATGTTACGTTACGGCATCAACTTATCAGGATGACCAAAATATAAGAAAGTCCAACTGATAACCAAGTTTGAGACTCTGGTGTCCATTCTAAGAGGTAGTATACGACTAACAATTTACCCGGAAACTCTTAAATTCCAATCAGAAATTCTCGCTCAGAATTGTTGCTAATTTAAGTAACTCGTCGAATGCAAAATTCTCAAATATATTAATCATAATTCCTGTTCTGAAATATAAATCGAAAGAAATCACTCGTCGAATATTTGCTAATTATAGTATAAATCCAATGCAAAAATCCTGTATTTGAAATATGAACCTTTTTTGGAAACAATTACCTACCGAATTGTTTGCAAAAATTCTCATGGATTCCGAATCCGTTTATGAAATATAAATCAAACTCAAAAAGAAAATACTCACCGAAATTTAGTAATTAATTAAAAATCCGTAGAGATTCTTAATCCTTTTTGGTACCGGTCCTAAAATCAAACTACGTAGTTCATCTATGCATAATATTCCTCCTGCAGGCAACACTACAACACAATGACTTCACGTCAGTAATTCAATTACACACTAAATGAACAGACAAGGTCTAAAATGTTCGCCCAGTCTGACACGCCCACTATTGACATTTACCGCATCGTCAATTTACCTTTTCTCTTCTACTTCAAACTACTTTCTTAAAACAATCATGGCTAAGTTTGGGTGGTGCGAATGTGACATCACTGAGTTGAAAATTGACTGCATAACTCTTGTGATTTTGTTTGAAATCCAATCTAATTGCCTTCATTGTACACTGCATTGTATGGATGTAGACTCAGAGAGTTTGTAGGGTTAGGAAGCGATGCCAGAATTTAAGGTCAATTTCCAGAATCACAATTGTTACATACGGATGTAAAGTCACAGAAAAGGACTTGGATCTTTTTAGGGGGCTGTTTGGGGGAGTTGGTAAGATCACTTAAAATAAGAAAGTGAACTGGAAGTGTCGTGTGATTAGTTATTACAATGTTTAGATTTATGTATTGTGGTGTCTCCAAAATTCATAGGAAGCTTTTATCTGACCCGATTTGTCAGAGACTTGGGATTGATGAAAACTGAAGTCATATCACCCCCCTTCTAAAAAAGATGGAAGAAAAAAAGTCAAAATAAAAGACAATGTACATTTATTCTTTTCCATATTACAACTAAAACCACAAATATCATTTAAGTTGAAAGGCGTCTTCGATAGGTAAAGTTCTTGTGAAATAACAGGAGCCACAGACGTCGAATGGGAAATTAGAATGGTGAAATACAAGCTATACGTGTCCCTGATACACAAACAAAAGCTAGATGAGCAGTCCTCAATTCAAATTGAATAAGTGTAAAAATTTGAGATTTGGAAGATTTTCCTGAAACTAAATAATAAGAAGTGAGTCGCCGAAACTAACACAACATTCCTCTCGCACCTTGAGGTATTCATCACGTGACATAGATTAATGCTTTGATTGGTGGGAAGTATTTGAATTTAACGACCATTATTTGTTTGGGACTTGTCGCATCAACGTTCAAATTTGATGACAAATATTGGATGATTGTTACAAACCCAGCGGACTGAATGAACAAACAAACTAGTGAAATGGACGGTTGGCCGGTTGTACAGCTAACTGAGACAGGACTTAACCCTTGTAACGCCGAGTAGTCTTAGTTCACTCTCAAACGAGTACAGGTTGGAACGGTATAAGAGTTCGGGATTCAAGAATGCAATACGTAACGTCTCCGGATTGTTTTAATACTTGAACGTAACGAGTAATGCCGGAGTTAAAAATAGCATGTTTTAAGATTTACACTGGTCTTATCGCCACAGGTAATTCCGTTACGTTTTGAGTTGTGAGCTTGGGCACACGTTTCTTTATTTATCCCAACGATTATATTTAGAAACGAGGAACAGTTCCAGTCCGCGTTGGGGTGTATTATGTGTGACTAGAACAGCGGAGAGTTTCCAGGTGATCCTGGCCCAGGTGCTTTCAATGGTTTCCTCTGTCAGTGATATACGTCGGGGGACTTGCATAGGAAGCGTCTGGTTCATCTGATGGGACAAGAAGTCGAGGCCCTATATGCTACAAACTTTTTTGTTGATTATCCCTCCACAGCACTATCGATCTAAATTTTCCTCATTGTACACTGCTTGTCGCGGGGTCTTCCTGATATTTTTTGCAGACAAGGGCTACGTTCTTTAACCGACGTTATTGCGGCTACAAATCTTTCCACAGACCACACCTATTTCTTTACGAAATTTAACACTCTTTCTGTAGTGGATCACAAAATGTCCAAGTAGACCGAGCGTTCCGAAAGTCATCGGTAGCGTATTGATCTTTTCGGGTAGATATTCCGTGAAAACGAAACGACCTAACAGGTTGGCGATGATCAAAGGAAAATAACAACTGGATGACAAAATGTAAATCAGAAACATTGTCCAAGTTCGTTTCCATGCTTCGGCTTTCTGGGAAGAAGATCCCCTCAGGGGTATGGTAATCCTTAAAAATAAGCAAAATGTCGCAAGGCACAAGACCGACACAAATACGCTTACAACTATTCCAGTTGTTTGATCACCGCGACATCTGAGAACTTCATCTTGCTCCGGAACGGCAGAAAAATCGCGACAAACCGCAGGGATAGATCCAATGACGTAGACCAAGCTGCAACAGATCCACATATGTTTATTTTTAATTTGTGTAAGATGAAATGTAGCGAACGTTACGGAGATGTAGCGTTCGATTCCTACGAGCAGAAATCCCAGATTCCAGAACGTTAACGTGGTATAAGCACAGACTTCCAAAAGCTGGCAAACTGGGGCGGTTATGGTCCCCACATAACGTTGGATGTTGACGACTAACATTGCTGGGAGACCTATTATATGGATTATAATGCTTATTATGGATAGGTTGAAGACCGGGATATCAATTAAAGGCATTTCTGGTAGTCGACGATTCAGTCGTATCATTATATACAGATGAAAAATGTTTAATGTCAAACCAATTGGTATGTAAATCGCAAGGAGCACACCGCTTGATAACATAACATCAAACATTTTCTTCCGTTGTATAAACAAATTTTGAAATTCCCCTTTTTTTTGGAATGATAACTTTTTTTTACAGCCAAATCGCATGAAGATATAACTTTCCGTTTATACGAGTTAAGCAAGCCTTTGCAGTATAACAGAACATCCAAAGAAACACTCACGACAAAACCACAAAATTGGAGATAAATAGCTGCTAATGATCAAAAGAACATCCACGAAACTGTTAAGAGAAAATCTCATTGATTATAAGTGTCCACATAAAGATTCACAAAGTCAGAAAACTATAATTATAAAATACCTAAAGAATAGAAATGAGCGAATGGATTTGGCGCCAATGGCTTTTGTTTTGATATAGCCGTTTCAGTCTAAAAAAATAATAAGACCAATGGAATGACAGCAATAATTGGAAGCTGATCTTCCTTTTATCCGACAGACGTTAGTTATAAGATTATCCCATGCCATACCGAGTTCACATATATCTTAGTCCGAAACCAGCCTATGAAGGATCCAATGTAAAAATGGCAAAATGAAATGTGTTGAGATGCGGAGAGGGTTTGTGTGTGTGTTAGGAAGGGGGGGGGGGGGGTGCAGGCTCGATCCATTTATACGGACTGGAGAGGACAAGACGGGGTAGGATGGGAATGTATAAGATGGAACAGAAACACATGAGCACGAATAAGTTGGGACCAGACTAGATGGGACCAAAAGAGAAGGAAATTGAGCGTGGTCATAGTTTCGGATTAGTTAAGATGGTGATGAGGATCTTGTTTACGGCTTCTATGTCATTTGATCCAAGTAATTAGAAAGGATTTCCTGATATATTATAATACAATATTATTATGAGGCATTCATTAAAACACAAAATAGGGTGTTTAACTCCAGTTATATAAATGATCAAGGATATAATTTTGTTATATCGGTTTTCGTGTATAATTATATGTTATACTGTTATTTAAACCAAAGGACAACTATCCCTGGAGTAAATATAGACAATTAGAACCCACGAATTACAGACAGAAGCCGCATGAAGGTATTTTAAGATTTCAAGACGGACACGAAATTATCTAAGGCTATTCTAGTCGCAGACATTATACCAAGGGCAGGTTCATTTAACAACGGTCTACAGTTCTTAATTACATTGTAGGCTAAAACTGTCAGAAAACGGAAAAGATACGAAAATGTAGTCTAATTTTAAATAGAAATGTTAGAACAGAACTTGAATCATGTCGTTACTCAGAGTTTCTCTCTATGCGTCCCTACTGAAGTTGGATGTTTAACTCTGATGTCGAGACAAGTTTGGAACGTTTGTTTAGATGTGCTTAGGGGCGTTTTCAGTTAAACACAGGTTACAACGTTTGGTTTTGTTTGTGTAGGCTTTAGTTCTGCTATCAATGGACCAGGATATATTTTGACAGTTTCCTACCTCGCATCATTCGGCTAATCTCGACAGTTTCCGTAAAGCTGAATCTACCAAGGATTTCAATGGAATGAATTATTGTGTCTTCTAGGGCGAGCCTCTCTACTTTAATCTTTTACAGCTTGAGATATATTGAAATATAGAGAGGCACGCACGCCCTATTTCCCCTCGGTGTCAAGTTTGAAGATGTTGACCCTTAATAAAAGCTTTGGTTTTTACAACCTGGTTTTTTGGTGATGCGGATCGGAAGGGACAATGAAAAAGCATCTAATCGTTTAGAAAGAACAATAGACCAAGGCCCTGTGTGCTACAGGCTGTACACGCTAAAGATCCCTCAACAATTTGAAATCGAAAAAAAGCAGGCTTAAACTGCTGTCCTGGAACCCCCATCCCCCCACATGCACTTTAGTTACTTCAATTTGTCGACAGCACAGGTGAAACATAACTGAGAAAGTAAATCAATGATTTAGATATTGATCCTGTACTAAGGCCTAGCTGTGCCTATCTATATAAATACATACAGTCATAGTATAATAGGTAACATATGGCAATAAATCAATAAAATAACATTTTCAATCTTATATTTTACATGATATAAGACGTGGACCGTCAAATGTAAGTAATTTTCAGAGTATTTCATCTGTATTCTTCTAATCAGCGAGTTCACTGTTTCTTTATATACACGTTCTGAGATCACATATGAGGAAGAGAATCTCCAATTCCAAGCTTAATGTCCTGATGCTGGGTCTTATATTTGAAACGCGTATGAAGCGGACTTAATTCAGTTTCAGAAAGGGAATCTACAATCCAACGCTTAATGTACTGATGATGGGCCTTATATTTGAAACTCATACGTACTTAATAAGGCTGATACCCCCTTCACTCAACACCCTCCTCTCACCCCCCTCCCACAATAGATGACAGAATTTTCGTGTATATTCCAGAATGGTTGACGTCAGGGATGAATTAGGTGAAAAATGGAGGGAAGAAATTCTAAAAGACGTCTCCGTACTTCCGGAAATAGGCTGCGTTCCGAGTACGTTGGTCGTATTAGGTGACGAATCTCGGCCCATCCTGAGTAATCCTCAGCAAAAGCATGTATGGATAGCCGTGGGGGAATTAGGACGTGGTCGGATAGCCGTAGTTGGTCATGGTGGATATATAACCAAGATTAACACAACTTCCGGTCATACCAATCCGGAAATCAAACACTTTAATGATAATTTAAAATCGTGGCTGGTACGAAGTGAAAATGTCGACATGAAGGAGATGAAAAATTTTAAGAATTTGACCCCAGAGTCGTTGAAAAATGCCAAAATTGTGATCTGCACAGGTGAGAGTAACGCAAACGTCACCGACAAAGAAATATTGGAGTATATTCAAAATGGCGGAGCTCTGCTTCATGCAGTATGTGCATGGGGTTGGCTTCAAATACGAAATACCAAAAATATCCATGATATTCCATTGTACGAAGTCTTAGAAGAGGTTGGCATCATCTACACGAAAGGTTATTTCTGGCTTCCAAAGTCCGGACTGCACATAGCAATTTCTAAAGCATCAGAATCACAGCACGTTATCCATGCGTTGGATCATACGCACTTGGATAACTGTTGCTCAACTCTCTCCCAAATCAACGATTGTCCAGTGAAGGTTCTCCAATCCGTCATGAAGAAATCGGGAGAGAAGGTCCATAAGATCATTTCGGAGAAGGAGCACGAATGCATCCCTTCAGAGAAAAGACCCGTATCCTCAAGTATTGGAAAATCAGTCATGTTCCTTCATGACGTCTTAGCTAAAACCGGAAATGGTTACAAAAAGATGCCGGGCATTGATTTATTTCCGGGTGATTTTACTGAAGACCCCCCATTGTCGGATGGACGGATTATTATTGAGTCGGAGATACCTGCAGCTCACCCGACCGGTTTCTACGTCCGAGCAGGAGAGGAGGTCGAGCTCGAGATAGTGACTGAAGAATCGTTGAATTGTGGATGGGAAATTCAAATCGGATGCCATTCCGATCATCTGCAAACTAGCAACGCCATGAAAAGATGGCCGATTATTACTGAAAAGCAGAAAATTACCCAGAAAAATTTGAAGATGAAGACTCCCATTGGTGGTCTGATGTACGTCTGGAGTCCCAAGATGGCGTCCAAGATCATCATCAATGTTAAGAACGCAATAGAATCTCCATTGTTTGACCTCACTCAGCCCGAAACCATCATCAACTGGAAGACCAATCGTCAGGCCCCCGGTCTGTGGGCCGATCTCGGCGGACATCATATTGTTTTCACGTTACCGGCCAAAAGCGTCGGAGATCTTGAGGATCCGACTGCGGTTCTAGAGTCGTGGGACAGAGTCGTTTGCGCTCATCACCATCTTAGAGGAACAGACCCCAATTCACAACGGCGGGAATGGATCGTAGCCGACGTGCAACCATCTTGCGGATACATGCATTCAGGATATCCGATCGTGACGCATCTGGACGTAGCAGATCCAAGCAAAAGTAGCTTTCTGTTGAATAATAAAACTCTGCTGGAATCAGGAAATTGGGGTCTCTTTCACGAATTGGGTCATAATATGCAGAAACCAACATGGACGTTTCGCGGGACAGGGGAGGTAACTTGCAACATCTTCACCCTCCACGCAATGGATGTCATTGCCCAAAAATCACCGTGGATTCATTCTTGGTTGGAAGGCAAAGTTCCTAAAGCTCGTCAATTTATCCGAAGTTCTGCTGGATTTAGTAAATGGCAGAGCGATCCGGGGATTGCGTTATTCGTATACGCACAGCTGTACAATCAATTCGGATGGTCGGTTTACAAAAAAACGTTCCGACAATACGAAGAACAAGACATGCCGCCGCAACTCAAAACGGAAGAAGAAAAAATCGATTATTGGTTCGAGACGATGTCGAAGTTCTCGGAGTACAACCTCGCCCCTTTAGCCGACTTGTGGAGTATACCACTATCTGATACGTGTCGGGAACAGTTAAAAGTATTCCCGAGTTTTCTTCCGGATGACGAAATAACTCAGGGTGTACCTGAAAAAGTCGAAGAACTCGAGAAAAAATATCCGAAACTCGTTAGAAAAATTCGGCCACCTTGTGATCAATTTGAAGAACAAATTCTGTGTCGTCGTAAATGGAGTGTTTTGGTGAACAAATCGAAATAAGGTGAAATGAGAAAACAATGGTTCTTTGTACTGATTAAAATACAGAAGAGCTATTTTGTTTCATTTATTTTCTATGTGCTACTTCAATCAATTTGATTAAAATACAGCTCTAGATATTTGGATTCATTTATTATCATGTCACTAAAATGTTACATAAGATATTTTCTTTCGTTCATTTCCTGTGGTTTACTTCGGTCGTCCAAGATCTGAAAACATCGTCAATATAGTAGTGTTCAACCATTAGCAATTATTATACCACCTTTCATTATGAAATACTTACTCACTTATCATTGATAAACTTCCTCGTGTGAATAGTTGCGACTAAAGTTTTGCCAAAATGTTGTTTGGATTTTGAGTTTCGTTTTGCTGTCCGGACCGTGGGTACTTGATTTATTTATACTAATAGATTTGTGTATGCATTAACCTTTGATGTTTTTTTTTATATAATTGTTAATGATATATTTGATGCGTAACTAAAATGAATTTTTTGAACGCAATGAGTAAGAATGAGTAAGAAACTTTATGGTCTGATTAAATTTTACAAGAGTTGTGTCCCCTGGGTCAGTTTTCAATCTTTGTGGTCGTCTTCTTTTATTTGTTTTGAATTTTTACGAATGTGAACAAATGGTTGTGGTTCAAGATACAACAACAATTCCTGGATATGAAGCGATATAAGATGAAGTTTAACGCCCTACGTTTCTGCTCCTGCTGGCTCAATGAATGCCAGAGAGAGTAACTGACAAAATGGCGATTGAAAATGAAGGTATTTAAGGATATTTTATTGTTTTATTTCAAAGAAAGCACACAATATATTACTTTGCATCAAAACATCAAATCTATTTCAAACTCGTATCAAATTGAAAACAGGCCATTTCATGCTGCCCACACGTGTTTCGGATATACAGACAATCAATCACAAATCCGTGCAATGAATTCGATTGCCTGACCTATTGAGTTGGATCGTCTTTCCTGCGTCGACGTTCGATTGCACATCTTCCGTATTTCTGCGAATAGACGGTTTGTAGCCGCGTTCTATTTTCATACGCCCACATCTTTCTATGTGGACGTATATTGTCGGCACCTCTGTCTGTCCGTCCGTCCGTCCGTCATTTGCTTGTAAACGCCCTAAAAAACTAGATTTTTTGATGGAATCAATTGAAATTCGGTATGTGTATACATATTCATAAATCAAAGATCAAGTTCGAATTTGAGCTATTTTGGACTGTTAGAAGCAAAGTTATTGCCCTTACCCCAAAATCTTGAATATGCTGATACTCTCTTAGTTTTCAACCAATTTTGATGGAACTTAAAATGGATGTTATTGACCTAAATGGAAAGGTTAGAGAAAGTTTAGTTTACTTCTGATTTAAGGCTTTTTCAATATTGAGGCTTCTTACGTCAGTTTTGAGGAGTTATCGCCCTTTAACCTCTATACAGTAAGTGCTTCTATCAACATCAATAAAAACTAGAGTGTTTGAAGGAATCAAATGAAATTCCGTATGTGCATACATATTCATGAAACGAAGGTCCGTCCGTCCGTCGGTCCGTCCGTTCGACAACGCTCTAAAAAACTAGATTTTTTGATGGAATCAAATGAAATTCGGCATGTGTATACATATTCATAAAACGAAGATCAAGTTCGAATTTGAGCCATTTTCGACCGTTAGAAGCAGAGTTATTGCCCTTGCCCCAAAATCTTGAATATTTACCATCCTCATGCCGTGGTGGGCGTATATGGCTGTGGTTTGTGACCAACCGGCGTTCGAAGATTCACCAATGGCTCCGTTCACTCGCTTACATGCAGCGTTCGATTATCTGCTCTATGATAGCCCACGTTTCACCGCCTGCAACCGTACCGCCAAACTTTCTACGGCTGCATTCGATGCTCCGTTCTGTGGCTCACTCTACACAATACAAGAATTCATTCTATACTATAACTCGACATCATCCAAATCGAATTCGCGGTCCATACTATCCAATGTTTGTGTACTAATGCTATTACCGTTACTGTATGTAAATGTTTGAGTTGCACTTGAGTTATGGCTGTAAGCACTACAAAATGAACCCGATGAATTGAGGCGATGAGTTAATTCGAAATCTGAAAAGAGAATAAAAAAAATCGTTAGGAAACTTTGGACAATTAGGTCATAGATTTCTTATAAGGTGTTAGATTAATTCAATCTAATGTTTTATGTCCCATTGTTGTGTATATTTCTTAAAAGGATTGTAAATTAGTTTCTAGACTTTCAATGAGATACTTTTGCCAATAAGGTCATTTTTTATGGAAATCGATAAGGATTTTTGTGGTCTGATTCCAAATGGCTATGTTGTCAACAAAACCACATATCCGGTTTTTCTTGTAATAGTAAGTAATATGTAAATAAAAGCTGTAACTGCCCCTAGACGTAATATGATCATCCATGGATGTACGAGTCATTTTTCAATCCCATCCCTTGTTCCATTTGGCACCAGTGGAGAGATATGGCCTACAATGCAAGGCGTGGTATGGACAAGATGTTAAACACCATACTTACCGTCAGATTGCGTTCCCGAATCCACTCGAATACAATTATTGGGAATGTTATTTTTACCGAACGCTGGTCGAGGAACCATCATAGACTGTCTAACGTTCCTCTCGGGGTGGAAGATAATGATGTGCACTTTTGGTGTAAACATACAAGCTAGAGCTACGGTGGCACTCAAACTGATGGAAAAACACATAGTGGCAATCCTGATCATTATACTATTAGCAGTACTGAAGTATATAGCCACAAACGCCAGCCATATAATGCATGTTGTATACATTGTAAATCCGATATACTTTGATTCGTTAAAAGCTTCGGGAATTTTGCGAGTTAAAATTGCATAAATTGTACAAATTATAATTAAAAATATTGGATAGCTGAAGCCGATCATGTAGCCGCTTCCGATGGCTGCGGAACAGACGAGCTGATGATCGTCCCTATTGGAGTAATACGCCATCGCTAATGGCGGACTAATTAATAACCAAATTAAGCTTATTACGATTTGGCAAGCCACTAAACCTCCACAAATCACCAGCTGAGATTCAGGGCTAATAAATTTCGGACGCTTCGTAGTTTTTCGTCCGGCTTCAAATATTCTAGAAATTCGGTTAGTTTTTGTCAAGATGGCTGCATAACACACAGAAAAACACAAACCGATTCCAATTTTTTGAGCACCACACGTCATCGTTAGCGGTTTTGACACCAACACAAATGTCATGGAATAACACATGAAAATTCCACCAAGAAGCACAAAACTCAATTCACGACCGGAGGCTTTAACTACGGGCGTTTCCCGATGTCGGTAAAACACAATGGCTACCCAACACGTTATGACAATACCAAGCGCCGCTAATCCCATGGCTCCGATAGAAATGCCGTCGTCGTAACGTAAGTAACGTTGCGGAATCGAAACGCAATATTTTTTGTTAGTTGAAGCGACGGATCCCCATGGACATTCCATACAAGCGTTCCTGGTCGGAAGGTACTGGTATTTGGAGCAGTCCCGGCATTGCCAGCAACACGAGTTGTTTCCGATGACGGCCTGAGTGGCTGTACAAGGTTTAGCACATTCAGAACTGGGGTGGACCGGGTTTTCATATCGGAAGATCGGTGGGGTATCCTGCAAAAATAAAAAGAGACACATCTCTTAGGAATTAATCCAAAGCCCGAAGATTCCCCACCCATGTTTTAACTAGCAAGAATTAATGTAATAAAACTACAAAAACTTTACAATCTGAAATAAATCACCTTTAATCCCCGAGAACCAGTAAGTTTGGCCTTTTGACCAGGTGATAGAGGATCATCGAGAACCTAAGTTGGCCAAGGACCAACTGGAATAACCCACAAAGCATGGGCCACTTGGACCACCCATCAGCACCCCTACCCAACCAAATGGAATAAGTCTTTGTAACTTACTATAGTAAGATTTCCATCTCTGAAGAATCCAATGGTTCGCCATTCATATTTTCCTGGTGAGGTTTGGACGAAGTTTAAGATCCTATAACGAGATGGACCATCTCCATTGGGTAAAAACTGGAACTCCGTACCGGCCATGCCTTCAAATAGAAAAAAAGACCTTCTTGTTTGTGGAAACACAAAGTGGCCGTTTTTCATCTCAATGAACCTAATTTGTTATCCTTGTTTTCGTTGTTATCTAACTATTGGGTTCTGTCTTGGACCAAATGGTAGACAAAATCCTTGAGAACCTAAATTGTTATCTTTGTAAAATCATAAACATGAGGTTTAACCATAGACCAGCAAACATACTTACTTTTAAAGCGGACATCTAGAAGATATTGTTTAAATGTTCGACCATCGATTGGGTCCATGGCTGGACATAATCCATATCGCCCTCCACACAGATCTTTATGCATCCTCTATAATAACAATCATAAAGATAACGATACAGTTAAGACTGTTACTCGGATTATGAAACAATCAAAGCGACAAAATTGCAAAACTGTGAAAGGAATCTAGATCCTTTGAAGCGTTCGAGGAAAGTTGTAACAAAAGTTAACCAGAGCAATGCACAGTGTTTCTTGCTGGGCGTATAGAAAGCTATTTGGATAGCAATGTGTACCCGTTCTATTTTAGCGCTTAAGTGAGAAGTTTTATCACAAATGTCCAAGTGAAACTTTCAAACGTAGTTGCTGGGTTATTTGCTCGGTGCACAATATTGGGTCTGAAAATCTGCATTATTCACCCTACAATATAGCCAATATGTTACGTCATCTGTGCTGTTATTTATAACCGGCCTTGGACTTAAGATAGCTAAAAACATTTATTGGAGTACCATCCGTTTATAGATTTAAAGATTTCATCCCTATCTATTTATCTTGTGAATGAACTTAATGGTTAGTAAAGCTCAAATAAAGTACTTTCTGGACGATCATCGACCTTAATTCGACCAGATATTGATGACCATCTCGAATTAAATCTATTTATGGTAGCATTAGCTTCAGGGGATTATCTATTTAAAGGAGCTACCCATTACTTTTACAGTTTGCGATATCCGCATCCGCTGGAAGCGAACGTTAACTTGTCATCTACCAACAACTACCTAGTTTGCGATATCAGGATCCGCTGGAAGCGAACGTTAACTTGTCTTCTACCAATAACTACCTAGTCTGTGATATCAGCATCCGCTGGAAGCGAACGTTAACTTGTCATCTACCAACAACTACCTAGTTTGCGATATCAGCATCCGCTGGAAGCGAACGTTAACTTGTCATCTACCAATAACTACCTAGTCTGTGATATCAGCATTCGCTGGAAGCGAACGTTAACTTGTCATCTACCAACCAACCTACTTTTACAAGGAACTAAAGTCATCTGGTTTTGCATGATTAAAGAACGCGTACTTGAAGACTTTTAACTACCGAAAACAGGACGCATTGTCGCATACTTTAGGTTCTTTAAGGATAGCTTTTGTCAAAGTTCAAAAGAAAAAAAGCTGAAATTTATCCTGATAACAAACTCTATTTTGTTGGTAAATAAATATATATTTCTGGAGAACTTCGAAAGTGCTGCTTTGAGTGCAAAGCTTCACATCTATATGGTAAGAGCTCAGCTAAATATGGATCTATTTTAAAGCAAGGATATGGTATCAAATTCTATATGGTATAACTCCTTTAAGAGCTCAGCAAAGTAAATTTATAGAAATATATTTTTAGAACACTTAGACCAAGGGATAGTGATCTATTTATATTCTGGAGCTTTCGAATATTTGTCGACCTCTTCCACATACACGAGACTTTGACTATCGGAAGACTAAAGCAAACGTTAGAAACGGGTTGACAAATATCGTAATAATTATTAAACAAACTAACCTTAGCAGCGTTAGCAAACGCCAAGACACCATCACTGACAAACTGTAGCTGAGCTTCAAGCTCGAAACCGTTGCTTTCATCAATTTGTTCTTTTCCTGTACAGGATTGGTTGTACTCTTCGTTGAGTGGAGTCCATAAGCTTCCCGGATATTTACATTTAAAATGATGTTCCCAATACTCAATAAACCACGGGTTACGTTTGTTGGTTTCCGGTCGTAAATTCATGAAGTATCTTTTAAAGCCCGGAACTTCCACTGCTAGCGGCTGAACAGTAATCGCGCCTTCTACCTACAACCGGAAGTAGAATTAAGTGCCAATTGTTAATGGCGGGAATTGCAGGAAACCAAAAAAAACACAACGTCGTCTATCAAATTAGGTTTAATTCACCTCCAGATGTTCGTTAACCGATGACTCAATGATCAATTTAACTTGCAGCTTAGTCCACAAAATGTGACATCTGTCATCGACAAGATTACAGATAGTTAGGCTTGATTAGTAGACTTCTACAATAACAGAGAAACTGAAACGATTCATTCATTCATTCATTCATTCATTCAAAGAGATCTAGTCGTCTAAATATTTGCTTTATAAGCAAGCAGGCGAATAACATTTCAACTATTTGTATCCGTTCTCAGTAGGCAAATTCGACTTCCGAAATTCCTCTAAAACAAAAAAAGTCCAAAAGGATCTTTTCAATTAAGCCTAGAACGTACCTCGCTTTCTTTGCCCCGATATGCCAATCCTCTAGCTCCCCAACCATCACTACCAATCCACGTAAAGTCACCAGTAGCCCCCATTCTCTTGACAGCTTTCATAAACTCCCCCACTTCTTGGTCGGATCCGAACACTATTACACCTGTAAGGAAAGCAGATAATACATTTGAAGGGGTGGCTGGCATTTCCATTATTGTCCGAGGTCACACAAATGAAAAAAAGGGTCATTCCCCTTTCTTGACATTCTCTATAATGTCGAGTTTTCCAGAGTTCTGTCTCTAGTGTTGGCATTCCACATATTCACATTCTATCTCTCTGATGTCGGCTCGTAGTGTATAAATTTCAGTCATCACATTCTCTTTTTTGACATTTCCTATGTCAGTTTTTGATATTGATATTCCCTATTATGGCAATTTTCCACTCTTGACATTCACTATAATGCCAGTTTTAAATCTTGACATTCCCCTTTTTGACATTCCTCACGTTATTTTTCAATGTTGATATTCCCTAATGATGCCAGTTTTCAGTCTTGACCTTCCCAAATGATGCCAGTTTTCAGTCTTGACATTCCCAATGATGCCAGTTTTCAGTCTTGACATTCTCTTAGATGTCAGATTTCAGTTTGGACATTCCCTAAAGTATTTGATTCAATCTTCACACCTCTTTTATGACATTCCTTATGTCAGTTTTACAAACTTGATATTCCCTTTAATGTCAGTTTTCAGTCTCACCTTTGGCTTTTCCTTTCCTCTGCAATCTATGAACGACCTTGTCATATTCTTCATTCACCGCCACGCCGGAGTCTTTCATTAGAATCTCAGCCGCCGCAAGACAAACTCCAGCCTCTTTCAACAACTTGTCAACTTCACTGAAACCCTGCAATTATTAAAATAACCTTTTAAAGGGACGTGGTCGTCTAAATATCTTAGGGACAGGGACTGGGGGAAGTGATGTTTTTGGGTGCGGGGTTCGGGGTTCGACGACCGACGCCCTTTTGGGACCTTTGATTGATGAGCAGATTCACCGCCATCATTCTTCGAAGTTAGCCATATATTGACCATACATGTAATTACAGTCGTCTACATATCTCTGGGACAGAAACTGGGAGAAGTGATGTTATTGGGTGCGAGGTTCGGGGTTTCAAGACTTTCCAAGTACCCTTTTTAGAACCTTTGATCGATGAACAAATTTTACCGGCGTGGTTCCACAATTTCAGCCATACCTAGAATATCATTTTAGCTATCCCTGTCACAATTGAAATCTGGCGTCAGTATTGTCTAAAATTTAAGATATTATTGTTATCATAGCGTCATTACATAGTTTGACCCTTTCATTTAATTGAAGGCGAACACTATTCATAAAAATTTCCGTTCAAAAAATTAAATAGCAAGAATTATAGCGTTTCAATTTTAAGCGTATTTCAATCTGGCAAAAAATCATGAAATTACAAAAACAAAAGTTTAATATTAATCTTCTGATTTTAAAATCTGACGCAGGAATTCAAGACAATAAAAAGGAAAATACGACTTTTATTTCTTGGCTTCGACGATTCCTAACTGTCCACTTTCCTTCCGAGATCAGTCAATCTGAAAATTTTACAAGGTTCCATTTATTGGTGAACGCGAAGCAGAAAGAAATTAGTTTCTAGTCGACTAATCTTTCTGTTTTCATTGAGGAAGGCGCGTGATCGGATCATGTCGTTATTTTACAAAACAAAATTTATAGTCGTTTACTGCATTCTGCCGAAACGAATTGATAATTTATTACATGTTTCTTCGCGTCCTTGAAGAAATTTGTTAAATTTAATATGCGAACTAAATTTTATAAACTCCGTAAAGGCGGAATTGAATGTAATATGTTATTTCCGGTGTTCCGGTTTTCCGCTTCTGTGTAAATCTCGTATCTCGCAGTATCGGAGACATGTCATTCCGGTTTAAGTCAATTTCCAATTTCAAACGAAATAAAATGACTTTTCACGTCTAACTGTACTGTACCTTATTGGTCTAATGAAATGAAATGGAGTTGTATATCCTACTGTTCTGTATCTTATTGGACTAATGAAATGAAATGGAGTTTTATATCCTACTGTTCTGTATTTTATTGGACTAATGAAATGAAATGGAATTTTATATCCTACTGTTCTGTATCTTATTGGACTAATGAAATGAAATGGGAGTTTTATATCCTACTGTTCTGTATTTTATTGGACTATTGAAATGAAATAGAGTTTTATATCCTACTGTTCTGTATTTTATTGGACTATTGAAATGAAATAGAGTTTTATATCCTATTGTTCTGTATCTTATTAGACTAAGGCCTTGTTGAGTGCAAGGAGGGAGTATTTTTATTAATGGCAGTGGAATAAATTTACCTCAATTTCCAAGTGTCGATGTATCTTTAATATGAACAGCCTGTGGCATATAGGGCCTCGGTTCTTTGTCCCATCCTAACAACAAGACACTATTTCATCTCAGCCCCACTGACAAAGGGAACGTAAGAGGTCAAAGTAAATGGATGTGTAGGCAGGCAAGTTTCTCATAACTATTTTTAGATACCACTCGATTGCCCCTATTTTGCTTCATTTCCGATTTCTGTTTATTTTGTGCCATCCTAATAAAATGACCTTTATCAATCTGAATATAAAGTTGGTTTTTGATTGCATGTTGGATCTCTTGGGTCCAGTGAGTTTCGTCACAAATTATTTTTTTTGTTCTACTCTCTGATTTGTATTTTGATATAATCAGGAAATGACGTCATTGATGCAATAAGAAGTACAATAAAAATTTAACTTTGTGTCATACTACATTTAATGGAAATTATTAGCTATATAGACTCCCTGAAAGGGATGCTGAGTTTACAAACCTAAATACCAAATAAACATTATTAGCTATGTGTACTCTCTGAAAGGAAAGCTGAGACGACAAACCTAAATACAAAATAAACATTATTAGCTATGTGGACACTCTGAAAGGAAAGCTGAGACGACAAACCTAAATACCAAATAAACATTATTAGCTATGTGGATTCTCTGAAAGGGATGTGGAGTTGACAAACCTAAATATCAACTAAACATTAGCTATGTGGACTCTCTGAAAGGAAAGCTGAGATTATAAGCTATGTGGACTCTCTGAAAGGGATGTCGAGTTGACAAACCTAAATATCAACTAAACATTAGCTATGTGGACTCTCTGAAAGGAAAGCTGAGATTATAAGCTATGTGGACTCTCTGAAAGGGATGTCGAGTTGACAAACCTAAATACCAAATAACATTATTAGCTATGTGAACTGACAGGGATGTCAAGATGACAAATTTGTTAAGTATTTATTTAAATGTCCAGTCTAGGGTATTCTGTGTCAAAGGCATTGGAACAATCAGTAAACATCATATTCATTACTTACGCATCAATTTTCTTACATTTCCAAGGAATCAATTAATTTCTATAATATTTTCAAAATGAATGTATGATCAAAGGAGGCACTAATGATTATATTTACAATCAAAGTTTAGGCTCACGCAATGGGTTCTTGTTTAAATTGTGTCTAATAGATTTTTAGTCTGCCTTGGACAACCCTTGGCAATTTAGCTTGTATCTTTTTGACCCTCGTCCTCATCAAAAGGACCAATTTAGTCTGGGGTATCAGGCTTCAAGGAATATGTCCATTTATTTAGCTTTACCTGCTACAAAAACACAGGTCTGAGTTTCATTTTGAAAAGAGATAAAGGGTTTTCCGACTTGAAATCGGGGCGTAAACCCTAAAGAAGTACTTATTCGTGTAATAGAGAGCTTTTTCTTTTGATAGACTTTTCCCGTTACCTGTATCACTTTTTAGAATGGTAGTTTCGGCTCAAGTCAATCGTATAATTAAATGACGATAAGTGAACCCCTTTCTCAACAAATTGAATTGTCCTAATGAGCACTGTGTATCAAAAGCACTTGTCTACAGCATGAGATAAGTTCTATAGTCAAATAGCTAAACAACTACTATCAAGGTACCAGCTTGCTGTCCTGACGAGAACCGTGTATCAGAAACACGTCTGGTGGCAGCAACAGATAATCTCTAATCAATTTAGACGACAGGGAACCTTTAAATATAACAACCTTGCATTTCAATTGAATCCTATCATTTAACAGAATTCAATTTGTTCCCAAACCCAGATCGATATTTTTTATTCGTAAACAACAAAAGAATTTATTTCAATAGCTACTCTTGAGACGAACAGTGATACAGTGAATGATATAGCAAATATCTCACACCGTACCCACATCTTTAAATTTTGATATACTTGAAAACTTTAATTCAATTGAAAATATTTTCAACAAGATTGGAAAACATCTTGGGAGGATAATACGGGGTTGCGAGGACTGGAGAAGGGAGTGCTGTAATATTAAATGTAATGGAGAGACACAACGGCATTTTTTTCGTTCCAGTTTTCTTTGAATTCTGTAAAAATGTTGATGCTTTGCGCTTTGTGATTTTCAATCGGCTTCTTCCTTGTGATTTGAATCACAGCTTGTCAAGTATGTTTTCTCTTTGTGATTTGAATAAAATATTTTCTCCTTGAGATATGAATAAAGTTTGTTTTTAAAGTGAGTTTCCTCCTTGTGATTTGAATAGATAGTTTTCTCCTTTCCGTTCTTGTTATTTGAATAAAATATTCTTCATTTCTTCTTGTGCTTTGAATAAAGGTTTTTCGGGTTTCTCGTTATGATTTGAATACAAACTTTGATGTGATGTGAATAAAATTTTGAAGTCTTAATACAAATACAAATAGAGTTAGTATAGAGTTTTCACCTTGTGATCTGAATAAAAGTTTTGAAGTCAGTTCTTGTTATTTGAATAGCATATTTGTCATTTCTCTTTGTGATTTGAATAAAGTGTTTGAATTCGTTGATTGTGATTTGAATAAATTGTTTGAATTCGTTGATTGTGATTTGAATAAATTGTTTGAATTCGTTGATTGTGAAGAATGTCGGACAGTTGTCAAGTAAACTAGCCTATAAATCACAGTTGTAATGAAAGAACTCAGAGTAATTTGTTAGTTTGATAAAGTAAATGATTTTAGAATGTTAATTGTCCACCACAGACAGAGTGATTAGGGGGATTTTATCTTTCAAATGTCGAAGATATCCTGTCTACTTAGTACCTATCATTCTAGACTTGTCGTGGAATTAGTCTTTAAGGGATATGGTCGTCTAAATGTTAGCTCTATCAGCTGAAGAACTTGATTTCAGTTTAATCATATATTTTATAAACTCAAAATATTTTCTTTACCAGCTGATAGAGCTCAAATTCAGCTATCTGTATGGTCATCTACATATTTACTTTACCAGCTGATAGAGTTAAATTTCAGCTATCTGTATAGTCATCTAAATATTTACTTTACCAGCTGATAGAGCTCAATTTCAGCTATCTGTATGGTCATCTACATATTTACTTTACCAGCTGATAGAGCTCAATTTCAGCTATCTGTATGGTCATCTACATATTTACTTTACCAGCTGATAGAACTCAATTTCAGCTATCTGTATATTCATCTAAATATTTACTTTACCAGCTGATAGAGCTCAATTTCAGCTATCTGTATAGTCATCTAAATATTTACTTTACCAGCTGATAGAACTCAATTTCAGCTATCTGTATGGTCGTCCACATATTTATTTTACCAGCTGATAGAGCTTAATTTCAGCTATCTGTATAGTCATTTAAATATTTACTTAACCAGCTGATAGAGCTCAATTTCAGCTATCTGTATAGTCATCTAGATATTTACTTTACCAGCTGATAGAGCTCAATTTCAGCGCTATCTCTATCCATTTTAGGAATAGCATGAAAAGCATTTATTAGGATGACAAAACTGTCTAGTTTTTTGGGCATCCTCTAAATCCTACTCGTCGTATAAGTGGACTCTCCTTCGAGGCATTGTGAGTTGACAAACCCATTTGACAAATGGCATCATGTGTTCCTGCAGAGTATGGTGTATGCCCTGCTGCCTTGATAGCGACATTTGCCCTTGGGTTGACAAACCTTTCCTCATTGCACAGTTTTAACCCAATCTGGAGTAGAAAAATTGATATTTATGATCTGAAACAGATGGTACCTTACTTGCCGGAAGTACGCCACCAAAGTTTAAATTAAAGCACTTCAAACCGGAAGTAGACTGAGCCTAATTCTTTAGCAGAAGTAAGCTAATTTGAAGAATAAATTTGCATATCTGTAAACGGTAATTCTGATTTGAATAATATATAACGAATGCCTGGGAGGACAAATTAACTTGTGGTGGCATGACATAAATAAAGATTCCTGGCACTGTGACAGGAATTGGCGGTAACGAGCGCCGTAATGGGTCTAGTCGTATTTAAACCGGATTGATCTGTAGATTATGTGAACCGTTTAGTCACATGAGATGACGATGGCTATTAAGGGAATGGTTTGATCATAAAATGAATACCAACCAGTGGCGGCGCCAACCTCCTGAGACTGGGAACAGACTGACTTCATGGGGGACAACTTGAACGAAATTAAATTCAAAATGTAGCCACTCTGTGATAATAATATAAATACCAACCAGCGGCGGCGTCAGCCTCTCGAGACTGAGGTTATAAATAGGGGGCAGACCGACTTCATGGGGGGACAACCTTTGAGGTTGAAATTTAAAATGTTGGATTTCTATGGAAGAGCATAATCGTAACCCTCCCATGGAGTGTCTGGGAGGTTCTACGCGAAATAAATCAAATCTCAAGATTTGTTGAAATAGGGGTGCAATTTTTTTTTAGCTGGTAGACAAGATCCTCCAGAACCTAAGTCGCTATCCTGGTGAGATCAATACCAAGAAGTTTGTTTAAGGACCAGCTGATAGACTGGATCTTCATGAACATAAATTGTTATCCTTGTGTGATCAAGGGCCAGCTAGTAGACTGGATATCCATGAACATAAGTTTTAATCCTTGTTTGATCAAGGACCAGCTGGTAGACAGGATCTTCATGAACCTAAGTTGTTATCCTCGTAAAAATGGTTATTTCTTTCTTTCATAACTGTCGATGGAAATCATATAATCTTTAATTCAGTGATTGTTGCCGAGTTGCCTGTGGCTTGAATTAAAGATGAAGAATTAATTCCACTGTACTGACGTCGGCTGAGCAATGAAATGGATTCAACTTTGACAAGTTCTATGTCAGTAGTGACGTTAATAGCATTAACCCTCTTGGCCCAGTAATACAGTTTTAGATCACTGTACTTGGTTTTGATTTTTGTCCTGATGAGGATTTTATAACCTAAACTGGCCCTGAGATTTGTTTAGATCATAAGATGAGTCGTTCTAATAAAGATTATTGTTTTTATCCTGATGAGGATTTATATCCGAAACTCTTGTTGAGATCCATTGAGATTATAAAGTGAAGTGTCTGAGAGAAGAATCTTTGTTAAAGCTGTGTTGATGAGGCATATGAAACTATGGTAATACACACGAACGTACGTCACAGCCATCTTCCTTGACTTAATAAGTCGAATTTTGAAAAAGGCTTTAATATTTCAACAAACATTTAAAGTTTTACAAATTGCTTTATCTGTGATGTTATATCTTTGCTGAAATATTCAGGTTTTTTCAAAGAAAAAAAAACTCGACTTATTAAGTCGAGGAAGAGATTCAAAATGGCTGTATACTACGTTCGTGTGTTATTTCCATGTAAGAACAATACGTAGTTTCGTATGTTGATAAGGTTCTGTTATTTTCGAAAACCTTGAATTTGATACGAAATATCAAGTCTCCATTCGAATCTAAATGTCCTGATATTTTACGACGTATATCCGAAACTTCTCTAATACGACGTGCAATTTAATTAAAAAAAAAAAAAAAAAAAAAAACAAGTTAAGAAGTATCGGACTTCACAACAAGATAGGATTATATTAAGACTTATTAAGATTTTAAGATGGTTTGCGTGTTTTCCTCTCGACTTTCTATAATACAAGACAGCGAGTGACAACATATTTGATTGACCTGAATCTTGTTTTAATCCTATAATAGAAATCTTATTTCTCTATTCGAAAATAGAACTTTGACAGTTTTTTTTTTGTATTGCGCAATCAGGATGTTTTGGTTATTATCTTCCAATGACCAGTTGGTAGGAAGGATCCTAAGTGAATCTAAGTTGTTATCCTTGGAAGATATGATTTATTTCTCTTTTTTCTGTGTTCCTTTTTATTTCGTTTCGGAGCAAAAACGTATCCCATTTGCAATAACTGCAACGGTGGGAGATACCCCCATTCCACTAGGCAGCGATCTACGACAATTTACACGCTCGGAAGGAGCGTCAAAGATCCCCTGAGGATGGGGCGATATAAGGGTACTTATTACGATCCGATAACTATTCAATGGCGCTCCAATAACTATATACATGTGTACGATCCAATAACTATTCAATGGCGCTCCAATAACTGTATACATGTGTACGATCCGATAACTATTCAATGGCGCTCCAATAACTATATACATGTGTACGATCCGATAGCCACTTCATGGTCATTGGTCGTCACCCAATTCCCCAAAAATACCTTTGGTAGCGAGGAGACATTCCTCGTCGGGGTTTATTTATTTTGATAATAGAATATTTAGGCGACCAACTTGTGAGTTGCTACTGAATTATTCAAATATTTTTGACTTGCTTTATGACGCGCGAAGAGACCCTTTCAACATCAAAGACATTTCGACACTCTTTATCGATTTAAATCTTGAAGTAGAAATTTTAATTTTTTTTACTTAAAAGAAGCCCGGCAGAAGTTACAGCACAAATTATACGTAGGATGACGTCACAAGTGTACACGTCTGCACTAATGTATATGTCGTATTCCTTACGTCTGCTGAGGTTATAAGTAGTTAAGTACAGAATTATCAGGCTCTATAAGGTTTCACCATCGTTATGATATTGCGTCAACAAGTCTGCTATCTCTCCTATTCCTTTTAAGTCTTCTGTGAATTATGCGAAATTCGGTGGGTGAGTTGAAAGAGTGTGTTGGCACCAACTTTTCGCACTCTGTGAGCAGGAATGCAGGATGTTGTTTAAAACCAAAAGTCAAACTATCTTAAATGATTCATTGTTGCTAATAGAGTCATGTCATGTCTACTTCATTTATTGGAGATCACGGATATGAACTATGTGAAGTGTACAATGGGGTTAACTTTGATAAATCAGAAACTTAGATTAAGTTTTGTTACTGGCATTTGAATTATCCACATAAATATTAAAACCCGTGTTGCTAGATACATGAAACAAAAAATGAATACCATGGTCTTTGATGTGATGGACATTTGATATAAAACAAATGAAGAATTAATCATTAATGAAGATAAACAGAAAGTAGGACGTAAAACTCCATTCATTTCATTAATAAAGATAAATGGAAGAGATAAAAATTGGATTACCTTCATGCCGTAGCTGGATTCCTCGTACACGACTGAGACGTAGGTCCACCTGAAGAGTTTGACCAGCTCCACCATGGCCTGGGCCTGGTTGATGTCGGAAGGAATGGTCCGAAGAAAGAACGGGAATCGGTCTGTATTACTTAATTCTGGACTTGTCGAGAAAAAGCTGATCTGAAAGACACAAAATAATAACATTGTGAGTCCTGGAATGATTTGTGATAAGGGTTGAAGGAAGACACCGGGCCCACTTTCGAGGTACTGGTCTTAGCATCACTACCTTCATAATCTGTGAAATTTACTTCCGGAACACGTGATACCACCAACACGTGACCTCAATAATACTCCAGTGGACCCATCTGTAAATGGGTAAAGAATAAGAAATGGTGGACGTGTGTTATAATCTCCATCGTCGTGTGAAAGTTTTCCAGTCTAAATGGGTACGGATAATTTGAAAAGGATAAATGCCACGAAGTTTGGTTAAGAACCAGCTGGCAGACAGGATCCTCGTGAACAAATTGTACTCTAGATTTAACGGAACGAATATGGAATATACATCTCGAATGCTGATTAAGAATGCTGCAAAAAGGACAAAAATTGAAAAATAGATTTAGATAAATCTGTCCCTTAAAGAGCCACAAAAGGATAAAGAAACCAAAAATAACAGCAAAGATAAAAAAAACATGCTGGGGTTAAAAAACAAAAAAAAAACGAATGCTGATTTGAAAATGTCTCAAATTGGTTACCGATAAACTTTTGATCCAGTTAATGTAAGAATCGACCCGAGAAGAAAAAGACATATTTTATCACCGGTACTAGGTCAGATTAGCAAAGGCAATTACTCGAATTATTCATTGTCTTCACGACTTGAAAGAAATCCCCATAAAGCGCAATCAATGTTAACGGTTTGTTTTCCAATCACTGTATAGTCTCCTTCATCAGAATCGATTTGGTAATTACAAGACCTGATAATTGCTTTAGTCCGATCACCGCTGTTCGTACAGTTGATAATACCTAATTATGGGTTATATTCTAGAGAGTGGTCCACTGCTGTACTATTATCTGTTTATAGATACACCAGGCATCACCTAACCCTTAGTTATATTTCAGAGTGTGGTTCACTGTTATACTATTATCTGTTTAAAAAAAAAAAAACTTCGGAGAAGGGATGATTCGATTGCTCTCATATAAAGGACCTTTGGTGGTCAGAAGACATATATTTACTTTAGGTTGTAATTTAGAATGTGGTCAACGGCAAAATTGTCACTATAGTGAAATACTTTGTGAAACAGAACCTTATGCCTTAAAACCCCCAACCTTCCAAATAGTCAATTCCTGCCTTGTTAGTGAGACTATTTGTAAACTAGTTAGGGACTGTATAACCTACTGACCGGTCAACAGAAGAAAGTGAAAAAGAAAAAAGACGGCGGTAATGGCGAGAAGGCCGTGATTAAATACAGGGCTTTTCACATCTATAATCAATAAGTTCAATCAAAACCGTTTCTAATTTCTCCCTAAGCTTTAAATCATACTCTAAGTCAACCTTTTCTTCTCGCCAACACGATTTTATTTCATGACTTATGACTTATGACCTAATTGATTTCAACACGGAGTTTCACGCTCGACTGTTCTATACTTTATTTGTCAAGTCAATAGAATCGGCACCCATTTGGACTAATGAAATGTAATGGAGTTTTATATCCTACTGTTCTGTACCTTATTGGACTAATGAAATGTAATGGAGTTATATATCCTACTGTTCTGTATCTTATTGAACTAATGGAATGAAATAGAGTTTTATATCCTACTGTTCTGTATCTTATTGGTCTAATGAAATGAAATAGAGTTTTATATCCTACTGTTCTGTATCTTATTGGTCTAATGAAATGAAATAGAGTTTTATATCCTACTGTTCTGTGTCTTATTGGACTAATGAAATGAAATGTAGTTTTGTATCCCACTGTTCTATATCTTATTGAACTAATGAAATGTAATGGAGTTTTATATCCTACTGTTCTGTATCTTATTAGACTAATGAAATGAAATAGAGTTGTATATCCTACTGTTCTATATCTTATTAGACTAATGAAATGAAATAGAGTTTTATATCCTACTGTTCTGTAGCTTATTGGACTAATGAAATGAAATGGAGTTTTATATCCTACTGTTCTGTATCTTATTGGACTAATGAAATGAAGTTTTATATCCTACTGTTCTGTATTTTATTAAGCTAATGAAATGTAGTGGAGTTTCCCTTATTGAACTAACGAGCTAAGAAATTCGATGGAGTTTTGAATTCAATTCTGTATCTTATTGGACTTATAAAACCCCGACAAATGTCATACGTCCTCGTGGTTTTGAAATTGGATATAAAGTTTGAAGATCAAGAATTAAGATTAAAAGGATCGTAGCGGATTGAAAGAGATCAATTTTATGTAACCTTTTAACACAATGTTAGTGCATCAGTCCGTAAGATAAGTTCTTAGAAAACACAGCTCTTGACTCGTTTTCTAACCATGCGTTTACTCTGTTAACTCGTGCTTAATACAGCTCCAGATATTTCATTTCGTTTTTCATACTGTGTTGTTTAACATCTACAAATTGTTTTGTTATGAAACCTAAATTGAATTTTGTATTTCGAAAAACCAACTTGCAGATCTAAATCTTGAGGTATTATTTCAATCATTAATCATTAATTTCAAAATGTATTCATCTGCCGGGTTATAGCTAGCAGCTTTTGCAAAATCGTTGGAATTAAACTTTTCGACCAAACGCTGAAGAAAAGGCTAATGCCACACAGCTGTCTCTTCCAAAAGCAAGGATTTTGCACCATGTAATCTAAGTTTCTCGTAAATTGGCGAGTCTTGCAAGTGCTGAATATTTAAGCGGAGGTAGACCACAGAAGCTTTTTGACTAATATACAGCCCTGGACCTATGATATTCAACTCTATTTCTGATCATTGGCGAACAACAATTTATAATGTAGTTTTTACTCTGAAATGACTACCATTAATTCAATGTCAGAAAATGGCAAGAAAAAAGACTATTTTTATGGTGATTCAATCGACTCTTCGACCTGGAATTTGTCTTGGAATTTTCTTACTACAGTCTCAACTGTTACATGTCTCTCGGAAAATCTTCCATTTTTTCCACGTGGTTGAATTTAATTCCTATAAGTGAAGTATTTAATACGTAAAAAAGATTTAATATTCGTGCTATTCACGGCTTTCAAGATTACAGACATTCGCAGTTGACCTTCTTCCGTTCCAATAGTCACTGCTTCATATTATACCATATCATCGTACACGATAGCACGATTGCAGTTAAACTCCATTAAATATAGTCTAACTAGTTAACAGATTCTGTCATGGTAGCAGTAAGATAATAGTGAGCTACTGTAACATACGATCCAACTAGCTAGCAGATTTATTATATGTGCTTCTATATGTCGTTCAAATCTTATAGCTAGCAGATTGTGACACGGTAGCAGTGAGCCACCATTGATCTATACTGTAAGTGTCTAGCTAGCTAGTAGATTGTGACAAGATAGCAGTGAGCCAACATTGATCTAAACTATAAGTGTCTAGCTAGCTAGTAGATTGTGACATGATAGCAGTGAGTCTCCATGGATTTAAACTAGTGTCCAGCTATCTAGCAGATTGTGACACGATAGCAGTGAGCCACCATTGATCTAAACTAATGTCCAACTAGCTAGCAGATTGTGACACGATAGCAGTGAGCCACCGTTTATCTAAACTAGTGTCTAGCTAGACACACCATTACATACAGTTCTACTGTTCTGTAACTTAACTATAAGTGTCTAGCTAGCTAGTAGATTGTGACATGATAGCAGTGAGCAGCTATTGATCTAAACTAGTGTCTAGCTAGCTAGCAGATTGTGGCACGATAGCAGTGAGCCACATTGATCTAAACTAATGTCCAACTAGCTAGTAGATTGTGACACGATAGCAGTGAGCCACCATTGATCTAAACTATAAGTGTCTAGCTAGCTAGTAGATTGTGACATGATAGCAGTGAGCAGCTATTGATCTAAACTAGTGTCTAGCTAGCTAGCAGATTGTGACACGATAGCAGTGAGCCACCATTGATCTAAACTAATGTCCAACTAGCTAGTAGATTGTGACACGATAGCAGTGAGCCACCATTGATCTAAACTAGTGTCCAACTAGCTAGCAGATTGTGACACGATAGCAGTGAGTCACCATTGATCTAGAGTAGTGTCCAGCTATATAGCAGATTGTGACGCGATAGCAGAGAGTCACCATTGATCTTAACTAGTGTCTAGCTAGCTAGTAGATTGTGACACGACAGCAGTGAGCCACCATTGATCTAAACTAATGTCCAGCTAGCTAGCAGATTGTGACACGATAGCAGTGAGTCTCCATTGATCTAAACTAGTGTCCAACTATCTAGCAGATTGTGACACGATAGCAGTGAGTCACCATTGATATAAACTAATGTCCAGCTAGCTAGCAGATTGTGACACGATAGCAGTGAGTCTCCATGGATTTAAACTAGTGTCCAGCTATCTAGCAGATTGTGACACGATAGCAGTGAGCCACCATTGATCTAAACTAATGTCCAGCTATCTAGCAGTTTGTGACAAGATAACAGTGAACCACCATTGATCTAAACTAGTGTCCAGGTATCTAGCAGATTGTGACACGATAGCAGTGAGCCACCGTTTATCTAAACTAATGTCCAACTAGCTAGCAGATTGTGACATGATAGCAGTGAGCCACCGTTTATCTAAACTAATGTCCAACTAGCTAGCAGATTGTGACATGATAGCAGTGAGCCACCGTTTATCTAAACTAATGTCCAACTAGCTAGCAGATTGTGACATGATAGCAGTGAGCCACCATTGATCTAAACTAATGTCCAGCTATCTAGCAGATTGTGACACGATAGCAGTGAGCCACCGTTTATCTAAACTAGTGTCTAGCTAGACACACCATTACATACAGTTCTACTGTTCTGTAACTTATTGATTACGAAACAGCGTTCTGCACCTTATTGGACATGATAGTTAAAACCGGATTGAATTTAGTTTTTGCCAAGTTGTATCAAGACGAATATTGATTATAAACGAATCAATGAATGCTCAAATCTGGTAAATAATGTCTAGAAAAGTGACGTGAAGTAAATGAAAG